GAGATAGCCTGCATGGCATGCGTCGATTGGGGAGGGAAAAAAGGGGGAAAAGGAAAACTTGTGTTAATTAGGAGCTTACGTGGAGACAACTATCCATTTCTGAGAAAAACCTCTACAATATGACGTCTACTTATTAGAGTTAAATTAAACCTTACCAAATAACAAGATTTATAGCTAAGGGTGCGTTTAAGCGATGTTTTTTCGAATAAAAATTCACTGCTGTGCTTGAGGCTTGCAGATTTTAAAGTGCTAAAAGAGAGTTCTGCTATTAATTATACTATTTGTAAAAGTTTTGTATCTGTTTAGTGGATTTGAATCTGTAATCTGTCAGTAAATATTGGACCCGGCGGGGGTACTTTAGGAGTTTTCATGGATGTGTCGCTGGGACCCTGGAACCTTTAGCCTAAACCGGAGCTAGTTCAGCTGAATTTTGCTACCCTATGTTAGATCTAACTCCCCAAATCCCCCATATCCTAGAGTTACTGTTTTCCAGAAACTACCGAGGTCACTAGCATAGTCCAAAAAAATCCGATTTGATTTGCTTATATTTTTGAGTGGCAATTCCCGGTTCCCTAGACTAGACTAAAATCTTCTACTAATTGACGAGTTGCCTGGAAAATGAAACCCTATTCTAGACCCAAACTGTCTGATTTCTATACCCTATTCTAGAGAAAGCGTCTTGAAAACCATGCCCTTCACAGCGGCACATACCTATATAGCCCATATATGGCAGTACCCCCCGGGATATTAGACTACAACCAAATCTGTATCAAAATAGAAAGAGCACTTGGATTTCATCTGAATCTAGCCGAGTCGTAATATGTGGTGCTCCAAGAAATCTGTTACTTGTGTTTTATGAGGTTGTTGCCCCCACTTCCCTCACATCATAGTTAATTAAAGTGGAAAGGCGGAAACCCTTTCTTATATATTATTGTTACCTTTTTTTGGACCTGACCGTGCGCAGCGTTCAGTTCCTATCATTTTGAACTTATTGATCAATAGAAACATTGCATTAATTTTTTCAGTCTCAATTTGCGAACCAAAAAAACAAAGGATTGTGCACGGTCAGGGAGCTTCCAACATAACCTGCAGCACCATTGTTTTAACTTTGATGTTTGCCGGCTGCGCTTTCCTAACCAGTCTCCTCTACTCGCAAAGCCCACATGCTATACATGCCGCAGCTATTCTCAACTTCCAGTAAAATTCCGTCATTGGCATAATACGCATCAATGAACGCGGCTTTGTCTTCAGGGCGACCGTTCTAACTCGCTTCCTCTTTGATTTCAACCACGTGTATATTTTATTTCATTTTTTTAGTTTATTCCTATTGGCCTATTCATGTTAAATTTTACATTTTTACTCGTATCAAATTTCCAACTGTACCGCTTTTAAACTATATTTATATATCTGTAACGACTGTCCGTTTCTTCCATAAATTCCTCGAAAGAAGAACGGCTTGTCCGTTCGAAATATCGGGAATACTCGAGTCTTTATTCTTTGTTGTTTTGTCACTACAGTTTATTGTAGTTATCCCTAGCCACAAGTTGCTCCAAATTTCAAAAAAGGTGCCCCAAAATTCTTTAAAATTTGCCCGAAGTTGCTCGTTGCAAAAAGTTGCTCGTTTAAACCCATGGCGTGGATTAAGCCTTTTAAAAGCGGTTCAATCACTTGATCTTGCGCAAACGCTTGTTGAAGCTGCAAACTCAGGCCACTTAAGGCATATTTTGTTAAAATTAAACAGTAGACTGATCCTTACGGCAGGAAGAGTGATGAAAAAAATATAGAAAGAAAACAAAAATAAAGTGGTGAATTATGTTTGCCTGATATTTCAGTTTGCAACACAAATTTTCAACGGGGACTAAGTGGGACTATAAAAGGAAAATGAATACCGTTACAAGATGAACGTTACATATGCGAGATTTGAACATATAGCAAACAGAAAATGATAGGCTACTAAAAATGACAAATGTCTCTTGTTTTCATTCTATATTTCAGGATCATTGATAGAAGGAAAACTTTTTAAATAGCATTTTATCAAAATATGCATAATTAATTAAATAGAGAGAATGTAATAGACCATTTGCACGGTGGCTTCATTTTACTACTACGACCGGAATTCTTTTCGTTTTTCTTTTCATATTTAAATTTGGTTGCCCCGGTGAGATTTAAATAACAAAAGCCCTAATTTGCACAAAAAAGCAAAACCCTGAAGGATCCTGGTCATAATAGTAAAATGACGCCATCATGCAAACGCCTATTGACCACTTTAGAAATAATAATAATAGATAATAATAATAGACACTTATGTAGCGCAGTATCCACTAATTGCTCAAAGCGCTGTACAATAATATGGTAAGAAACTAGAGTTAAAAACTATTATAAGATAAAATAAAATTAAATAAAGCTACTGAAATCAAACATCGTAGGCTAATTTAAAAATAAGTATGTCTTCAACTGCGTCCTGAACTGGTCGACAGATGTAACACTCCTGAGTTCAGGGGGCAATTGGTTCCATAACCTAGGAGCAGCTGCGGAAAAAGCCCTGTCACCATACGTCTTTAACTAAGTCCTAGGCACGGCTAGAAAATTCAGGGAACTATAACGAAGTAATCATGGACCATTAGTGTAGCGTAAAAGTTCGGATAGGTACGTTGGTGCCAAGCCATTTAGACATTTGTAAACAGTAAAATTTTAAAATGTATGCGATAATTTAGCGGTAACCAATGAAGTTTGAACAGGATAGGAGTGATATGGTCAAACCGGCCGCTTGGATGATGTAACAATGCGTGCAGCAGTGTTTTGTATCAGTCTTAACCTGTTTAACAGGTGTTTAGGAAGACCATATAACAAAGAGTTACAGTTATCGAGTTTAGAGCTAATAAACGCATGTACCAAAATTTGAGAGGTATCTTCACTTAAGTACTTCCTGATCTTAGCTATGTTCCCTAAATGATACTGACAGGAAACGCAGATTTTGTTAACATGGTCGGTTAAGTCAAGACTCTGATCTATAATCACTCCCAGATTACGGGCGGAAGGTTTGGGTTGGATCTTCTCATCAACCACTTGGATAAACTCTAGAGAAGGCCTGCAACGAAACTTTGAGCTGATGAGAACAAGTTCAGTTTTATCCTGATCGAGTTTAAGACCATTGTTCACCATCTAACAATCAATGTCATTTACACAGCATTCGACACGACGCTTAGCCAAAGAGAGATCATAGCTACAGTCAGTTCCGAAAGCTAAATACAGCTGGGTATCATCAGCGTATAAATGATACTGTAACTTGTGAAACTCGATGATATCAGCAATGGGTGATGTATAGAGGAGCTAGGGCCCAGAACAGATCCCTGGGGTACACCGGGTTCTAGAGAGCGCTGTGTTGACCTACAGTCATTGACCCGAACAAACTGCGTGGGTGACGTCAGGTATGACTCAAACCATGCAACTGCAGTACCGTTTACTCTGATGCGGTCACGCAATCTTGATAACTGTATCAAGTGATCAACCGTGCCGAAGGCAGCTGACAAATCCAATAAAATTAGTATAACAGACTCATTGTTGTCAATAGCACAAAGGATGTCATTCTGGACCCTTACTAAAGCTGTCTCGGTGGAGTGAAAGTTCTTATACGCAGACTGAAACGTCTCATCTAAGTGGCGCGCCATGACGTGATCTGTGAGTTGTATGGCAACTGCCTTTTCAACAAGCGTCGATACTACTTTTAAGTTCGAGATAGGACGAAAGTTTTGGATTTGTTCAAAGTCAGCATCAGATTTTTTCAACGTGGGCGATAGTACAGCAACCTTCAGAGCATCGGGCACAACACCAGTCGATAAGGACAGATTGATGATCCTCATAATAGTAGGAAATAATACGGTAAGAGAGCCTTTCAAAACTACCGCGGGTAGAGGATCAAGTTCACAAGATTTAGATAGTGGTTTCCTTGAAAACTTTTTTACTTCCTCCAGGATAATCTCAGGAAAGTTACAAAACTCTGCACCACAAACTTTGACGTCAGGAGGGGAAGACCCAACGCGTATTTTCCTTTCAACAAGTCCATGTTGTATTCTAACGATCTTGCTGGTAAAGAAATCGGCAAATGAATTTGCCAAGATAGTATCATCAGAAGAAGGAGAATAACGCTTGTTGGTTGATTTTTGCAATAACTTTCCAACAGTCTTGAACAATATCCTCTGATCTGATGAATATTCATTAACGATGTCAGTGTAATATGTCGACTTTAGTGACTCAATCAAATTGTTGACAACGTGGCACTGATGAACGTATTGCTCACGATCACAGAGTAACCTAGTCGAACGCCACTTCCGCTCCAACCGCCTTCGGATGTCTTTCTGTACAACCACCTCTGGTTTATACCAAGGAGCACGAGGTCGTGATGTCAATGTTCGCCGTTTTAAAGGGGCATAGAGATCCAAAAGGGATCGCAATACATTGTCATATTGATCCACAAGAGCCTTGAGTTCAACAGCTTGATCCTGTAGCAAAGGAGAGGTCAAAATATCTTACACAAAAGGATTCAATATCCAAAGAAAGCAGTTTCCGATAGTACACCTTTTTCGTCGTGAAGTGCGGTTTTCGTACACGCAGGTTACAATGAACCGCACAGTGATCCGAGATTACAGGGTCGAAAATCTTAGATTACAAGATCCAAAGTGTGTCCGTTACCGTGAGTTGCTCCAGTGACGTGTTGTTTTAGGTTGCATGATTCAAGAATTTCATTAAAGCGCTTTGCATAGATGCTACAGGGGTCATAAACATATAAATTGAAGTCACCAGATAAATTATTAGTAAGTGACCAGTGGATTCAGCCATAATTTGTTCCAGAAGCACTGAGAATTCTTCAAGAAATAGAACACATGAGATGTTATCAGGAGGGCGATAAATAAGCTGAACTCTAATGGATTTAAGACTTCTAAAGTGAATATCCATGAGTTCAAATGTCGTGAAGGTATCGGTGATGTGACTGTTTATTTGGAGAGTGTCCTTAAATAACAAACCAACACCTCCGCCTCGGGAATGACCCCTCGGAACATGTAAAAATCTATAGCCAGTTGGACATAGGGTTCTAATCTCAACATCATCAATGTTACCAAGACGCAGCCAAGTTTCAGTGAGAGCCAAAATATCAATGTCTTGATCAACCACAAGGTCTCTAACTGCCATTGCCTTGTTCTTAATGGACCTAACGTTAAGAACACAAAACTGAACACAGCGACAGTTAATAACATACCATAACATTCCATAATAATACCATAACAAACCATAATAATACCATAATAATAATAATAATAATAATAATAATAATAATATTAATACCATAACTTAATAATACCATACCATAATGCTCTTTTTTTGTCACCCCAAAATTTTGCAGAAGCATTGTCCTCAGTTTCTCTTGGGAGTTAAAATGGGCCCAAGAGAAACTGAAAACAATGCTTATGCAAAATTTTGGGGTGACAAAAAAAGAGCATTATGGTATGGTATGGTATTTTCTGAGAGGGATTGTTCATTTACAAGTATATTCAGCCGTCCAGGCGTTTTCGGCCCGGTCATTCCTGGAGTCTACCATGAGCTGTGACGTCACCGAGAGATACTCACTGAGAACTCATTCTCTCGCACGTTCTCTCCCGGACAACGGATCAAGAGAGAACGCCTAGGGACTAGGCTGAAGTATATTATCAAGGAAACTTTATCCTGGGCCCTCACGTGTTGTCTGTTAAGTGAATATGCAAGCCCGGAAATGAAAATTGATTATTTTAAATATTTGCTTTTGTTATATGACTTACCCTACCTTCAGAAACTTTTTCACTTAACAAGCATCATTTTCTTTTCAACTCTTAACGAAAATCCTCTCATGTGGACTGTTGGACCAGAAGTGACTTTCTCCTGAAGCAGATATTCATATCTTGCCAATTTTAAAGTTCAGGTGGAATTGGAAAGTACAAGTGCTAGAAACTGGAAAGTCTTTGGCTAATATACTCTATATAAGCTCAATTACAAGGGGAAAATGACTACAGCATAATAAGTGGCTGTATTAGCATCTTCAAAGCGAGGCCACACAGTGAAAAAGCCGTAAACTTAGTTTTTTCTCCAGTTTTTTTCATACCTAGGGCTAAACTTTCTGCTCATGTCAGAATTGTGTTATTTCAAAAGTGGGCACTAAAGTAAATCCTACTTATACTTGGGCTATTTTCCGTTTCACTAAAAATGCCTTTAAGAGCATAACTTAACAATAATATTATTCAACAAACAACAGAAATATTTCTTTGAGCCATATGTTTTGCTATAAAACCCTTAAGGATAGAACTAAGAAAAAGTGAGTTTAATTTATATTTTGAAATATCCCTGACATTGTAATCAAAGTATTGAAAAGTGCACAAAATGGGCTATAAAAAAAGGATTGGGGGACGCCAAAAAGGGTAATATCTAGAACTCAGTCCATATAAGAGCAATGAAGCTGAAACTTTGGCATATTGCATAAGTATTCATAGTAACTAAGTGTACCAAATTTGAGCCAAATCGGCTGACCCCTATTTCCAAGCTTACCCTGGTCTTTTAGGCAGAAGCTCTTAAGAGGACGCTTGGGAACGTCCCGAAGATATCCGCTTAGTAGAGGTTTCACTGTATAACAAAAACAATTATGTCAGGTCCCTTGGGAAACCAATTAGTTTAGTTTGACTCTTGGGAAAACAAAACTAACTTGTTTGCTCCAGATATGACATTAAGACCCTGTTTACATGGAGTGGGGGACCCTGGTCTAGTGGGGTAGGTTTCTTTTGTTTTGTGTCCCCCAGAGCGTGAAAACAAAAGAAACCAACCCCACTAGACCGGGGTCCCCCACTCCATGTAAACAGGCCCTAAGTGTATAATGTATTTACCCTAGTAATATAATGTATTTACCCTAGTAATATACTGATGGGGTAATTACCCCCTCCAGTTTTGAATTCATGGCGCCGCGATTCAGTAACACTGACAACACTGTCATAAATGTAATATGAACTTTGCCTGTAAATAAGACAGTCAAGAAAAGAATATTACACATATGAGTGAGCATGATAAATGTATAGTTACAAGTAATTTGAGCTGGTTACATGCACAGGTGCTCAGTTAATAATTCAGTGTTCCATATCAGGCAGTAACCGGTAAAATTTACCACCTGAAGCAACACTTCTTACCGCCTGCAACGGCCTGAAGGTTTACTAAAATTAAAGAAGTAATTTAAAAAAATACAGAGGTTGTGATCCGATTCTCACATGTCACAAGGAAATGAGTGAATACATGTATATGGGAAAGTACTTAAGTATACACAGCTTTTCGGCTTTTTACGGACCACGCATTTTGGAAAGAGAACATGGAAGACAGAGTAAAATTATTGGAATCAATCATTTAAATTGTTGTGTAAAGGTAACAATGACCGATTTGCATAAAATAGGTCTTAAAATCAGAGAATGACGTTTCAAGAGAACTTAGTACCTAACTTTCCCAGCAAGGGCGAGCAAGGGCGGGAACTAGCACATATTTTTTGCCGTACCGGCTATGAAGGGTCCCTTACCTGCTGAGCTAAAATTTAGGGAGAACACTGAATGTTAATAATATTTTTATTTTTATTCATTATTATCATAAAATCAAAGTGATTGTTTTCTTTAAACGAAAAAAGTTTTTTTTTTTAATTGAAATGAATTGTAAATGGTACTTTCACTGGATAGTTTTTTTAATTAGCGAATTTGATTGCCAATAGGATTTTGTAGTTAGCTTTCTTACCAATAATATAATAATATTATTGTTATTATTATTATCATTATTATGATAATAATGATGATTATAATATTGTTATTATAATATTATCATCATCATTATTATTTCCTTGCACTTGTCATGTGCTACATTCTAACATGCCAATGTTTTTCCCCATTGTTTTTCTCACAAGGGAACACTTGAAGAGAGAACAGTATATAGTAAGTAAGTATTCAATAATAAATCTCACTCCAGTCAAACCTCGCTTTACAGACACCTACACAGACGCCTCATTATTACAGACAGTTTTCTTTATCCCTGGGGAAAGTTAGCCCTTACATTTTCTCTAAATTCAACCTGCTTAATACGGACTCCCATTAATGCACACACTTTCTATGCATAATAACATGTTTGACTGTACATTCAACATTTTGTGTTTCTTTTTTGGAGTATCAAACAAAGTCTACATTATGGTTGGGGGGAGGGGGGACTACTAACTACTATCCTCCCTTTCCCTCTAAACAATGCTGCTCTTCATATAAAGAACTACTCTTCATATAAACAACTAAAAAATACAACATCAGGTAAGATTTCCATACAGCTGGCAGCAACCTCAAACTATTTAACACCAACAGTTTGTATGAAAACCTAAGCATGTATTCATAATAAATATATGGGGCTGACTGCAAGTCTTACTTTAAGGTCATTCCTTTTAGTTTTAAATACTTGCAGTGTGTGAAGGGGGGAGGGAGGAAACGTCACTGTCTCTGTCACTTGCTTCTCCAATCTACCATATTTTTACTCCGACATACTGCCACTCAAGTGATGACTTCTTCACACTAAATGGTTCCAATGGCGTCATTACATATCTGGCTGTTCTCAGTGGTCCAGCCGTATGTGTTACGATAGTTGTTCCAAAATCAATGTTTTTTTTTCTTCACATCCACAGGAGCGTAGTGTCCACAGATGCACATACGCCCATGCATGCAGCATGAAATCTAGAAAAAATATATTTTTTCTATTTCCTAAAAGCATTTTTGTCATTAAGTCAGTAGGATTGATAAATCTTTTGCATTATAATATTTACAGTCTACTCTCTCTTAACGGACACCTCTATAAGACGAACACCTCTGTAAAACAGACACTCAGAGTTGGTCCCAGCCTTTCTTTACATCCTTTATTTGACCCTCTATAAGACGGACATCTCTCTAAGATGGACACATACTGCAGGTCTCCAAGGTGTCCGTCTCAGAAAGAGTTGACTGTATATCTTTGCCCGTCTGAAGGGTACACATCTCCTCATTAGATTATAACCAACTGTTTTACACTTTTTTCCGTATTGTACCTTAACAAAAACACCAGAGATGTAAAATAAACAACTAACTATTGTATTTACCTTCGTATTTATTTACTAAAAATTTCCTATGGAAAATGTGGGAAATGGGATTTCTGAGCCCCTAAAATTTGAAATTTTCTGGGGGATCATGCCCTCAAACCCTGCTAGTTTGGACTACCTTCCACAGTCTAACCTTTTCTTGCCGTATGTACACCTTCAAAATCTCACGCTATGCCCCTGATCTATTGTTATCCTTGACAATAACAAGATTTAAGATCCACACCCCTGTGTCCCTGGAAACAGGTGATTAGATTAGAGTCTGGTATCTCCCAGATAATCGCCAAAGTTGCTATTTCTTGTAGACTAAAATTCCCACCATAAAATTTCAAATATTTTGCATTGTTTGAGCCACTGTTAACATGGAACGTTTCCTCATAAATTCTGGTATGCCACTGTAATTTAAGCAATAATGTGGGTAAATATGAACTTTTTAGGTGTTATATACATCGCTCGGAATCAACAAGCATTTTTGGCACAAATGACGTCATTTGTCGTGCGATATGACGCCATCTATCTTTCCTTCCCTATCAAATCTCAATATTTGATGACGGGGGTTGACAACCCTGTTCATAGACCTGAAGCTCAGTCAAACAAACTAAGATAAACATTAGCAAATTCACCGCTTTTGTTTAGCCTTTAATACTGAAATAAGCTTATCTTGTCTGACTTTTGACGAAAATGACCAAATTCAGACAAACAGCAAGTAAGTCACTCTGACATGACATGACTGTCGGAATCAGTCCAGTCATGCAAATGACCTCTATCAAGGCAAACAGATTACCGTAATTCTTGTATAACAAAAGATTGGTGGAACACGTAAAAGCAGATAAATTAGTCTCTGGCTCATATGAGGAGCTTAAGCCGAACAGCTCATTGACGTCGTTTCAGATCGATGTAGATCGTAATCAGTATTTACATTTTCAAGGAAGTGAACTATCGAATTAAGATCTAAACCCTGAAAAAAGCTACATTGAAGATTTTTTAGTTAACAAGAATACAGAAAGAATGTAAGCTCACCTTATAGAATTTGAAAAGCCACACAGTGCAGTGGCACCCAACGTCAATTTTCGGAAATAATCTGTTCGGAAGACGATTTGAGAAATAGAATTTTCGGAACATTTGTTGTAAAATTTCTTGCTTGCCTGCCTCTCCTAGGATTTTCGAACCCCCAAAAATGGTATAATTGCCCAGTTTTAACGGCCTTTTCACCCTAAAAAGGTCACCTAGAATTTTCGGGAGCCTTTTCTGGGGCTGAAATTTTCGAAAAGGTAAGTTTTGATCCCTAGAATTTTCGGATCACTAGACTTTCAGCTAGGAAATCCGAACAAATGAAAAATTTTTAGGGGATGAAAATATGCGTATATCTACCGTTTAAATACTAAAATACGTTTAACAATGCTATGTTTAAGTGGTTTTGAACTATATTCTCGTTGGGCGCCCCTGGCAGTGTGTTTTGATCGAAGAAGAACCGTGCTCCAAATCGAGGTTAAAGTTGTTTGGATCCCAGGTTCCAGTCCTTCCGGCTGGGCAAAAGAGGAATTGCCCTGATGGGCTTGGGGTGGCATATTGGTGGCATCACTCACGGTAGGAATAGTCCCTTGATAACACCTATGAGAACACCTGTGGGAACACTTAAGCTTTTTCTCGGTAAAATGTGGCACTAAAAGGGGTCACAATAGTGGCCAACCCCAGCCTACGTAGAAAGCATTTCTAGGAGCAAAGAATTACCGAGGCAAGTTAGGAAGCAATAAACGGGATGTTTGGTTTTGGCCGCGCAAAACTAAATGGAACGAGATCCGAGGTTCTGGTTCTTTTGCTCGGCTTGTTACGCACGAGCTACAATGTAGGCATGAGGCTAGGCCAGCCCTTACTCTTTCTAATTCAGTTACAAGACCTTAATTTCATACTGCCACGGAAATTGCGCTTAAACGGATGATAAAATTCGTTATAGACATGCCAGGTAGTAAGGCAGGCCCTTATCGATCCTGCAAACCAAAGAGCATGATAACTAAGCACTTCATTTAATAGCAGAAATTACCAGAAACATGACTTGTTGGCTTTTATATTAAAGTTACAAGTAAGGTTGATCATTTTCAAGTTAAGTTCTGTTCTGCCAAGAACCATAATAGGACGTCCTATTATTGCTCTTGGTTCTGCCCATCAACCATGGTTCAGTCTAAATTTCCTGTCGTCTGGGAAGGGAAGAGAAGGTTACCAAAGGTCTGAAACACTGGGTCCTTCGTCGTCTGGAGAGAAGCAAATATTGCCTAGAATTTTCTATTACTTGAGAACGGCTAAAAAATTTCTAGATAACCGTTCCCAGCATTCTTTCGTGTACAATTTGCGCAGCTTATCTAATAAATTCCCTACGACTTTCTAAAGTTTAATTTTTCACATTTCCGTCCCCAGATGAACTATTCTCCGTAGACAAAAGGAAACCTTTTCGGATTCAAATCTGATGATTTTAAAACATATTAATTTCGTAATATGTTTTAAAATTGTATATCGAGTGTTTGCAAATTTAGTAGTCATAATAATTAGTTGTTTAAGTTTTGTAAATTAGTTCTTAAGTACTGTATTTCAGTTGTAAGTTCTCCCACAGCCTTTTTCTCTCTTTTGATTTAATAGTATTGTAATCATTTTAGTTAAAGCCTTCTTTTGTTCACGTAAATTCTTCACGTTTTTTTGCTGACCTTAGGCCATTTAAGCCCCCAGGCTTTGGTTGTTCTCGTGTATTTTTCCGAGTGTGTGATATGTAATAATGTTAAAGTTAAAATTTTCGAGAAAAAAACTATAGCCCTTGTAATTTCGAAGACTCAAGTTTCCCTAGGATGACTAAACAGATACAAATCAGGCGCATAAAGTGTTTTCAAAGTATTTTAGAGGAACCTTCGTTAGACAGGCAACAAAATGGCATCGTGCACAAAGGACAACCGCCTCTCGATATAGGCCAGAACCCGGAAAATGAAATCGCTAGAAACTGGAGCAGGTGAAACCGAAGGCAAATGCGTGGACGAAAAAGTTAATTTGTGGTAAGTCTTGTGTTTTGCTTGTATTTGTTCAAATACGGAAAAGGAACTCAATTTTACAAAAGTAGTCAAACTTGGAGTATAATTTGGGAAAGAAATAGAGCAATACCATAGAAGCATGATACGATACAGTAAAAAACCGCAAGTAAGAACCTGCATTTTCCCAAGTTAGCATAAACAGGTTCTTGCATAAATGGGTTGAAAACATACATTGTGCATTCAGCTTATTGCGTTCGACGTCAGGAGAACGCAACACATAATCTTGGGATTCATGTGGTACTTAAGAGTGACCTTTAGTGGTACTCATTTCGTCGTACGTTAGCCTGCATAGCAGGCGTCTAAAGGGGTAGGGAATAGGGAATAAGGGAAAAAGGGAGGGGGATTTCCGACCTCTTTCATGCTTTTCGCCCTCCCCCCTCCCCCTCCCCTTTTTGCGCCTGCCACGCAGGCTATCGTACGTCTTCATTTTCTGCGCCATCTTGAACAATTTATCTTGTGGGCACAAAAATGTTAAATACTCTTAATTTGCCATACGATCTTTATAATGGTTGCGTGGCGCAATGGATAATGCGTTGCCCCTACACGTCCAAGGTCTCGGGCTTGACTCCCGCCAGGTGAGACGTTTTTCTTTTTATTCGTAGTCGTTTTGTTTTGTTTTGTTTCGTTTTTAAAAACGGCCATCCTCTTTTTATGTCCGTTTAGCTTCGTCCGACCGATCCAGATTTATGGCATATTCAAAAAAAAAAAGTAACGACGTAGTTAAACCATATTCACTTGAAATAATTCTTTTATTCTGAAAATGAATATGGTAACAGCATAGAGAAAAACAGGAACAAAAACAGAAACATTTTTTTGCAGTATATTGTGCATTTTGTTAATCCAAATATGTGAATGTTAACTTTAACGTCATCCAGTCCTGGGGCACCAAGACCTCCTATTCTGAGACTTCTTGTGATTTTTTTTTTAGTTTTTTTTTTCAATCCGACCGACCGACCCAATATCAGGAAGTGGAAGTGCATTCGACGCCAAACGAAAAAAAAAAATGAGGATGGCCAAATACATATAGGAAGCGTTTTGCAGCATCAATTTATTAGGAAACAACGTCACATTTGACAGTAAACCCGAACAAGCTCGAACGCACTTTCTAATCTGAGATTACTAGTAGTTCCTTATATAAAATCTGTTTACCGATATATTGCTGGTTAGAGTGTAAGGGCATGAACCTATATCTCAAACGAGTATCCTGAATGTTGACTTGTCCGTATTTGCCTAACTGTATAGAATTTTTTTTTTCATAGATTTTAGAAAATTAGAACCTGTTATCAGGAGCCGATGCTGTTATATGTAAAAAGGTTCTTCAGTGTATAGAGGGGGCCTAACTGGCAAATTTTACTCATAGCCTCCTGCGCTTCTTCAGGAACGCGTGACGACCGAGCACTGATCACGCTAAATGCGACGAAGAAACAATCACGTGATCATTGCTTAGTGGCCGCTCGGATTAACTTCCGAGAAAGATTTGCTGATTTGCCCAAAAATCCTCAGAAACCGATTCTTTAAGTATTTGAGAGATTTTCTGATTCCTGAGGTTACAACGACATTCATATAGGTCATGAGAAAACTTGACAAAAAGGTCCTCTGCATGTAAGTAGTTTGAAATCGTGAGGTGAACGCTGTAAACGGTCTGTGACCAATCTTATTACTGTGAAAGGGAAAGCGGAAGTACCGAACATCACTCGAAACAATTGCTTTTGGACCAGAAGAGAAGTACGTCTACCTAAAACCGGGCGAAAATATAAGCAGCTGAAGATCCTTAAGTTGTAAGTGTTTGTTCCTACTTGCTTCATTTGCTTTTGTTGGTGATATCAACAAATTTCGACGTTTTAAGTAACGTTGTTAGTCAGCTGGTTAGTTATATATAAATACAGTGGTTTACATTTGCAGAATGGTGTGATGTAAGTTAGAATGGAAGATTTATCGAGACAAGAATCGGAGAAGAGAGAATCTCAATCATCGGTTGCAGCAGATAAAAGTGAAGGGACTGAGCACCTTGTTGGCGAGCAACCATTACTCGACACGTCCAAGGAAACCATTGAATCGGCAAACGTTGATGGTGCTTATGGGTCGAACCAAAACAAGAAGAAAAAGAAGAAAAAGAAAAAGACGGCAGATGCGTCAGCAAATGTAAAAGTTGCCGAAAATACGAGTTATGAGGAGAATCGCGATGAAAGTGAAGGTCATTCTCCGTCCAATCCCCAAGGCCAGTCTAACTCTTCGACGTCGATGGGAACTGCTGTCGAACGTATTGATTGCAAACCAGTAAGCGAAGCCTCACCAGGACTTCCATCAGCCGAAAACGAAATTCCACAGGAAAGCACAAAGAAAAAGAAGAAAAAGAAAAAGAAAAAGAGAACAGAAATCGCTTCTACTTGCGATGAAGGTGCCCATGCCGGAAATGGGTCAGATTCCACTTCGATTGTTGTCGAAGCTTCTTCGCAGCCAAATAAAACGTCAGTCACCGAGGAGTCACACCAACTGAGTGGTGATAGGAAAGACATCGAAGAAAAAAACAAACAAAGCGAGATGACTCGTGAAGGTGCTAATTCAAACTTCGACTCAAATCCTATTTCACATAACCAGACTGAGGCGAATTCAAGTCGTCCGATTGAAGGGGATTTTCCTGACGTAGCAGGGGATAATAGCCTTCCTCCTGTGGAGAAAAAAAAGAAAAAGAAAAAGAAGAAAAAGCAGGAGTCCGATTCACAACCACCCATCAGTGGAACTAGCTCTTGTACTGGGACTGTAACAGAAAATGAATTTGTTGCTGATAATGAAATCTTATCTGGGACATTAACATCGAGGGACGGTTCGTGTAGTCAGAAGATTGTAAAAGAGCCAATAAGTTGCCTGGAAAAGGCAGCAGAATTGACAACGGCTGGATCAGGTGCCTTTCCCCCTTTGATGCAAGACGAGAATCTTGGCACAGCTGAAGCCACCACCATGAAGGGCAGTGACTTTGAAGTCACCAACGATTCAAGCAGAAAAGACAAAGCAGGCAGCAAAGACTCAGACAAACAAGAGGAGAAGCCAGACTATGCTAATCCCATGTTAGTTAAAGAAATGTAAGTAGAAATGCACCCTTTTCATAGATGTTTTTTTACAAATGTTTTAACCCTCGGACGCACAAAGGGGGTGGATGCCACCATCCATAAAGTTTCTCTGAGTTTTTTTCCTAGAGGATACAACATCAGTACCTGAGGTTTTCAGTAGCTGTTCATTCATCCCTCGCGCACATTTTGAGACTTGTTTAGTTATGTTTAGTTGCTATGGTTGCGAGATATGACGTCATAACAGAAAGTGGTCAAGCCAATTTTGGGTGAAAATACATGTTTTTTCAACTTCTTTCAAAAATAAAAGTAAATCGGGTGGCTAAAATAAAGTAAAGTGTTTATTTATGTGTTATTTTTCATGTAAAGCACAAAAAATTACCATTTCTTGATTTTTAAACCTAATTTCTAATTCTTGGTAAAATCCAAGATGGCGACCATTGTTGGTGACGTCACAGGCTACCAGTAGCGCCCCCACCCCATGAATGTACCTCATCTTGTTAAGAAGATCAAAGGCTTTCCACCAAAGGTAAAATCGTTTCAAAATACTGCAACATATCTAAAACTCCCAGGAGAGGTTCCATCCATCCCCCTCACCCCCCCTTGTAACACGGTGGGGGTATGAATTTACGTGTACGTCCGATAGTTAACATTCTCTTACAATTTTATTTGGCGCTTCAAGACAAAATGAAAACACAGAGATATTTTAACACAACTATGAAAACACAAAATCGGGTAAATTCTAGCATTTTTTGTGATTTATGTGAAAAAAAAATAGAACTTTAACGGCTGGGGACTTTGCTAATAGGTTTTGGGGTGAAAAAGAGGGCGGGGAGATCATGGTGATTGGGGAATTCTTTCAACCTCAATAACCAGTCCACCGCAATACAAGATCACATTCTGAAACCATATTTTTGCTTTGCTATAGGAGGAATATGCTATGCATTTTCAAGCTGATTTATGGGGTAGGCCTTCGAGCTCTCAGAAGTCTCTTTATGGATATCAATCCCTCGTGGTCCAATCAGCCTTTAGATGCAGCCTGCTTTGACAAAGGGACAATGAAGCTCAGAAAAGAACAAGAAGTCCTTTTCAACAAAGGAGACATTAACGAATGGGATTTCTCCTTAATGACAACAGTACTTCTTTACTCCAAGATTTGTTCAGTTGAGATAAGCAAGAAACCTGATTTCGCACCTGCTCTGAGGGAACTGAGAAAGTGCCGCAATAGTTTACTGGGACATCCTTCCACCGAAAGAATGTCTGAATCGGATTTCAACACCTTTTGGCCGCTTTTATCCGACAACTTCATTAAGCTTGGTGCAGATCCCACAGAAGTTGCAGAAATATTGCTCCAGTCAGGTATCTGTAGTAATAAAAAAGAAACCCTCTATGTAATCTGTGTCCTAACGTTTCTCGAAAGATCTGGAGAAACTTACATAATTCATTTGAGATGCTTTGTGACTTTGAAAGGTATTTAAAAATACATTGGTGCTCATCAGTTCCCGCTCAGTTCGCAAGTCTTGAGGAACTTGGGACCTGAAAAATGCCAAATCAGCTATATCCGGTATACTGAAAGTTTAACTGTTTCAGAGAAGCAGAAGAACGTTGTGAAAAACCTTTGCTTCAAAGCAGTATGCGAATATAGCCTCAACTGTGTTATTTGATGAAGGAATAGATTGAGTCATTAAATGAACCAATCAGCTTCATTAATAAGCGAAACAGCAAACCTTGGGCAGTTTTTGTAGTACCTATAAAATATGGCCAATTTTTTAGAAACGTACAATTACCTGTTGCGTTAGCAGGGAAGATCGCTTGACCAACGTTAGGCGACCTCAAGAGTTGACCTTTTTCATGTATTCCTGATGAAATACAAATAAATAAGTTAAAAGTTCTACAGTTATAGGACTTATCAAGGAGTTGAGGTGTGCCTGATTTTTCAAGTTTTTGCTCTTAATTTGTTGTTATTCTTGTTGAATTAGATGAAGTCCACTACTCAGGAGAATACTACAAACAGCTGTTTCTAAAAGAAAAATCCAAAGAAGACTATTGCAGGGAAAAGCTAGAAGTCATTGAAAAGAAATTGGACACTGTAATTGCAAATCAACCGACTGAAGCTGCGCCTGGCGTTTTAAGCGACGCAGTTAGCCCAAAGGAGCTCAGCGGCCCCAACTGGGATGAGTGGATAAAGTTCTGTGATGTTGTTGGTAACTTTGAGTCACACCTGAATCAGTACATCCTGGTTACAGATGCCCTTCCTAATGAAGAATTGGAGTGCTTTTCGGTTTTGAGAGCGGTGTCGTGGAAAATGGTCTTAGATTTTGATCCAATGTCAGAGGAAAAGGGTTTCTATTGTGAATTCACCTCGAAGGAGGGACAACGTAATTTAGTCAATATGCTCACACCAGCAGAGTTAAGAAAAAGCACAATGGGTAGTCTTCTACGTCAAATCGATCCCCAGAAGATTCAGTGGCTCTTTATTAATGGCAGGCAGAGTGATGCTGAGGGAAGTTCACAGTCATTTCCAGATTGGGAGGCTACCTCAGTTAAACACGTCACCAGGCTCTTTAGCTGCTGCTCTGATCCTGACAAATTTGACAAACAGAAACCTATAGTGTGCCTTATTCTTCCATTTCGCAACGTGACTCTGCCATATTTGAATGTAACCTTGAACCGTCTCATAGAAAATTTTGATGAATTCAGAGTGAGGTTTGTCTCCTTCAAGCACGAGTTTTCTCACCTAATTCCAAGAAAGTTCGAGGTCCGTCATTTGGACTTGAGTCCCAAACTTGTCCGTTTGGGTTTGTCAGACTTACTAAGTGTGTCAGCAAGCCAAGAATACCGCCTGCCCTCTTCGCACGCTGGTATTCCTGCCAAACTAAGCCAGAATGAATTTCTTTACCTCAGCGAACACCTGGAAATCCTGTATCAAGGATGTGAAAGTCTGCCAGAATTTTCAGATGACCCAGCTGAAGCAGAGATTTTTTTTGAAGAACACAGAAAATCATTCATGTCAGGAAACCAAATTTCGCTCATAAGTCTTTATGACAATCACGACGCAAGAAGAGAATTAAGTGTGGATATAAAAAACCACGTTCAACGTCTCCTCGATCAGGGTTTGACGCGATCTATGATTGTTGAAATCAGGCACTCTCCTGGAACTGGTGGTTCTACCATTGCCCGACGGGTCCTGTGGGATCTGCACAAGACATACCCTTGTGCTTTACTGAAAATATTGAGCTCTCCACACTACTTTGACGAGGACAACACACTTTCAGACAAATTTGCCGACCGTATATCTGCATTAGAAGAAATTTGCGAGACATCTCCAGTGATCTTAATAGATGGACAGCAATCGGGAATGATTGGGGGCCTGTCAAACAAGCTTGTGCGAATGCTCTGCAACAAAGGTAAACGAGCCCTTTTGTTACGTTGTCAGCATGGATCAAAAACGTCGAGAAGGGAGGAGTCATCGAATGTTCACTTCGTATTTGATGTGAATGTGAAGCTAGAAGAGTCGATTTCTGATCTCAATGAGTTCCAATCGAAGTACAAGGAATACATCAGTAAAACACTTGGTGAAAACCAACGACCTAACCTGCGCCGTGTGTTCCATTTTCCTCTGCTTTCCATGATGGAAGAGTTTCGTCCCAAATTGGAGAAGATCATCGATGACACCCTGGACGAAATGGGAGGTATTCAGCAAGAAATAGCGCTGGTAGTCGCTTTCTTACAGAAATATGCCAATCATACCACACCGGCTCTACTCCTTTACGATGCGTTTAAGGATTACATTCGTGTTTCACAAGATGAAAAATCAGCTACCTATGAAGACATCAAATGCCTTTTCACCGAGCAGTTGCTTAACCTAATGATACCGGCAGAACCACTCCGCCGCAGAGGGAAATCAAGTGGCCCACGGAACGCGGCACCCGAAAAGTACACTCTTCAACATCCGTTAGTTGCAGAGTTGGTGCTAAGGAAGGTTTTACGGGCACAGGAATGTGATCTGTTTGGAATGGTCAGAAAGTTCCTTCAGCTTCCTATTTACCATCAAGAATGTTTCCTTCCTCTTTTTGAGGAATTGTTTCTTTACAACAAGTATGGAATGAAACTTAAATTTTCAATCCTGTTTGAAGACCTAAAGCGCATCGATTCAGAGCTAGCAGGACAGGTCTTTTGTCAAGCAGCTGTGAAAACGAATGACGCCGCCATATTTGCCAACGCAGCAAGATTCCTAGCAAAGAAGGAGCCTCCATCTTTTGAAAAAGCCAAAGTTGTCATGCAGCAAGCTTTTCAAGCCAACAAATCGATGGTTAGATTGCGCAGCTTATACCACACGAAAGGTGTTGTCCTGTATAACGAAATGAAGCACAATATCAATACTGGGAAAGTAAAAAATCTCCAAACTCTTGAAGATCAAGCCAGTGAAGTACTCAGCGCTTACCACAAGGCACGCAACTTCCCTCCAACATATCCTCATCCCTTGATTGGCGAAGTTGAAGTTTGGCTAGCTTGTGTTGACTGGATCATGAAGAACAAATGCAATCGCGATTCGGATAACACTTTGAAGTTTATTACCAAACTTTCACCTTCTTTCTTTCGCACCTGTGTCAGTGATTCTTTTTATCTTCTTGATGTTGTGGATGAAATTGTGCAAAGTGTACCAAACTTGACAGATCCTGAAGAAACCCAGCGGCTCAGTAATAATGCGCGCTTATCGCTGATGGTGACCTTTAAACAAGGTCTTTCAGCAACTGGACGGAGGAAACATACAGATGAATTAATCCAGGTCTGCGAGGCACTGTGCAGTGCTCCCAATTTTCCAAGAACGTCACAGATAGAGCTAAAGAAGCTTCAGGCTTACTTCTTTCTACATGCTAGTGATCCAATCGACTTAAACTTTGAAAACCTCCAGTATCTACTGAGGCTCTTGGAAGAACTGGTTTTAGTGGAGAATGAATTTCGGCTTGCTCACCATTTGATGAAAGTGTGTGTTCTGGTAACTGGACCAAGAAGCTACAGCCTCCAGCAAGGCCTAACTCTAAGTGAGAGATGGCAGGATGCTTCCCCTAACGATTGTATGCCTTATTTTTATCAAATGGCCATTTACTTTTTGAACATCCTTGACGGGCACTCACTTGAATTTGCGGCAAAGTACGTCAAAGCTTTAAGAATGTGCCGCGAAAAGTCCCAGAACCATTTTCGAAGTACACAGTCTACGTTATTTGTGGGAAAAGAAGGGCAAGGGATGTCTCGCCTTATCAACCGCAACACTTTATTCCAAGGGGAAACTGATTACGCTACAGACAAGTCTGAGAAAGTGTCAAAATTCTGGAGGATAGACAGTCGGAGGAAACTGCTGGAATGTAAAGGTCGGATACGAGTTGAGCAGTCTTCAGGTCGTCCTGGGAAGATCCACCCTTACATTGAACTAGTACAAGGAAACCTGCAGCTTTATGTTGGCAAGAATGCAAACATTGGCAAAGCAGAAAGGGACTTTGCCCCTGGTGCTCTGGTATACTTTGTCGTAAGTTTCAACCTTCATGGTCCTGTTGCTAATGGGATTACTTTCTCGTCGCAAAAGCCATCTCATGTTTAATGGCTTTGCATTATTGAAGTGTTGTTGAATGAAGAAAATGAAAAGAGAGCTTAAGGAGGACTACTGGGAAGACGAGATCAATCTCGACCCAGAGCTGTTCTGCGCATGTAGAGGAGAGAGCGCACGCATTCCCAAACCCGTAAGCACTGGGGTCGAGAAAAGGACGAGATTTTTTCAATACTAAGTATTGCGCGCATGAACCAAGGCGAATCTAGGTTTATGTTGAATGCACACTGAGGCTTTCTATCTTATCACCTAAGGTAGGAAAGAGCTCGGCAGGGTAGTATGGCAGTTGGAAATACAATCATAAACAGGCAAATGCAAAATTGAGAGCTGCCTTGATGAATAAGGATTTTAAAGCTTGAGTATTGTCTGTTGCTGAAGCCATGATTGAAGCTCTGCACCAAAGTATCGCTAACTCGGAGATGCAGTAGCAAAGTGCGCAGCGATGATCAGCAGTTTTGAAAGCATAATAATCACCATTCCATCACAGCCCAGTAAAGAAACGATAAACTAAACCCTTTATACCCATTATCCACCGTGATTGATATCTTTCATGACAAGAAACAGCCTTTTTTTCTTCGACAACTCTATTTTGGAGCAACAGTGAATTCAAAGATTTAGGAATAACTTAGTTCTCTGATCAGCATTTGAGATGGAATTCGCACATCGACAGGTTGTGGCCAAAGCAAACAGGATGCAAGGACTAATTGAATAACAGAACGTGCAGAAATTTAGGTGATCACGAGACACTGAGAACTCATTAAGATGATTTATCTCTTAGGAAGAGATATACAAGAAGGAGCATTCTTAAATACAGATTATTTCCTTTGGGTTGTTGACACATAGAACTCCCTGCCTTACATTCTTAGGGCAGCAACTGTAAATTCTTTTTAAGTAGGAGTAAAGAAATTATTTATGGAATAGAATATTCTCTTTTTTTGCAATGTTAATCTTTTCCTACCATTATTATTTATTGTTATTATTCATAATTATCATTACCGCTCTTTTTTTATCGTTTATTCATGATTTGCTAAGAAATATTTGTATCATTGTATTGTATTGTATTGTTAGAGTGCCTTTTTAACGTTGAATATCAGTGGAGATATGCTTTCACATGGAGTCGAGGATCAAGTTTCCTCCCTTAGCTTATTTTTTTTCTTCCTCTAGTAATTATTGTAAACCATTAATTATAATAATTGATTAATTAATTAATTAAAAATTTGTATGATAATGTATATTTAGCCTCGTCCCGAGGAAATTTATTAAAACTGCTTTTTGGTGGTTTTTTATAACGTCTTCGAGTAGGCTGTTGTGAGCCTGGTTGCCCTGTGACAAATATATTTTCATGCGGTACACTATAATGAGCATATATGAAGTACCTACACCAGCGAGTGCAATATGGCTTCCACAAGTTGCTGCAAGTGTATGATCGGTCCTTCCATTCTCAACGCTGATCTGTCCTGCTTAGCTGAAGAATGCAACAAGTTACTTGAATGCGGAGCAGACTACTTGCATCTAGATGTAATGGATGGGTGAGAACTAATGTAATGTGAAGAAAAACATACATTCTCCCGCGGTCGTTTTTGATAGTTAAACTGATTTTTATATTATGTTTAAAAAGCGTATTTAACTTTGTATAAAAGCTTATAAGGTCATATTTCTACAGCCATTTTGTACCAAATTTGACGTTTGGGGCGCCATTAGTCAAGTGCTTAAGGAAAAAAGTGCCAAATGCTTTTTTCGGTGAGTAAGGAAAATAATCTTACTTATTTTAGCCTAAGGTCGCTGGGCATGATTGTACCGGAAGTGGCGGGGGCGGGGGTGGGAAGATTAGGAGTGAAGGCGTGGAATCGGTGAAGATTCAATTTTTTACAAGATATATATTTTTTGCTTCTTTGGCTATTTCCAATGTAAAATATTGCTAAGTTTTTTTTGTTTTGAGAATTATTTGTATTTGTCTTGTGTTTTCCCTGTTCAGATATGCATATGATGGTGGCAAATCCTGAAAAGGTAATCAAGTAATGAAGTACTTGTAAATGAACCATTCCTTTCAGAACCCAGTGATTTAAACACTAGCCTGTACACAGCCGTTGTTTTATTTTTCGTTCTTTTAGAACTTTTTTCCCTACCCATACCCCCTTGAGCTCACGTGGGCTCAGCAGACTTTGAAGAGAAAATAGAGGGTCTGTGAACAGGCTATTTAAACACCAAGTAGCTCTCTGCCCTCCATAGGTTTGCTACCCAGCTGTCAACAACTGCAGCTTGTTGAAAGGATTAATAATAATTGTTCTTTTTGCTCTTGGTTGCTTTCAAGTGGGTTGATGACATGGCTGATGCAGGTGCAGACCAATACACTTTTCATATTGAAGCGACAGGTATAAAAAAAATATAATAATAAATAGTGATTTAGAGGTAGCACATCCATGTAACAGTTAGTGGTTCTTCATCTACCTGATCCCTGATTAAATTGGAATTTGGAAATGTTGGTTTTTGATGAGAGGGGGGAAACTGGAGTTCCCAGAAAAAAAACCTGCGGACAGGGTAATAACACTAACATTTCAAGTTGCAGGGTAAATACAACAAGTAGGCGGGGGATCAAACAGCTAGGAATTTCTTTTGGTTCTATTTTTCTTTTATTTTCCTTTGAAAGTAGGCAGGGGCCACATTCAAAGTAGCCGGGGGAAATCCCCAGCCCTCGCCTCTTAATGACAGCCCTGTGTGGAGCAAAGGAGAAAACCAACAACAAAATCAACCCACATATGGCATTGACACGAGATTTCAACCTAGTGGGCCATGTTGGTAGGAGGCAAAGTGCTCTCTCCACTGCACTGCCCTTGCTTAATATGCTCAACCATATAGAAAAATTGATTGATTAATTAATAAATCAATTAATAGTAAATTAGGTTTTTTCTTTTGTTTACTGAAATAATGTTAAGTTTCTTGGCTTTGACAAACAAAATTTCACAGAATAATAATTAATTAATTTGATACTTATCACTCAGATCCATGTAAGGACATACATTTAAGCTTCATCTCATGCATGATGACATGCAATGTTGATATCCAGATAATGGCAGTAATTTTAATGGTATAGTATATAATTTCTGTGAAGGTAAAATCTATTTTCAGGTTAAGCCAGAATTTTGGTGGTGTTTTGTGAATAATTATTAGGGCTAGAAAACAAAGGAAATGGTAAATTAAACTAGGTTGAATTCTGGTTTAATTTGAGAATAGATTGATTAGGGTGCAAAAAAAGCCAAGGCCAAGACCTGTTTGGATAATGTAATGACTAGACTAAGCTTTGCCTATAATTTTCACTGTCACAAAAAACCTTTGCATTTAATGTTGTAATATTATGAGCGGTGCACAACAAAATGTACTCTAGCTTTACACTTCATTGTTTTTACTCCAATCAGACAGACCTCTACAGCTGATCCAACAGATAAAGAAGGCTGGAATGAAGGTGGGTGTGGGAGTAAAACCAAACACACCTGTGGAGTCTGTACTGCCACTTGTAGACCTGGTTGATATGGTGCTTATCATGACAGTAGAACCAGGGTTTGGAGGACAGAAGTTCATGGCAGATATGATGCCAAAGGTACTAAATATTGTATGGTATATTTCAAAGGTTAAGCCTAAATGCATAATTTACTCATGTGCATGTGAAATGTGACAGTGCAGTAATCATCTCATCATCTTGGACTAGAAACCTTGTGTCTAGTATAATCCACACAGAAATGCTGGCTACCCACAGAAAATAATATTTTTAGAGTCAGAATGATAATAACAAACAAAGGATTAATTTTATTAATCCTAATGCACAATATATATATTTTTCTAACACTTGTCTTTTTGGAAAAAATTAAAACATATCCTATAAATAATGTGGGCATATAAAGGTACCACCCTCATAGCTAAAATTTCTTCCTCAATGCTCAAAATTTCAGTAACATTTTTCCAGATAACTGATAATATTTCTTGAATGAAATGGGGCAGCTCCCCTCCCATACATACATACCCCCCACACATACACAGTCACAACTGTGACACTGGAGAGATATGCCTTTGGAACTACCGTTATTTATTGATTGATTACGTGCCCAACCTTGATTTAGTGTCCACCTCGAATAAGCGCCCATCTTGTGGGAGGAAAAGTTTAAAATAAGTGCCCAGCCTCAAATAAGTGGATTGATAGAGTATCGTACTCACATATTTTGCAATAAGTTAATTGCTTGATATTTTACCAGCATTGCTTTGATTCATACGTTTACTAGTGTTTCTTCTGTTGCATTGTTTTTCAAGGTCAAACATCTAAGAACAAAGTACAAAATATTGGATATTGAAGTTGATGGAGGAGTAGGAATCCAAACAATAGAAACAGCAGCTCAGGTATCAATCGATACATGAGTGTGATTACATATAACTTAGTCGCCTTCAAGGAGGCTCTCCATTTGAGGGATGCAGATGTTCTGAAAGGTCATGCACAAGTAGCCTGCTTTGCAGCTGGACTTGTCTCTCAAGGCCCAGACAGTCTATGACGCAGGCTACGCACAAGCAGCACAGAAAGGAAATGCACAAGACAGTGAGGTGCTGGGAAAGCACCTTTCTTGTGGATTCACTCATGTATCACCTTGCTCACACCTTGAAATGGATAGCTTGCTCAGTGGGGAATGAGTTAGCTAGAATTGATCATTGCACAGGCAGACCAAGAATGACACGGAGCAATATCATGTGGACATGTTAACACAAAGATAATTCACAAAATAAAAATGATCTACAGCAAACTTTCCAGGCAACAAACTTTCAGTTCAATTCTCTTCTAGCAATATTACTGGACAAAAAAATGGTGTGAATCTTCCAAATTTGTTTAGTGTTAGCATGTTACAATAACTTAGCCATGAGATATACAGTCATGTATTTTTAATGGGTAAAAATGTTTGTCATATCTTAACCTACTTTAAACTTTCTTTTTTAGGCTGGAGCCAACATGATTGTATCCGGTAGTGCTGTGGTCAAAAGCGATAAACCAAAAGAAGTAATGGATACTTTGAGGGAAGTAACAGAAAAGTGGATAAAGATCAACAGTGAAGCAAGTCAATAACACAGAACAGTTATTCAAATGTAGCTCTAGTCATAACTGACATCCTAGTCTATTTTGTAATGCACATCTGATGACTTATAAGTAAAATGGCATTCATTTTGCTTTGACAGCAAGGATCTATTTAGTGTACATCCTTTTTGATAAGAGGATTGTCATATTTATCATATTTAAAATTGCAGCAGGAGACAATCCTGGCAGGTTACAGGGCCCGTTTATTTAGGGCATTCTCACTGCTGTAATCTCTCTCCAAGATGAACACTACTGAGAGCATTACCAAGAGTCTGTCTTAAAAGTGTCCACCTCTAAGAGGGTCAAACAATATAACTGAACTTGTAACAACAAGCATGAACTCTAGGTTTTCCTTTAAGCTTTGTGCAAATGGACGTGTAAAAGTTTGACCAGTTTCAAACTTTGCGCAACAACTCCCACAAACAGGCAACATGCAACAGGGTGTGCAAATGGATTCAACATCCAACAATGGTTTGCTCATTTGCACGGGGCTTTAGAAAAATGAGTACTGCTGAAGAGTTTTCATTTGAAAGGTCACATGGTAGATTTTATTCACAGAGACAACAGTTAGCTGCTGATTGTACCCAATGTCTTTACATAACTTTTGGAGGAAAAGAGTGGGTAATGCTTTTCATGCTTGATGGTTTCAGTCTGAACATTTGACAACCTCTTTGGCAGTACTTAAGGTAACTGTATTTTTTTACGTAAAATTTAGAATTTAGACAGTTAAGGGGATTCTTTTGTGATTCACCGCTGCATCATGGAACTGTAAAGTAATTTAAATAACTAGAAAGAACTCAATTAACTGCAAGGAGAACACTCCTGAAAAGATACTGAGGGAGACAATATTGTAACAATGAAAAATTACATTTTTGTAGCTGATGAGATAGAAAGTAATAATTTGTACACAATGGTGTATTCTTACAAAATAATCATACATGCATCTTTTTGAGTTTCTTGCTTTGCCTACATGCAAGGACAATTTTGTTTGTACAGTTATTTTCTGTCATTAAGCAAATAACGTTTTGTTTCTTTTTTTAATGTAGATGAGAAATTTCTTGGATATATTTTTGGTGATAAAAATTAGTGAAAGAAAGTCACGCCATTTCGACCTCTCCAAGGTCATTTACAAGTAGTATGAGTCAGAAATAAAAATTGCAAATGGTTTAAAAATAGTTTAAAAGGTAAGAATGCATTGAACAATAAAATACAATAAAACATGAAAATGATAGATGATAAAATATTTATAAATACTGAAAAGAAATAATAATAAGGCTAATTGAAACCGATCTAAAGAAATAATTTAATTTACTTTGTAAAAAATAATCTTCAGGAAGTCACTGAACAATTTCATGTCCATAACAAAAGTTATTCGTTATTCTTTCACTTGTTTAAACATACAACATTAGGCTGTCTTGCATAAACACACTCTGAATCAAATGTTGGAGATTTTTAAGCTCGTTTTAATGTGAGCACAGTGATCACTGAACAATTTTAATGATCATATGGAAACCATCCTTATCTCAGTGACCATCGCAATAATTGTTAAGAGTTGTTTTCTGATGTTTGCTGCGATCACCGATTCTTTTTTTTCCTGCCATGGCAATGAATGCATGGAAACCAGGTTAAAGTGTTAAATAATCAAAAATGACAGTAAGAACACACTACTACTGTGAGCAACACAATGTCTGTTTAATTTACAACATTTTACCACTACCCAACAACAAACAAATTACAGTTCCCCAAAACAACATCTAGTTCACAAAATTAAGGAATAATGTATTGTCAAACTAAACAATAAATAAACCCCTAAATGACTCTTATGCATGATTACATCGGATGGGCAAATTTCACCACCAAGCCGCGTTTGTAAGCAAATCTCTTCACATTTGCAGTCTTTGGGACTGAATATTCTTTTCAACAGTTTCTACCTTGGAAATTCATTATAATGCAAAACTTGGCACCTTTTCATCTTCAAAACGAGGCTTGGTGGTGAAATTTGCTCATCTGACATAAATGTGCACAAGGGTCATTAAAATAGAGAGACTTTTTCAGCCACTATTAATGCTTGGGAAGAGGAGGATACCATTGTTACATGTTACGTAAACTGGAATGAGTATGATGAATTCTAGCAAAAGATGTATGGTATGCGAGTCAATTCCTTGCTTGGCTTTGTTTCTTCTTCTTTTTCGTGACAAGTTTGTGAGGAAAAAAGTTGTACTGTGCAACCACTACTCAATTATTAATTTTAAATACCTAGTGAACACTGCTTTATTTTAAACCTTATAATTTAGTATTAAAATATTGTGCTCTTTTTGACTATTCCTTGTCATATCATTCTACTATTACGTCCAAACAATGTCGACTCCACAGTCAATAGAAAGTTATCTCATAACAGCTGAATTCATATTTATGGTAGATACATAAATCAGCTGAACACGAAGTTAAAATACAACCACAATGTTTAGAGTGTTGAAAAGGGATCTTCAGAAAATCACCCAAAAGAGATGTTATAGTACACTACAATCAATTAGTGTCAGGGCTGTCATTAAGACTTGGGGGCCAGGGATTTCCCCCGGCAACTATGAATATGGTCCCCAGCTACTTTCGTAAGAAAATAGAAGGAAAATAAAACCAAAAGAAATATTATTCCTAGCTGTTGGACTCCCTGCCTACTTGTTGTATTTACCCAGCAACTTGAAATCTTAGTGACAGCCCTGATGGTGACTTAGAGAACACTGTCTTAAGATTTTGTAAAGGTCGAAAAATGAATACAGGAACAAACCAGTCATAAAGCCCTTGCATTTCAAATATCAACCGAAGAATTCACCTTTCTGGCCTCTATGTCTTGTTTAAACATCAAGCCATTAACTTGCAAACAGTGATTACAGAGGAAATTTTGACGCTAAGGGAAGTTTTAAAATGGTGATTTGAGACATCACCATTTACCACTTCAGACTAAAACCTTTGTTCCAAAGGTCCAACAATAAAACTGAGCCAATCATCTTCACAGGGTGGCCATCTGCATTACCCATCAAAATCCGTTTTTTATTCATTTTCTGCATTATTTAATGACATTGCACCCTACTTGTCTATTTATTACTGTGGTTTCTTCATCATTCATTAATTTGCTTCTTCCTGCTTGGTTTGATTCCTTAGTCATCATCCTTTTTCTCATCACGCAGCATATACCTAAAAATTGACCGGTTATTATGACCTTAAGAATTGTATCAAATGAGTAAACTTTTAGGCTTGCGCTAAAATATTTTCACATGATGTGCTCAATATGAAAACCTACAAAACAAGTTGTAGAGTGTACAACACAATGACAAATCAGTTACAGGTTACTTCTACACACTGCAACTCATGTTGCAGGCTTGCTGTAAACAAATCACAAGTGACAAAGTTCTACTAGGTAAAGTGGCCTTTATACATGTGACATGATTACTTTGTGTCCAAATTATAAACTTTGATATGACCAAACCTAAGTATGATAAATCCTCTATTAAGCCCCCCCCCCCCCCCCTCTCTCTAGTAAGCCCCCATTCAGGGAAAGAAGCTAATAAGCGCCCACCTTTTTTTTAGAGGTTTAACTGTATTAAGAAATGCTACTAATTTTAGGGAAAAAAGAGATAAACAAAACCGTGAAACAAGTAGAAGTTTGTAATAAAAGCACTTTTGGTTGTTAAAATGGAATTATTTTAACATGTTTGAGTAAGATTATCAAGACTGTCAAGAGATCCTTACCAATCTGTAACAGGCTGAGACAAATCCATTTTACCAACATCGAGAAGAACCTGGGGGGTGGCAACAGAAATAAATGTTACTAAGCTTGTTAAAGAAAGCTAAAACAGACTACAGCATGAAATTGCATGTGTAAGGTGGGACCACACCTAATACTTCAACAGTTACCATAGGTTTCGATTTCCCCAAGTACAGCTGTACAGTTTAGCTTACTATACATAAAAGTTCACCATATAACCATCTTAGTGCAAAACAGTTAACAGACAATAAGGACCATTGTACATGACATTACATGTACCTGTCCCATGGAAGTCTTGCTCTTTGAGAAGAATGATACATCATTCTTGACTGTAATGTCCAGTGTACGATCTTTCAGCTGGTCTTCAGGAACCATCCAATCAAACCTAAATGTTTAACAACAACAAAATAATCTTAATGAACATTTTCTGATGAAGAACTTTTCAGACTTCATGACTATAAAGTCACCTTTCAAAAAGGGGAATTTTTTTGCCCAAAAAAGCCCTTCTATGTTAATTATGTTGTCTTCAAATACAACTCAAGCCCCCTGAAAAAAGCCTTTGGAAAACATACATGTAATCCTGGGTTTTCTTTTCTCAGAATCTCACAGTACTAAGTAAACACATACGGTAACTGTTGTACTTCAGATGTCATTTGCTTCAATCACTGTTCACGAAACTGTTACAAATTCTCTTTTTGCTGATTTGATGTAAAAAAAAAATGATAAAAATAAGACTTACGTTTCTTCAAAAGCTGGTTCCAAAGTGTTCTTCTTGACATCAGTACGTCTGCGGCCACTGCGAGACTTGTCGGGAAGCAGATAAGCTCGCACATATGGGTCTGACAGACCATCAGAGTCACATGCTAGTAAGTTCCTGTATGTTTGGAAGTAAATACATTAATAAGAGGAACTTGTCTTAATATAAACATGTTCAATGGATATGAAACTAGAAACTTATTCTTGTAAGAGAAGGTTATCTCTAGATGGTTCAATATTTCAACACCAACCTTGCTTGATGTACAATGACTTCCAGTTTGCTTCCCTGTTTGTTGTAGCGAGTTGTAAGGCGAATGTCACCGGACACACTTCTGCAATTAACAACAAAAGGGCAGGGAAATACAAGAGTAGTCACTCCTTTAGGAAATCCAGTGACCAATGTTTGCATTTTTTAACTACAAGATCTGTTTTTTTTTTTCTTTTTTTCTGATTGGGGGGGGGGGGGGGGGGGGGGTGTTTATTATAAAAATAACATTTAAACAAGGAAACAATGGAGTACCCAAAAAATCACCACATAATTAGCACCACATACTCTTGAAAAACCTAAGCATGTTTTGGTAAGGTAATAACAATCTGTAATAATAATGAGTTATTGATAATAATTAAGCTGGGTACGGAGAGACAATGTGAGGTAAAGTTTCTTATCTAAGGAACAAATGTATGGCACAGCCAAGTCTCAATCTGTATCAGTCAGAGGTTGAACTACTGTACTGCAATTATTAATGGTGTTCAAGCAGACAGCTTGCCACTTGCGACCATTCTAGTCCCAATCCTTAAAGTGCCTATCACCCGTATTCAGTTATATTAAATCTCCAACATTCATGTAGTTTAAAGAATTTTTGCGCAGAAATAAAAGTTATTTTGCATTTCAACACACTTTTATTGAAGGATGAAATCCACAATTTGAGGCTAATTTCCTGCCATATTTATTCAAAAAGGAGTGATTGAGAGACCTGGTACTAAATGCTTGTGACATCAACCCAGTATCTTGAAGCCAATCGTGTTATCGCCAAGATACCGGGTTGATGCCACAGGCTACTCGGCCCAGTCCCCTATAAAGCACAATTTTTACTTCGTGAACTGGGATTTTGATCGCCTGTTAAAAATCGAGATTGAGCTCAAATCCCATTCTATTGCTTGTTTTTGCATGTTATATGTTTCTACTTTTTAAAAAGAAAGATATTGGCTATGGGTTATAGGCACTTTAAGTCTCAACATCAACTTTCTCCTAACACTATCAATAATTATGTAATCGAGAAATGTTACAAAAATAACTCAACTGATCACTTAAGGGAAAATAGTTTGACCTTTGATCAAATCCTTTCAACTTACTCTTTAAGAAAATGTATGGAAATCAGTCAGTAATGTAGAGCGATATTGGGGATTGAAGGGCTGACCTACCGTTGAACCTTGGGAGCCGGTTTTCTTCGTCTCACAGTGGTTTCCTCGCTAGGAGCCAAACAAAAGCAGAAAAAAGCGCAGCGTTTTAGGAGACCATAATCTGATTCAAGACTGGAAGGTTTATGGCATGCAGATAGAAGTCAAGGTGTTAAAGGAAAGGTTAGTACGAAATCAGCAAGTTGAAGGTTACTCTATTAAGAAAAAAATATTTACTCTAGTTAGTACATGCACGACAGCTTAATATTTACATTAACTTTAAGTTTTAACCATTACTGTGCACATAAAAGATATTAAACAGGTTCATTAGTTTATGCAACAGTATTTGCTTAGGCAAGACTTAAATTATCTTATTTTTGAGTTTTAAGCTTTACTGTGCATGTGCACATTAATGATATTAATAAGGTTCTATTATTAATAGTTTACACTTCAGTATGTGCTTAATATGCAAGACTTTTAAAAGTGACTGAGTTTTAACTTTAAATAGGAAATTGGTTTTCAATTTATTTTAATATATTTTCTCTCTTTTAATAGCAAATATTATTGTTCTTGATCATGGCTGAACTTTAAATTTAGTTTTAACTTTTTTTTAACATTAACTTCACTCAAAACATAAAAAAGGCAACTTCTACGGCTGATAACTGGCTGCATGATAATATAATTATTAAATTTAGAAAAAATGATTGCTTATGAAAGAAAAATAATAACCTGAGATCTATAGTTCCTAAAAATTTAAATTTTAGGCTCAAATAATTTTACATAATTTACTTTAATTTTAAAGTAATATTACATGTAAGTTAAGTTAGATATTAGTAAAACAGTTATACCATATTTAAAATCCTTAAGGATATTAAAGTAAAAATGTCAGGATTGTATTTAACAAGGAATACAAGGAATTTAAGCAGAGCAAACCTTAATATAACTACATTGTCGTTACTGTCAGTAGCAGATACACTGCATTACTTAATCATCCTAATAGACTTCTACAAATAAACATAACATAACATAATTTATATAGCGCTAACTCCACTAATTGACCAAAGCGCTTTACAATTCATAATATTAAAATAATTAAAAAGATAATACATGTTTGTCTGCAGGTGATTATGTGGCAACTCCAGGGGTTTTTTCCTTGTTAATGTCATATTCAAATGCATTTGAAAAAACTTGGGTTTAATGTTGATTGTTGTGTGAACGAAGCCACCTATTAAATTTTTGAGTGGGTTGAAAATTCGTCCAGTGCCAGGTAGTTATAAACCACAAGAGTTACTACTAGTTACCTTTGCTTGCTTCCAGCAAGTTCATCGGCAGCAATCACATCTGGCTCTTCAGTGTCAGCTTCCTCCTCATCAGAGGTGTCATCATCTCTTGTAAACAATGCCTGACAAACAAACAACACTTGACCAATTACAAAGTCATATTTACATGCATCATAATTTTAACATGAGTGTAGGGCAGTTATTTAATATGTGCTTACGATCACTGCCTGCCTAGACTCCTCACAGTGAAACCTAAACAATGGCCACAGCCTACCAAGAGCGACATATTGTGATAGATGAGATGACACTGCATCACAGGGTAACCTTCAATGCAATCCTAATAAAATATTTCCCTTCACTTTGATTGGTAACTTGACAATGGCTTTTTAACTAGCCACTCATGCTGCATAGTCAAGTGGAGGCCTGAACAAGGATTTCAGCACTGTTTTATGGATGACGGATGGACTTTTAATACCAGAAGTTTCTGTAGTGCAGGCTACCAGAAGCCTTGCTAACTCACTTGGTTAGAGCAATGCGCCGGTATAACAGTGGACAGGGTGCAAATCCCTGCAAGCCTGATTTTTTTAATGTATTCACCATTTAAAAGTAGCATCCACTGTAGGGTCGCCTGTTCAAAAAGAGAGTGACCAAGTGTACTTCTCCATTTCATTGTGTTACATACCTTTAATGTGAACCTACAAGTCAGGGTGCTGTTGTGACCAGACTCTTTGAGGGGGAAAGGCTGTTCAAATGTCATATCCTCACTCTTCAGTAGTTGCATTAGTGGGAATTCTAATTTACCAATACTCTTCTCCTTCTGGCTGTCAATTATCTGTTGTAAGGGCAAAATTCAACTTTAATATTGAGACAACTAGATGTAAATATATTGAAATTAGGCTCAATATTAAGTTCAACCAGTCCATAAAAAGTCATCCAGAGATTTGAATCCTTTCATTTCACTCTTCTTACGACCCAACATCTAATCCACTCTTTAAACCAAACGTTTCTTAAAATCTGCCCGAAAAAAAGTCCCATGAAAGTGTAATGGACTTTTTAGTAATGGATACCAAACCAAGTACATGTGAATGCTTTTCAATTAACTTATCAAAACAAGGTGGCAGGGTGGTTTGTGAGGTCTTACTTGAGGCGTCCTTACGTACTTAATAACTTACTTACGGACTTGCACACCCCAAGAGGTAGTGCTTCACTGGCAATAAGCAAGTTAACACAAAAGTCAAAGTTTCCGTGAAGGATTGTTTTCCATTTTTTTAGTGCTTGACTCAACAGTAGTCAAAGGAAAAGGAAACAAAAATCCAGCTTACCTCAATATCTAACTCCTGATATTTTGGATCATGAATCAGGAAGCGGAATGGTTCTTCCCACACTGGGCTGATGGAATCTTGTATGGTCTGTTGAGTAAATAAAAACACCTACTTAGTAAACTGACAAATAACAAACTTCAGTAAGTCTAATATAGACACCAACAGGACTGGCACCATGTGTCTATCTTAGAGAGATGGCCGTTTATAGAGCATTTACAAAAAGGAGTAAAGGAAGGAAGGAACCAACTCTAGGTGTCCATTTTAGTGCGGTGCCATTAAGAGAGATGATTGGAACAGAATGTCACACAACATTACCAGTTCTAAAACAAGGGAAATTATATGGAATTTTCTGAACATAAGACAAGGAAACAATATTATTATACAAAAATCTTGTATTTTATTCTTTAATAATTAACTGCAATAAGTTCCAACTCATACAGATGAATTAACTATAATGATTGATACCTTGCTCTGCAAAGTGACATTTCCAACAGTAAGCTTGCAGAATGCACTTGTTGTACCACGAGCAGCATTTGTCACCTACACAATAACAGAAAAGTATGAATCAACAAACTGACTCTATAAAAATACCAGCATACGCAAAATTGAAAACTATTAAATTTTTTTCCCATTATGAGACCCAACTTATGAATATTGCTCTTTCTTTCCTGTGACACAAAAAAGTACTTCAAGTTTCCCTAGAACTCTCAGGGAAAAAATGGCTTTTCTACAATTTGTACACAGATTTCAATTCAAAATACCTTTCAAGATTCCCACTAAGAACCATTTACTTACTGGGAGATTTTTGGCAGAGTCAAGTTTTACAAACAAAGCAGCTGTTGCTAACATCTCCTCTCCCTGGACTGCTTGCTCTGGCTGTAAAATAAAGAAAAATGATAAAGTTAATGTTGTCTATAGTGTACAAGACTTCACTCATTAAAAACTATTGCTTTAAGCTAGCACTTTTCAGACTCAATAATACCATCAATTTTTAACATTGAAAGCTTCAAGAAAGCATTCTACTGTAGCTCCATAATAATAATAATTGTGCAATGCAATGAAGGTCTGACTTTTTAGTCTGCAGATGAAACCAAAGTGTGACAACAACAGTGAATTGTATATTTTACTCCAATATTTTGCAGTTACATGTATAATTTTTATATATTTTCCCTCTGAGTTATTAGGTATTGCTCTAAGAGCATCTTGTATCAAATCATTTATCAGATGATTAATAATGCCACTAATATTATTGCATACTTACTGGGGACAGATCCTCAGGTTTAGGTGTCATTGTGAACCATGTACAACGTAAGTTTATCTGCCCACTTTCAACATTCTCAAGTTGAAGCCACTGTATGAGAAAAGCAGAAATATCTGGTTACCTTTCTGCTCAAGAGTAAGAATCATTAGGGCTGGGAAAGGACAATATCTAGGAATCTCTGCTTCATTAGAATAAATAATTTAAACTAGCCTTTTTCTGCCCCTCTCCCCTCCCCTCCCCTCTCCCCTCCCCCCTCCCCTTGTCTAAGTAATTGCTCCCACATTTCCTATGTTTTTGTTTTGATCAAAAATGTTTTCTTTCTAAGAGTGAGACATAAGACTCCTTTATGTCTTGACCTGACTTCAGAAGGATCAAATCCACTAACTGCCTTGTATATTCCATTAAAGGTGCAAATCTTGGTTCCTGATACATTGATTCTTTTCTGTGTCAGTTTTGTACTTTAACACAGGGAATATAGTGTTGTTACATGTACACTTTAAAACCTTACCAAAGTATAAAATAAGGTCATTTCTTCCCCAATACCTGAGTTTTATATTACTGCAAGTACAGAAAACTCATTCTGCAACCAATTAATATTATTTGCATCAAACAAAACTTACCAGGTCAACATTGCCTTGCTGGACAATAGTACCAATGTCAGCTTCAACACTAAAAAGAACAAGCAAGTACAAGTAGTTAAAAAAGCTGCAAATAAGATTGATAAAATTCTGGACAGGTTGGTTCTATAAAAAAAGAGTGAAATTGCTGGAATTTGCCAATAACATGAATACTTCTAAGCCCCAGAGCTCCAACATTTCCCAGCCAATAATAACAATGTTTTATGTGGAAATAAATTTCCCTAGGAGAAAAATTTCAGCAGCTTAGCTGTTCTTCCACTGTATCATAATTATGTCAGATTCCCTGCAAAATGATAATTTTAATTGTACACATTATTATAACATTTCAGAACTCATCTAAGAGTAGGTAGAAAAAAGGAAAATTTGAAGGAGTTTTCTAGGCCTCTGAAAAAAAAGTCCTGTAAGAGTAAGGGAGTAATTTCAATCATTATAATTACTACCCACAGACCAGTTATCATAATGCATGTTTACGAACGGTGGTTGGTATATAGTACACTGTTCTTCTACCATGTGTTAGTGTTTTACTGAATTGAAGATACTAACGTTCCAAGACTCTCATCATCAGATGCCTTGTCCTCATCAAAGACAGCAATCTTTATCTTCTGACCATGAGAGTTGTCAACAAATGCCTGCAAAATGATGATAACCCTTTGATAAGTTCTCTTTACACTAAGGAAACATGAAAAACTACTACACAGCCTGAAAGCAGGCATTTCTGCTGTCTCAATGGAACCCTAAACCCATGCTCTAACCCCAAATGATCACTTCCCTCCTTCTATCTTTTCTGTTTCTTCCTTTTTCCATATTTATGCCCCAATTCCTTTTGTTTCACTGAAAGGTGCCTTTCTTTCCCTTATTACTTTCTTACTGGAAAAAAAAAACCTACAGTACACAGGATTAGAATAATACTTATAATAATATGAGGCTCAGCATACAATGTACCTCAAACACTTCATTCCACACTGGATTCAATGTACTGTCCTTTGTTTTTGTTTTGAATGTTTTGGCTCCCACTAAAAATACAATGACACAAGCACTTCAGATTATAGGTGACTGTCAGTAAGGTTCAAGCTTGTAAAGCACGTAGTTAAACCTATACATTTAATGGACAGTGACATAATCCACATACACAATTATGAAAGAGTACTTTCTTGTTAAAAAAAAACTTAGATCTGGAAGCAGAGCTCGTGAAATGACTCTGGCTCGGTTGTGCTTTAGTAGTGCCCATTCTTTTGGGCTCTTGGGTTGGATTCCAAAAATTTAAGCGTTAACGTCTGGCATGAAAATAATGAGTTAGACTGAGCTGAATGTCAGATTTACACCATTACATCTGACATAAAGATTAATACAAATGGCCCCGTGTGACCTTTGCCTTTACGCAATGAAGAAGTCTTCAATTCTGCATGCTAGACATCCTGGATTGGGCTCTTAGAATTACTGTTCAAGCCCAGATTAAATCAGACTGTACCTCGGAGAATAACATATGGGTCTGAAGAGCCTTTCTTGAACACTCCAATGTCCTTTTTGACTAAATCTTTAGCTTCTAAAACTTCAATTCGCAGAACACCCTGAAATAAATCATTAATAACTTGAGGGAGTTTTCATAACTTTCTCATTAATGTAAATACAGTGAAAACAATGAGCAAACATTCACTTACATCAGGCATGGGATATTTGAGTTCATAAGGATCAACATCAGTGAGTGGAACTGTAATCCTGTTAGGGAGCACCACAAATCCAGCAACTACGTCATCAATTACTCCACGAATAATGTCACTGAAAGGAATTACAAGAACAAACAATTAAGTGACTCATGATTCAGTACTTTTACAAGGTTTGAAAGTAGAAGTGGTAGTTTTGTACATGTAAGTAAGAGCTGCAGACAAGAAGTCCTAATTTTGAGTTTTGGGAATTTACATGTACAACCAACACTTGCAATGGAAATAGATATCGCAAATTAATAGTCAAGATGAAGTGGCGAATGGCTTATTTTGAAACACCGTAAGAGAGATCAGCATCATTTTTCTCCTTGTTACAGTCCGGAAGATCATGGGGTAATGGAAATGACTTTTCTTTATTTCCTTGTAAGGATGTGTATGAGCACAAGGATTGAGAATTTGACTATAAATTTAGGATGGTATAAGTGTTCTGAAAGTTATATTCAATATATTTTTGGCTACTTCTCAGCTCCTGGAAACCGGAAACTGTCATCCTACATCAGACCATGTTCAGCTACATTTTAACCCTGTTCTGAACAAGAAACTGCAAATCCCCAACCTAGATTTCCAATACCAGTATCTGTTTCCTAGCAAATAATACATTGTTTTACATAATGCATGTTTATCACATTTCTCATAATTTTATAATAATATCCTGTTCAAGTGTAAGGAATGAAAATAAACCTACCTTAGACCAGGAATGTCAAGTATGTTTGCCAGATTTGTTAAATCAAAATCTATGTCCTGATGAATCGAAACGGAAAAAAATACACTCTACTTCAACAATTCATTCTTCAAAGCAATACTGTAGATATATGCATTAAATACATTTCTGATATCAACACAATGTATGTATCTTTCAAAAAGGAAACTTACAGGTCTGTTAAGAAAGAAGACAGAGACTCCACCCACAAGAGGAGCAGCTGGAATAAGAGGTCGCAGAATCACACGCAGGCTACCACGAATCTACAGGAAGAAAAGATATAGTACTAACTTAGTACAACAGATTCCTTCTAGAGTAGGATGAAGGGTGTCGACTGCACTACTGGGACTCCAGCACCGTCGCTCTGGAGGGCAAAACTAACTCAGGGAATTTCTCGAGTGCTCACGTACCCCTTGTTAACCCCCATAATACGTGCCTATTTCCATCTTGGAGTCACCTCAGGTACAAACATCATACCTGAGCTGACCTAATGTCAAAATCCTAGACAAAGCCCACCACATAGTTCATCCATGAGCAGTTACTGTTTAATCCAGAGAGAAGCAGGGTGCAATGAAAGTCATGTCTGACAGCCCATGGCTAGTGGATTTTGCGTTGGGGCTAGTGGATTGTGTCCTTTACTAGCCCGACGGGCAAGTGAAAGTTTTGGGGGAAATTTCAGACGGCCACATAGAATTTCAGTTTAAAAGTTACTCGATTCAGGTAAAAACCTGTAAACAAAAATCTTGGGCTAGCTGAAATGGTATTCAGGCTAGTACATGCTAGTTTCAGGTTGCCCGAAGGGTGGGCTGTTAAAATGATTTTCGTTGCACCCTGATAAGACAAAAAAAATTATACAAAGTTTTTTTTTTGGAAAAGGACCACATACATGTTACTGGAGCTAGTAAAAATTAATATTAACAAGGTTTTACTCCAAGACCAAAATGAAAACACAAAACAAAGTAGAAACTTGCCTCACAACCACCCCAGTTATACAACAACCTCATTATTGCAACCCAAACTTAAAAACACTGACTTGCTTTATTATTTCGAAGACCACATTAATACGACTACCTCGTTATTACAAAAAGGACAATCTAAAGCAAGGCCAATGCTACAAAACTGGGTTATTAAGGGAAAGATAGGGTTAAGTAGCAGAGATTTGTTGAATGAATAAGGACACATTACCTGGAGATCTTCAATACCAACTGAAATTCCCTTGACAGACAGCTCAAAATCTGAGTCACCTGCATAACTATATTTAAAAGAAAACAAGAAACAGTTATTCAAAATGTTTCTACCTAATTCTGTTGTGAATACAAAACTTAAATTTTCAGGTATCCAAATACAGTCCACTCCCGATAATTTGAACCTTCTCAAGGAAATTGAAAAAAGTTAGAGCTTATCAGGAGTTTAAAGTAAATGACTGGAAATAAGCAAATAAGAAAATGGGATAGGGAAGGAACGCAATTTTGTTATTAGTATCATGCACATTCACTTAATCTAAGGGCAGCAACAGATGTACCGATATTTTGAAAAAGGAATAATTCCTTTTATAAAACCACAAAGCTTGTATATTAAAACTATACAGGGTTACTTGTACTGGACTGACAAAAAAGTGAAGACAAAGAATACATGGTTGTTTTTGAAAATAAATTCAATGTTTCAGACTGCAGTTCATGCCCCTTTTTCGACCTGTCACATGCTTAAAACATGGTTCGAGTTGTTGAGAGTATAATAATGATCTGAAGGGGAAAATGAGTTACTTAGAGTTAGCAGGAGGTTCGAGTTATCATGGGTTCAAGTTACCGAGGGTAAAATTGCAGTAATTTATTGTATAAAGGAAATCCAGGTTCGAGTTAACGAGGGTTCGAGTTATCGGGAGTCAACTGATACATGTATATAGTTTTTTACCACAGTGTTTTAAAAAACAGAAATGCCAGTCCAATTTCTTAACCTTGTAATTCACACTTATCTGGAGACACCAAGGAAAAGAACACACACTGCTTTTACTGTACTATAGTACAAAATGATTATAATGACTTTTTTTCAAGTGACATATGTTGTCGTGTTATGTTTTAATAGATAGATTAAGATTCACGTTTATGCCAAACCGCAAACGTCAGATTCAAGTTGAGAATTTCTCAAAATAGAAAATAAGCAGATAAAAACTGTCCAGAACAATATTATTCTTATGTACAAAACTGGCCTGAAATTACTTATTTTTTAGTTGAAGTAATAAACATTTAATGACAATTAAGGGGAAAACTTGGTCACGTGGTACAAATTCATGTTTGCCGTTTGGCGTAAACGTGAATCTTAATCTCTCTAATAAAAGACAAAAATACACCACAAAAGCAGACCAATCTAATTCAGAGTGGTGAACACTTACATTAAGTCAACATCCATGATTATCTCATTGCGGTCAACGTTATGGGTGTATGTCTTAATGCCGCCGATACGAGGAGGCTATAAATAAAAAGATAAGTAATGTTTGTCATAAGTGTTCATTCCGCTTTGACAAAACTAGAAAAATACAGATCCTTGCAACTGCATGGTGGCAAGCAACTACATGTTGTGTCATTTCATTTCCACTGGTCAATAACATAAACTGCCACTTACATTCATGTATGTAAAAGAACCCCATCCCCCACCACCACTTATAAGCTCCTTAAAGGCACATCTACATGTAAATAACAAAAGATATTTCATTTGATTGTAAGCCTCCCTCTAGCCCTTCTTTTCTTGAATTTGATTACCGGTATTATGATGTATTGAAGCTTAATTAAAAACGAGTAAATGCAAAAATTAATAATTATTTTTTGATCAGCACTACTATAACAGTAGCTCGTTTCAAAGAGCTATTTCTGTTCCAGCTATAAATCTCCTCAGATAGAAGCTCCTCAGTTTATGAGTCCTCCTAAAACCTCTTAGGAAGATGCATAGGCCCAGCACTTATGTAAAGTGGCAGTTCACAGTATGGGTGGCAGGATTTTTCTTTTATAATGGAAATGAGGATGAAAAAGTTCAGGGACAGTAAAAAAAATCTAATTCATCAAAATGCTGGAGGTGGTGAAAACTCCATTGTGAGGATGCACTAGACAGAGCTCCTGCTCCTTTTTTGCTGTGGTTATCAACCTCCTCAGAATTTTTCCATTCTCCATCCTCCTAAAGCAATAGTTTTAAAGTTAATCTCCTGTAGATAAAAAGTCTTGTTGTCAACTGCTGGTAACTTTTAGTTTCAACTGTCACCTCCCCTGTCAGTAATTCAACTTGTAAGAGTTGACCTACCACTTCACCAAGAGAGATTTCTTCAAAATGAATGGAGCTGAGAAAACTGGGCATATTTTTCTGAATCTCCGGCTCCACAGTTTCTTTCAAAATCTTTATCACCATATCATTGATGTATGGCCACAGTTGAACAAGCATCTAAAGCCAAAAAAAAGCAGCAAACTAATTTCAGCCATATAAAACAAGTAGAGCAAATCACAGCAATTCTCAAGGCTTTTATTCACCCATTTACAGCGTACAAGTTATGCATACATGTAGTCTTCAGAGAAAACATCAAGGAGGAACTTTGACATTTAGACACCACAGCACAGGAACAAGGAATGCCCACACAGCAGTAGCAATTCCAATCCAGCCTTAAATTATTTTAATTTAAGTCCTGAGCTCTGTGACTGCCTAGAACGTTTGTGTGTAATTTGAGTAATTACTATTTTGCAATATACTCTTACTGTAGCTTGACATTGAACAGGTGGAAACCTGAAATAAAAAATCCTAATTTCTGGTAAAATAAGAAAAGAACCATTTAGAGATAACTCTAAACAACATGTATGAAAGATTAACCATGATTTATGATGAAGAAGATTACCACAGATTGAATAATACTGAAAAATTTGGGCTAAATGTGTATGATGCAAAAACTGTGAGGCAGTTCCTTTAACAGTGAGCCTCACATAATCGGACTGGAATGTTATTTTATTGCATGCAATTTTGATAACAAATTGCAATGAAAACTTATAAAATGATATACAGTTTACCTTGTTGAGCCATTCTGCTCTTTCTACATCAGGAAAGAAAACCTGCAACAAAAATCAGTAGTTTCATCAATGACTTTAACTATCTTATGGAGTCAGTAAACCTCGTAAACTTTTTCATGCCTTAAACATGATCAACCATCTGCAAATTCTTCTATCACAGCAAAATGAGCAGTAAGCTTCTAGTCTTAAGATAAGAGCAAAATTTTGGCCACAGAAACAACACTATGAATTGTTTATAAATGCAAAGCTGTGCTCTAAGAAAATTAAAGGGAGCCCAGTGATCTGAACCTGTAAAATCTAGGGTGCCCAGCATAGTGATTTGTAAGAAAAACACTCCGATTTTCGTCACCCAAGAGCAAAATTTAGGCATCAGGGACCACCGGGCTCTGCTAGAGCACAACCTGAAACGTATTGTGAGTGCAAAAAAAGCCAAGATCACAAGAGAAGTACATGCTTGTTCTACCATAATATACATGTACAGGTATGTCATACATGTACATTTATGGTGGCACATACAGTTGTACATGAACAGGATAGAGGGTTAACTTTTATTTATAAAAAGTGATCATCATACATGTACAGTGGTACATGAAATAATAATAATCAGTTTTGCACATTTTAAACTTCCCCTCCCCTACCAACATTTTGCCCTTGGTAAGAGTTAATGTTAAATTCATTTTTTACGCCCAAATGTTCACAGAGAAAATTCTCCAGGATCATCTCCCACTCATCTCAAAGAGATAAGTATATGTACCAGTACCTTTAAAGTGAAAACTTTGCATGAATTTGTTTTCATTTCTGTCCAGATATAAATTTACAGATGGATTATCTATGCCAGACAAACTATTTGCCTGTCAGGACATCTATCAGATACATTGTATAATGATAGACAAATCAGTAAGAGACAAAATTAGGCCATAATTTATCTAATAATCATTCACTCTCCGATGGGCACAACGGTAACACCTTTCAGATGAATAATTCATCTCTAGTATAAATTTCGCCATTAGGAAAACAAAATTATATTTCTGACAAAACAGGGAAATACTTTTGTATTCTGATTCTTAATAGCCTCCTGCCTCGCACGCAGGCGTTGTTAGGGGGGTTTGTATTTCATCCCTCCCCACAAACGCCAGCTCAAATGAGAACGACATACCTTTCCCATTGTTTCATTTGCGAGGTAAGTGACCAATCAACAGTTTTAAATAAAGTGTTGACAGGCTAAACACGACTCATAAGCTCGTGGTAGTGTTAAAAAATGACCCTACAGTTACCGTTTTCCTTCTTTTCTTTCCTTCGCTAATGTTATGCAGTGCACAGAGTATTCTAAAATCTAACTAAATCTTACTTTTGCAGCTCCGAGTCTAACATTATTTTATTAGAGATCATAAAGCTTTCCCAGTGTCTCATGCAGATCGAGTAATTATTGGGTTACCCTGCAGTCAAGGTCAACTTTCCAGAATTTGGAAAGTACAATTTGATTGGCTAAGCTTAGGAAAGGAATGTTGTTCTCGGTTGAGCAGGTGTTTGTAGGGAGCTTCCTAAAAATCCCCTGCGTGGGAGGCTAGATTCTTAACAGCTTTTAAACTATTTTACATACATGTATACATCCTGGCCTCTACAGCACAAACAATTAATAGTACCATTTTTTAGCCATTATAAGAACTACATGTAAAAGTTAAGTTCTAACAATTGATTGATGAATGCTGCCAAACTTCAGACTGTTGGGCCTAATTTGGCTACAGAAAAAGGCGGGACATCAACAAGGGATTATTATTATTATTATTATTCGAATCAACAAATTTTTCGAACGGATTTCACTTTCAAAATTAACATTAAAAAGAACGACGTTTCAACCATCTGGCGATCATTAATATCATTATTGTTGTTGTTGTATCAAACACCTTAGGCTCAAAAAGTGGCATCCAGCTACAATGAATTTCTTTGGTAACATGCACAACACTATTCAATGTATGATTCGTGCAGGCTGTCACCAGCCCAATCTGCATGTCTACTTTGTAAAATAATGTTCACATTTAAAAGCTTTTAGCCTAGGGGTGCTTGTTGTCTCGTAAGTATAAGAGGTACCAAGTTTCTTTGAATAAATTGTTATCCAGAAAGTATAACCTTCAAAATTTTACAAATTTGTTATGTACATGAGCGGGATTATCATTTTCATAATATACATGGAGACTAGACTGGGGTAGCTAATTAAAAGAAAAGAGTCTTCAAATTAAAATGTTCCTTAACAGCTGCTGATAGCAATTGAAAGAGTAATAAGCAGCTGACATATCGTATGGAAAAAAGCATTTGTAACACGAAAAATAAAACCTACAATTCCAGTCTTATATTTGTGTAAGGGCTTGCAAAACTCATTTTTTGAAATGTGGAATGAAAAACAAATTTTAAATGTTTCAAAAAAAAAACTTAGCAGTAAAAAAATAATGTATCGTCCATCATCGACATTGTAATTCTCTTGGATTGCCTCCGAGCAATGACAATATTATTCTCAAATTATATTTTACGGCAAAATTACAAAGAGCTCTCACCAGGGGAACTATATTATGAAGTCTTTGCCGCGATAAAAACATATACATTAATATTTACTCAACTCTGACGTACACAACATTAAACCCATGAGCTACTTTCCTTAAAAGCCACCCAACAGGACTTCAAAGCTTTGACTGACAACAACCCTTGACGCTATGAAAATATAAATTTTGGGCATCTAGAACAAAATTAATATTTTCAGTCTCTAGTGGGACGATCCTTCAATATTTATGATACACAAATTTGTTCAAACTACAATGTAACTGAGAACAAATTCCAAGAAGAAACGAGCACACGCCAAACTTGCAGAATTCAGCCCGATTTGACCTCAAAATAAAATTTTGAACGACTCCAAGGAAAGGATCTATTAAACTTATATTTCTCAAATTCTTAAAAACATCATCATTTGGATGGTTGCCACAAAATGGCTGTGAAAGTTGACGTGTTTATATTCTGTTAAGTACAGTACTTCATTATTCCCGGTCCATCAAGCTGTTTTTCGCTCAATGTCGCACGCCAAGCAAGGCCAGTTATCTGTTTTAGAGGCGTTCTCGAATATTTGCTCCTAAATTCCAACACAAAATATATTCTGTGCGAATGTTCCAGCATGTTTAGACCACACCTAACATACAGGTATTATCTAAACCAAAGCATTAACACGTTCAAGCTCGGCAAGAATATAAATGTTTCTTTTCTACAATATTTCAATCAATCCGAACACAAATGAATTGGTTAAGTTGCTTGTCAGGTGTATGGGCTAAATTGAAAATATATAGGCGACAAGTGTCAGGCAATGAATTTACGACATACGATCGAGAAATTACACGTACGATCGCGAGGAAACGTGTTCGGTTCATAAAACGTTGAAGACGAGAAAATAAGAAATTAAAGCCCTCTAAAATTGACTTGGTTATGTTTTATAAGCTTCTAAAAGAATACGTTTGACGGGTAAAATGCGTCTACAGAAAGCTCAAGTCGTAAGTTTAAATAGAAATGAAATCTGCAAATAACAGACAAGTCAACAGACGCGCGAGTCTGTCTTACCCAGGAAGGAAGATCCTCCATTCGAGCCTCAACCACTTGCTGCTCTTTCTCCGTAGCTTCTCTGAAAGCATCTCTTCTAGATTTTCTTTCATCTTGATTCATTCGCCATAAAACGTAGATGAAAAATCCAGTAACTATCCATACATAACTCAACCCAAGCCAGCCCATGAACCAAATCAACAATGCTCCTCCGACCAATTTCAGATATTTCAACACAAAGTTCAAGATTGCCAGCTCCGTTTTCTTCGCAGGCTTTTTCTGCTCATCTTGTGGAGCGGCTGTTGCCTCTCCCTCTTTCGGGTTTGCTGGATTTTCACTGGGAGTAACTGGTTTCTGCTCCGTTGGTTTGGTCGCCATGAGCGAGACTCGACGTGCGGAGCAGATTATGTGATTACTTGACTCTCTCCCTGGAGAACCCAGCTATCGCGCGGTACACTTTTGAAAAGGTAAGAGTTTGATTGACGGCTGTCAGTAGAACAATAGGATGAACGAGCGTGACTATATTGAAGAATCGTAAAGGCAACGAACAACGAGAACTAACTTCATGCACCTGCTAAAATCGATGACTTAGTAACAATAGCATGTCTGGCTTTAAATTTTTCCCCGACAAAATCTTATAAATAAACTAGATGGTGGTACGTACACTCCTTTAAAAATCTCTTATCCAATAGGAATGTTGAATTTTTATTGTTTATATGTATCGTGATGTATTTTCACAATATATTCAAGTTTAGGTCTAATATAATCTATTTGTTCAAAACAATCCTGCCAAGTACAATTGCGAATGCTGGGACGCGCACTTTTGGAAAGAAAATTGAACAAGGGTTATTTATTGAACTTTTTTTATATGTTTTATTGTGATCTGTTTTAAAAAAAAACTGTAAAATGCACGCTGGGGGTTTGGTATTTGCCCAGCCGTTTTTTTCCTTTGTTGTACGTGTCCAGCTTTTTAATACAGCTAAATAATAATAAATACACATTTATGAAAAAAAAAAATTTTTATTTTTTCTTTTTGACAGTAAAAGGAGGCTTTTACACAAAATTTCTAGAGAGGTTAAAGGAGTCTTTTCAGGAAAGAAAATCAATAAACAACTACCGCAGAAAAACAGCTGCTTGACGATTTTCCTTGTCAGAAAGAAAAAACATTTTACCCCTGACTATCGTTTATTGATAATTCATCTTTAATGTCCTGATCGGTAATTGCGTCGTGTTGAGTTTTAGAGACATGTCAAGAATATTAATTAGAATGAGTGAACAAGCTTGTGCACTTCCGATAAATAAAAAGTCTTTGAGCTGAAATTTTCATGTTTTTTTTTCAAGGTTGAAATGTTTAAACAGTTTACGATTCTGTTGTTTAATATGGACTGTTTGACAGTACGCAAGCAACGCGACTGCAAGAAAGAAAGATTCAACGCCGAGTGTCAAAGTAGTTTTCTCTAATGACAAAGTTCTAATGGGTGCTGCCTTCACCTGCACCACAAGATTCATTGCTTCCGGCTCTAACGTAAGGATCTAGCCGTATAAAGATTATAAACTGAGCCCTTATTGAAATTGAAAAGACAGTTAAGAAAGTAATTAGTTTCAGGGAAGAGAGAGAAAAACATTATTGTTATCAATGGAAGAAGCGCTATTTTGGAATGCCTTTCATATACCGTTATGACAAATTTCACTCAGAAAACTTTATATAATATAACTCCCTGAAGTTGTTTTCAAATTTAACGTTGCAATTATCCTTTTATTCTGTTAGTTAGCATTTCAAATAGGAAGCGTGAGGTGTATAAAGAATTCTCCTTTGACAATTAAGCCAAGTCAATAACGAGTGGCCGGGACCTTTTATTAACCTTATTGACTGATTGATGTGTGCGATATATCTCTTAGTTTCGTTCGCTCCTCTCACCAAACAGAAATTTCGTATTCCGTGCAGATCTTAGACAAAGGTAAACATTTCAGGGAAATTCGAAACCTCTGAATCCATTTATAGCTGGTAAATTGAGACGCACCTGTTCTGTTTAGGGGCGTTCCCGGAGGTGGGTCACATTCAGTGTCACATGGATGAGGCGCTTTCAGTTCTCCTTCTTGGTAAAAAACCGTCATTCTTGACCTTCGATATATGCAACACCTTCAGTCTTAATACAGTCTGACTTTTTTTGAAAAAATTTCCCTGGTAATAATATTGCTCAAAAAGCTACGAAGGACGAAAAAAACGGAGACAGCAAAATTCCGGCAAAATTAAGATGCTCTTGTAGTGCGAACGGGCACACTAGAATAAGTTAGCTGATAACGAACTCGACGTTCAAGAGACTGCAAGCATTCTATGATCATCCAGCTCACATTAATTTTATAAGACATTCCTACTTTTGCCTTCCAGCCAGGAGCAATAATTTTTCAATAAATTTTACCAAAAACATTGAATGAGTAATGGTCTATAATGAGGGTATGTGAAATGGAGAACGCAAGAAGCTTGGATCTGAAGATGATTCCAATCAATAGCAATGGTATTTGATATAGAGTTTCATCAGTTGGAATTGAAAGACAACTAGTGCCTTGTATACAATTTTTTCCTTACCGTGTACTGAGTATTCATGTCGGTCCAAATGGAAGTGAAAGTACATTTTTAAAATTAGGAATCTATGTGAAGCCCTCATAAAATGGGCGCATCGAGTTTTCTTGGGCTTTCAGAACTCTAAATTGTAAGTGATCGAATGCAAAGCCTTGTACACGATTTCATTAAATTAATTTGCATCTACTTAAAACGTCCGTAGACTTATTGTGGAACAACTAAGTTAAAATTATGATAAGAAATTATAATTAGGTAATTTCAAAACCCTCGTACATAGAACATTAGATCAGACAAACATTTTGGGGTGGTATTCTAAAAATGTTTAGCAGGGGTTTGAGTTACTACTTTCTCCTCCATGGTAAGAGACAAAATTATTATCTTAACTTAACACTAACCTCATTTTTTGGTTTAAGTGGAGAAACGCCGCTGATAAAGGATGAAGTTATTACAAAGAACAAGAAGGCAAAAGGTCGAGAATATGCTCTGGTCATATTGATCACAGTGAAGAGAAAACTGGTGAACTGATGTAAAGAAAATCTGCCAGCACGCTGTATTGAACTTTTGTATTAATAACAAGTAGTATGTGGGTGAAAATTGTATTATTCCGAGGTAAGCTGTCATAATTTGGCAATCAGAAATTGTTGAAAACAAAAGATTATTCTTGCATAATCTGAATAAAAATAAACGAGGGAAACAATAGCACTGAAACAAGTCATGATAGTTAGATTCGCTAAAAATCAAGATTCTGTTGAATTCCGAAACTAAGATAGACCAATTTTGGGATAACTGGGGCATTTTCCAGAACTAATAACTTATTTTAAGGATACTTAACAGAGTAATAAGGATGGTTTTTCCTTTTCATTTGCGGCCATGATTACTTTACGAACTGCACTGAACAATAGGATATTATACAAACAATGTTGTAAGTTTGCTTTAATTAATAAAAGAAAAAAAGCCGTAGTTTGCAAAGAAATGCAACTCAGTAGCACACGCCTTTGTTATTGGAAAAAAGTTGTGTAAATATTACAAAGTGTTTTATGTAATGGTTTCGAAGCAGCAAAGAAAAGTTGGTTTTAAGTCAAACTTGAACCGCCGAGAAAAAAAAAAAAGCATTTCTTGCAGCCGTCAGCACAGTTGCCGAAGAAGGCAAATCAGTTAATATATTAAGTGCCCTTTTCCTTGCAAATGTCAGGAAAGGAGAGCGAAAAAGTTCAGCTCTTTTTCTCTTTTGCTGAATCTCTCTAACGCTTGTGATACTCTCGATACTCGGAAATTATCAGATTCCAAATGGGAGGATGGTTTGTTTCACAGAGTTGGTATGGAAAAAAAATATCTAAGAGTCCTCCTCGACTGAATCCTACCTCGCAATTTTAAAAGGATAACCATGTCTTAGTGGAAAGAAATGCGAGTGTTGCTAGTTACACGGAGAGAAATGGAAATGATTCCCCGCACTTAATCGATCTTAATTAATCGAGGGGTTTATTTCAAAAGCAAGGAAATGGGGGGAAGGGGTCCTGAGCCATGCAGAGATTCGTGCCCAGGCCCAACTACATCTCTCGGTGACGTCACAGCTAACGGTAGAGTCCAGGAATGACCGAGCCTAAAACTCCTGGGGACTAGGCTGACATGAAGTCAACAGATGGAGACGAATTTAAGCGTGGAAGAGAGGGAAAATTTGAACAGCTGAATTTTGTCACGTGGTGCGTCAATCGACTGCACAAGTGCCAGATGTAAAATCGCCAAGAACGTGCAGGTGAATACATTACAGAATACTCAGTGCTTGAAAGTTGAGGTTAAATAAGGACAATAAGCGAGAAAACCACCCGGGAGGGTAGAAAGTTATGTCAAGGCAAATCATACATATCGTTATGCGGCTGTTCTATTCCAAATTATGAAGTTTGATATCTTATTTTTAAACCTTTATTCATTATTTGAATGGCCTTTTGAGTTTTGATCATAAGAGACCGCCGATTGTTCATATTATGAAAAGGGACCCTTACCGTTGTATTTGCATTTAGGTTAATAGAGGGAAAATTTTCACAGAAATATTGGGTGGTGGACGATTCATCGCTTTAAAACCTAGCACAAAGGTTCATTCGTGAACATGTTTAGTCTTTTTATCCTTTTTTATTTTTCTATGCTGCCTCATATCTTGCAGACATGTTCAACATAAAAAATGGAGCGAATGTGTTTTATACTTGACACCATCACCAAGTACCTTTTTCACGATTTCTTAAAATCGTGCTGAGCTACTACACATGCAGTAGGTCCTCAAAACGGAAATGTGTAGTAGTCATGAATTGTATTGCAAACTATTCTATTGCGCTGTTGTGCATGAAGCCAAAATGGCCAATTGCGGCAACTCAAGCATTTTGGCTTTTTCTATCCGAAGAAACGAAAATTATAGCTACGGCAAATTGCGCACGATCATCGAAAAAAAACTTTTGCGCGACGGTAAAGGCGAAATACTAATTTTTAAAATATTGGAAATTTACCAGTGGGTGTTTTGTGCGCTCAATCTTCCACGACGCCATTTCCTAAATGTTTTGTTCCTATTTGAAGATGTCTAGGAAACACGGGTTCTTCGACTGCAACTCGACTGTTCTCGGAGGATGATAGAAATTATTTTGATTCCAGATATGCAAAACCAAGACCAAAAAGGCCTTTTGGTAATGCCATATGCAAAACACCTTTCAAAAGAAAATTGATAACTAGGTTCCATCCAATAAAAATGATCGATGGTCTATTATCGAGACAGGTGACTTCCCAAAACAAAACTAAATCGCAACGAATTTTCTTTTGCATGCATCCAGCTTTTCAAATCTGCAATTTTTCTTTAAATTATTTGATTTTTTCCTGAATATTGTCTTGTTATTTTAAATGTGATCGGGCAAGGACAGTATGTTCACTAAAATTTTCATTCTGGGAAATTAATTCCCAGACAACACCAGACGAGATATTGGTAGAGGTGTTTATTTCACAGAACACTATTCACACCACGAAGAAAAAGACAAAATAGCCAGAAAAAAAATCTGTATTAAAAAGGCTTGAACGCCTTTCTTCAAATTCAAGAAATTCTTTCTTGACAGAAAGTCTTTAGCTATCACCGATCATCGTGTTTAATATAAATGCAGATGAAGAGAGATCTCAAAGAGTATTTGTCGAGTGTTCAAAATTAAACGGAAGTTGTATGGGATCAAGTAACGCAGATAAAATTTTCAAATTTTCAAATGGAAATGTAAAGAAGAAGAGCGAGGGTCCTGGCTAGCAAACTACTCCATTCTGTTTCGTTAACTTATAGTTTTATCATGTTAGATGCAAAACTATTGAAACCTCTATCTTGCATGTAAACCATAACAGCTTTACGGGCCCGTTAATTATCGGGACTTTCGAAAAACGAGTCTCTGGTCTTTTCAATTCACTTCAGCTATACGGGATCATATAAAAACAAAACTCGAAATACTGACGAGGAAATGTAAAACAAACATCGAGGCACCGTCTTTAACTTGTTAATATATTTTAAAAGTGAATCCCGCCTTCAGTGGCCTTAGGGCTTAACCAAATGTAAAAACAATATATCTCCCATTGTGGCTACACTAGGAAACGTTGGTTGGAGAAGCATATGCATTTTGCGTTTGTGAAGCAAGAATGATTCTGGCTTTATTCAGTAGCATCTTGTGAATAACAAACTGGAGCATTGTAGATTCCGGGAATCGTGGAGGGCAATGCAAGGACTAAACTGGAAGATTTAAAAATTTGGCCGACGTTCACGTCCCATTGGAATTTAATTATCAAAGCTTTCAAAAGTAACCATCGGTTATATAATTTCCATCTAGCTTATTTCCAGAAACAAAGTGAATAAAGAATTAGCCTGCGAAAACATCCGTTTCTCCTCGCTCTTCGCCGCTGGGGACGTTTCGCGGCGAGGAGGAAACGCAAAACGTCCCCAGCGGCGAAGAGCGAGGAGAAACGGATGTTTTTGCAGGCTAATAAAGAATATTCATCCTTTTATTAAGCAATTCTTCTTTAAGTGAAACGCGTCTGGATTCTTGAAGTGTAGAAAAGACACAAGACACTGAAACTAAGTTTTTTCTTTTGCAGCCCCGAAAGAGTATCTATGTGCAAGACACAGGGACAGGACTATTTGTTTGATATCTAGCTTGGGTTACTTTGCAAATATTTCTTTGTCCTTAATAACCAGGAAGAGAACAGAGAGAAGCGACTCACAAAGACACAAACAGAGTGAATAAAAACGGCGCACGTCCTTCTGGCGTTCTAACACACCTGGGCCATCCATGGAGCCCTGTTTCATTCTCTTTTGTAAAATAGTCAACATGTTTCAACTAGTACCTAAAATAATTTTAAAGTTCTTCTTTGGCCTTTTTCAGCGAGACCGTCGCTTTTTCCTTTATAAATTTAATTAGGTCATCAAGTCCTCTCTCGCCTTCGTGTTTGATCGGATTCTTCTTATCGTTTGCCGGAGCAAAATAGATGGTTGGATAACCCTCCGCGCTATATCCCGGAGGAATATCGTTGGCAGTAGCGTCCATTTTAGCGATGACCAAGTTGGTTTCATCTTTAAAGTGCTTCCCTAGTTTCTTGTAGATGGGTTCAAGGGCCTTACAGTGACCGCACCATGGTGCATACAGCTCAATTAGCACATCTTTTTTGGGATCCATCACGATTTCTTCGAATGTTTTTCCCACCACAACTGTGACGGGACCTGTATTTTTCTTTGGTACTGGCTGAGACTTCACTTGGGGTTTGAGGTTTCCTGTTACGAAAAATGTTAACGTTTATAAGTTATCTGCGTAACGGAGATATTGCCAATTAAACAGGCCAGGGCTCGAAAAAACCCCGTCCGGTCGTTCGGGACAAGTACATTTTCTTGCTAGGCAAGTAACTCTTTAAGCTCACTTTCCTCATGGGCAAAGGTCCAGGCACGTTATCCTGTAACTAAATCAATGATTTTATTAAGAAAAGTTGTCAATCGAACGACTTCAATTGTTTTTCGGGCCCTGTAGGGGCAAAGCAAGGGGAGGACGTGCGGGGGGGTGGTGAGGTGCGGACTCCCATTCCTTCTCTTTGTGTAACGACTTACTTACATTCACTACGATCAGGATAAATTATTGAACTTGAAGCGGTCGTTGATAGTTTTTTGTTGCTCCCAAACACCTGCGATGCACGTGTTTCGCTGACCTTCTGCTGTGAAAGCGAAAACTAAGACGCCAAGGTAAAAAACGTGAAGATATTGTTCTACTACACGAGATGTGCGAACGCCCCCTAAATTGCTTCGTAGTTGATTTTTTAGTGACCAGTTTCAGGGGATTTGGAACCTCCCTCTTCTGCCCGCACCCTTCCCTGGCAGCCTCCCACCCAACTTTGCAAAAAGGCTTGGCACTTTTGACACTTTGGCGCGAAAGGCTGCTTGTGCATCTAGTCTTGGAAAAATAGTTAACAGCGGGAGCTATGCAACAACAACAGCAACTACAAAAAACACACGAAGCACGGGTTTACCTTCTTTAAATTGTTCCACAAAGTCACGCAAGCTGTCTTCGCTAAATTCTTCATCAGGTTCCATTCTGTATCTCCTGTTCAAGTCGTCAAAGCAACCCACGCTAATCTCCTCTCCAGAATCGTCCAGTCCAAATTCCTTGAGGTCGTTCTCAAACTCTGCTTCATCAGCAATAGCAAACGTGATGTCCCGATGCTCACTGGCCACTTTCAGAACCTTTTGGCGCCAAAACTGTGTGGCTAGAAAGAGATGCAAGGAAATAAACTAGTCAATACAAGCACAGTCTAATGACACGATCACGCTGACAAAGCCAACTGGTAAGTGAAAATAAATTGATCACAACACAGGAAAAGCAGCAGAAAATGTTCTGTTCTTTTTTTGCGAGCGGTTTGGGCGCGCACTTCCCAGGTCCTAAAAGCGATAGAGGGGTTCAAATTTTGTTTATAAAGGTTAAATTTTCCTTAATTTAATAAATTGATGACTTTTCATATGGTGGAATAATTATGGTTTACATCTGGTTTAGAAAGTACAGTCATTCCTGGTAGCGAAAAAACACCTTTATAAAAATAACAACAACACTAAGCTGAAAAAAGTCAATATTTCATTCAAACACACTGCGGTTTCTGTCACAAAAAACGGTTGTTTTAAAGAAGTACTTTTTATTCCCCAAAAAGCTTAAGAAAATCGATTGCCAGTTGGAAAGGATACTTTAGTGACATACATTCTAGTGGCCAGAGATAGCGGCCGACATTTCTCGACGCCAACACCCTAAAATGACGTCAGAGGAACGAGCGCAGAAATTCCATACTGATGACGAGTCACTACCCAGATCTATGGAGTGCTTTTGATTGGTTGAAGAAAATTTCCCTCGCACGATCAATCAGAAGCACTACCCAGATCAGGGTACTGACACGTCATCAGTATGGACCTTTCGCGCCCGTTCCTCAGACGGACCCTCAGACGTCATTTCGCGGGAAAACCTTTAGACTGGGACTAGGCAACGAAGTAAGGGGAGAAGGCAAAGAACGGCCTGAAACAGCAAAATCAAATGATTCCCGCTGGCTTTTTCCGCCTTTTTCCTCCACTGGGGAGGCTTGTTCCCGGTTTGGAAATTAGTGGTTGCGCCGCGAGATATGGGTTGTTTTTTCAGGCTAATACTAGAGAGCTTTCGACTTGAGGACGAGGACGACTGCGAGTACGAGACTTAACTTAACGTTTTTTCGCGTACTGTCGAAAAACATGCAACCCCCGAAAGCTTCATTGTACCATTTTTCACCCGAAAAATTAGTGGGGTTACTTTTATTGGAGAAGGTTTAGCCCTTTCCCGGTGGCAAAATGATTTTCTAAAAACCTGATAACTTGTTGCCGCCACTAGGACATTGGCGACCTTACGATCCGACAACGGCGACGTCCAGGAAAACCTTGCTTAAAAATAGACTCCGCGTCCTTTCAAACCATTTGGCGATTATCCCGAGTCGCACAGTTACTTAAAAGAAGGAAATTTATGTTGGAGCTGAAGAGAGGGGGCCGCAACTTAGTTCAGACAGAGATAGTAGAATTTTTAACGCCTTGCCGTTCCCGTCCTCAAAAAAAACTTAAATTTTTTGGTCATTTCACGTCGTAGTCGCGCAGGGACGGCAAAGAAATGTACAAAAAAACCGTGACGCACGTGCAGAGCTGTTGTTTTGCTAACTAGACCCATTGCTTTTTGACGTTGCCGTGGCCGTGGCCGTCGCCATCGTAGTTTCGTAAGGTCCCTTCTCTCGCTAAAACTCGTAGTAGAATGATGACGGCTATCACCTTTTCCCGCCAAAGTGACGATTGGTTCACGCAAGAGCACTAGAATTAGTACTGAGAAAATCTCGTACCCGTAGTCGTCCTCTTCTCAGAATCTAAAGCTCTCTATTGTAGCCTTTCAAAATGGTTTTTACTGACAGTGCAAGAAAAAAAAAGGGTCAAAATTTAGCCCACCTTGCCGACCGTCAAAGCTGAAGTCAACACCATAGTAGACAACACACAGAGGCCGCTTAGTGTACACTTTTTCTTTGCTATGTAGGCTCATCTGTCCCACAAGTGGAATCTGGTTGTCTTTATAAAACTTTTGAAGATCTTCTGGTTTGGGGTCCTTTCCCTGATGTTAAAGGAAACAATACAAAATTAAATGCAATTATTAAATGCTTTAAAATTCCCATGATGCGGAAAAAACGTGAAATGCAGCTAAAACGAACACCTCTCATATTAAAAGAGACTGCGACCAATTTTTTGCATGACAGTTTTCTATTGTTTTAAACCTGTTGTAAGCGACCACTTAACGCATGGTTTGATCCCTATGTTTGCTGTTGCTACATTACTCAGATTATGCAATGAATTTTAGAGATGACATGAAACTACACATATCGGAAATTTTTGTATGAATTGCCTGCTATGAATTTTCTTCCAAAACGCAGATGTGTCCAGACCTATACTAAGAAGAGACCCACTGTGGTTTGATTCTTGCAAGCAGCCACCTCTTCTTGTTAGCAACCACTTAATCCTCACATTTTGGGTGATCAGTTACGAGTGGTTTGAAGGTATTTGAAAATCAGGGAAAATGACTCCCCCAACAAAATTATTGTAGGCTGTTGTGATATGTAGAGATTTAGAACATTGTAAATTTGTTCTCAACATTTCTTTTGTTGAACAATTATAGGAATTGAGGCAGGTGGGTGTTACCCTCGCTCCTCGATCTGTTCAAATCATAAGAAAGCTGAATACAGTAATTGTTAAATTACTCAATCATTCAAAATAATTTTACTTTAAGAACATGCTAGCCTAAATGGATGTTTAGTTCACAAATTCAATTACCTGTTTCTCGCCAAATTCAGGACACAAAGAAATGTTTAGTCTACATGTAGCAGATATTCTTCAAAGAGCAGTTTCACCCATCAAGTATTTGTATCTTCGCTGTTTTTGTTATGTTTTTAAAACGTCTGCAGTTTTCCGCTAGTTTCCTTCACTGTACTAAAACAACAGCACCTTTTTGGGCGTTAAACTGAACTATCGACGTCATTTCATCAGACATCAATCACAAACATCTTTCAAATTATGAGGACTTAGCTGGGGGATTTCAGCCAATCAGAGAAAGAGAAATGTTTTGAATGAATCATAATCTTTGACCTTGACATGTTTTTGTTTACCTTAAACACAATGTGTTCGTCCTCATACTTTGACCTGAACTTCTCCGGTTGAAACATCACAACGGAACTCTCTGTAATACCAAAATGCTTCTTGGCTGTAGCATCAAAGGTATGTGCAAAGTTATAGTCATCCCTGATGTCATTATTGGCTTCCAAATACTGCTCCAAAAGTGAGTCACTTTCATCTTTAAAGAAGCCCATTATAACAACATCATCTCTTTCTTTCATGAAGTCAGTGACTGCTTTGAGTGATGACTTGATCTTGGAACTTGGACCAACCTGAGAACGCATGTAGTCTTCAATGGCTAAAATGGAAAGGAAGGTGTAAGATACTTTTGCTGTAATCTCCTTTTTGTGTTTTCAAGTACAGTTGTACAGTAACACTATACAATCATTTTGGGTCAGTAATATCTGTTAGTAAGAACACCGATAATTCTGAGGGCCAGATACAAAATCGCAAACAATGAGAGTCTATTACATCCTGGTTGTTGCTAGTCATTTTATCACTTTCTTTTTTTCTAGTCAAAATATAGTTTGCAAAAAAGGGTTAATTGTGGTCATCTGAATGCAACATAACATAAAGGTGAAGTGTGACCTGTTGTGTCGAAAAAATTATTTTTTTTGACGCAAGATGATCACATTATGATAAAGTATTTCGCTGGACAAGACTAGCCCCCATTGTTTGTGGGTGCACAAGACACCATACAACTGACAAGTGACAATACTACTAAGTGCGCGTCTGCTCACTATCTTGAATAAGGTGAATAGCAAATACAATGGCTAAAATGTAGACGTCGGGAAAGGAGTAAGACAGTGATGTTGCAAACATTGCTCAAACAGTATGTTCCTATCTTGGAATATGGCAGTTAACTGATGAATCAGTGTATTGTTACAGCCCCTGTTCTACAGCTTTTTACTAGTACATTTTGTATAAAAGAATTTTGGTACGTACCATACTGGTCCCTCTGTCCCTTGTACTCTGAAGGCTTGCCTTTGCGGAACACTTTCAGAGTTGGATATCCTGTTACCTCATACTTCTGTGCCAGTTCTGATTCTAAGGTGGCATCAACTTTAGCCAATTTGATGGGTGGGTCATTTTCCTTTAAGGATTTGGCAGCTTTCTCATATACTGGGGCAAGATGCTTGCAATGTCCACACCTATGGTGTATCAAAGGAAAAATCGAAATCTGATAAGTTAATGTGCAAGATAAAGACAACAAATTAGATAGGTAGCTGGGATATGATCATTTGGGTGAGAGTAGTCCTGAAAAAGAAAGTTGTTGACAATAACTGACATTTCGACAACCTGTGCAGCAGTCGTCTTCAGAGTCAAAGTGAGTTACATCACGTCAGTTGATGGTATTATTAGATTATTTGAATATGAAAAATCACGAAGTGAAGATATAACTTTGTTCAGATGCATGTATACCATATTTACATGTATGTTGAGATCAGGGATCCATATTCATTTTTTATTAGAGTCGTCGGCCGGGCAAGTAAGCTTGATGGCATACTTGCCCAGTTACAATTTAGGTTGCCTGGACAAATGAGCAGAATTATAGAAAGAATGGTGATAAAATTGTGTGTAACTTGAACATTTGATCTGATTTGCACTATTTCCATTAAAGTTACTAATAAAGGGTTTTAATAAAATAGAAAGTAAAACAGGCTACAAGGTTGAGGATAAACACAGTCTGCTTACATATTATAAGCAGCCACGGTCTGTCCCGTTCAGTTTGCCTTAAGGCAAAAGGTACACTTACATTTTTCCCTGTATAAGGCAGCACCTGGTGCCTGCATTTTTTTTTCCGCCTAAGGTGATGAAACGCTTTCTAGAAAAACACCACATCTTGATGAGTGCTGTCACGTTCTCTGCGAATGGCCCATGAATGCAGTTCTTCACAGTATGAAAAATGCCAACAATTAACAACACAAAAACTGGGCATGTGATCCTTTCGTGGAAAATACTGCACCATCAAACCTACGATTTTTGGAAAAGATTTTGTGCATGGCTGACCAAAACCTCATTTGTCCAAAGGACAACTTTTGGAGTTATCTCAATCATCCATGCAAGATTGTCTGGTCCTCTGGGATGACCAGACAACTGCGAATATGGATCCCTGGTACATAATATTTAAGGTCACTTGATTTTTAAGCAATAATTTACAACCTCTGTAAATGATTTTACAATACCCCAATATACATTATTTGCCTGAATTTGTAAAGAAGCACTTTCAGGGCTGTCAATAAGGGCCGGTAGCCGGCCAAAACCGCCGGCTACTTCCATCTCCTTCTAAAATAAGTGAGTCATGACTGCTAAAAAAAATAAGCACCATCGAATAAAATTGTGAAGCATCCGTTTCCCAGTTTTGAATGACATTGAACGCATATTTAAACAGCTTCAGACCCGTGAAACATTCGAACCGTGCGACGTCGTGGAACGCCTGGGACATTTTGACGGCATTGCTTCCAGTCTTGCGTGTATTCCGACGAAACAACATGGCGTCCGCGGTGGAAAATACCTATTGAACACCCCTGGAGACGCGATTTCCGAGATTCTAAATTTCACAATGTCCCTAGATGCCTTGGCCCTCAAAAACGTGCGCCTTTGGTACGAGTTCCAAAGCCGCCTACTATTCATTATCAGCCTGCTATTGAAAAACGTTTTGACAGCCCTGCACTTTAAGTTAAAAAAATATAGAGAACAGGAAATATCAATATTAAAGGTGATGATGATGATGATAATAATAATGACAATGACAACAATTGACAACAACAACAACAATCACAATACTAAAAGCAACAAGACATTCTTTATATACATGTTGTGCCATTTTCATGGACGTCCAATGATGCTTAACAATAATATACAGCCGTTACAAGGTGCTGTGGTGCGTTCCTACTAACAATGAAATCCCAGCAGGTACTGAACAATGACTCAGATTCCTGATTGACCCCACATGGCAAACTAGGAACTGAAGGAGGTAATGAGAAGCAATGACAAAAAGAACATTAAAAATAATATTGACATGCTTACCAAGGAGCATAGAACTCAACTAGCATAAGAGATTCACTGTTAATGGTGTCAGTGAAGTTGTCCTTGGTTAAAGTGATGACAGCTTCTGGTGGAGGCTTCCAGTTTGGGTCTGACTGCTCTTTCATGTATTCAACAATGCCTGTAGAGGCAAAAAACACTTTAAAATAGGAAACCAATCTCACTCTATTTCTCCCAGGTCACGTCTCAAGAGAAAACTCTTGACTCTCAAGATGAAGCAACTTTTATCTGTGAGAAGCTTACAAATAATTTATGTTTTAGAACTTCTGAAAAAAGCGTTCAAGATTGTTAGGTGTCTCATTTCATTCCCTCCAAATATCGTTCAGTTCTTTTTATTTGTTAGTTAGATCTTAACTGTATAATTCACTCAAATGCTTAAAGCAACAAGTTTGAGGACTTAAAAACTTAACACTTTCATGTTCCCAAACTGGTAATCATGTTACATGTACTAAGTTTAACACACTGCACAACTAGTATAATAAAAAACTAAGCTTAGCCTACATTAAGAACACAGTTTAACTAAAATAAAGCAGCTTTTATGGTTAATCAGGTATCCGCAACGATTAATTATATTTTAAAAAAATAACAAATTTAACTGCACTGTAGAAAGGGTAGGATTATATATACCTTAAATTATAAAATGTACAAAAAGGTACTCATATTTTAACTAGTTAAACACACTGCACAACTATAGTGTGAAAACCTGTCAGCACATCTTGCAAGGTGTACAAACAACAGGCATTGTTACATGAATACACCAATAATGCTGGGTAAATTGTGCTGGTTTGTTGTAATGTAGTTGAATTTTAGAGAGGGATATAGACTGCCAAAAACACTATAACTACAGTATACATGTACACTCAGAGCTATAATTAATATTTATTTGAGACTGTTTCAGTCACAATACAGTAGCTGAATTTGCTTCTACTGTAAGCGCATTGCTGCTGAAATATTAAGCTAAATAATTCTTATAATTATCAAAACTTTCAAACAGTACGTTAAACATTTTGTGAAGAAACGATACTCACATGGTTGTGGTTGACTGTCAATGAAACTTAATGAACAGCTTCTAAAGTGAATTTATGCTTTGAAATACAGAAAAGACACACTGCACATGTACAAGCATGTTTGTGTCTGCTTACTAAGATCTTTAAGACTATCTGGTGAAAATAACATGAGTATTCAAAGGTGTGCCTGAAATAAACTCTCCAAGTGACTTCTGATCAAAATTTGGATTCTCCTTTGAAATTTCCATCTGTTTCCTTACAAAGCAAAAGGTAACTTTAATTTAGAATGAGCTCGCAAGTCACTTAAGGTTTTTCCCATGCACTCTTTTCTTCATTATTTATTGAACTATAAAAATGTAATAACCCCAGTTACAATGTAGTAACGTCTCCAAAGCAGGGCCAAGATCCTTGTTCTGGGCCACAACAGACTCAATGAATTACAGGAAGTGCATTTTGAATTTTCTTTCAACTTGATTGGCAAACCGACAATGGCTTTTTTTCACAGGCCTATCATGGCACGTACTCAAATGTTGAAACACATATGAAGACCTAGAACGAGGACATTAAATAGCACTGTTTTGTGGAGAGATTTTTGACCAGAGTTTAGTTTCATCTGTGGTGCAGGGAATGAAAATGTTACAAACATTTTTAAAAAAGTTGATGAGTTCACTATACCCTCTTCATGCCGAGGACCATCGTACTCGAATGCTGTTCCCTTACGGAAGATCTTCAGTGTTGGGTAGCCACTAACATCATACTTCTGCGCAAGATCAGACTCCACAGTTGCGTCTACTTTTGCAAATGGCACAGGAGGTTTGTTATCCTTCATTTTCTTTGCAGCTTTTGAATATTCAGGAGCTAATGACTTACAATGTCCACACCTACAAAGATAGATTTAAAAGCATATTTTCCTGGTAAGCGCTTGTTGTTCTTTGCTCTAACAGTGAGCAAAATTGTGGTTTTGAAAAGTCTAAAATGCATGTGTAATAAAATTAATGTTATTAACGCAACAACCATGTCAAAAACTGTGTTTTTCAAAATATTCATAATGTACTTGTAACAGAAAACAAAGAACCCTGTATTTCATAAACGTTAGAATACAACATTAACAGATATTTAATAGCAGGAGGGTAATTAGCATTTATAAGAAATTGTCTCATTAAAAATATTATTGTGATATTATTATGACTACAACCAATTGTATTAAATAACCTTGTGCTTAAGTCTTTGATTTCTTTGATTTAAGCATTAAAATTTCCGTGCTCTTTAATACTAAAATAATTTTTAAGGAAAAAATGTTTGCCAACACTGTTGATTCTCAAGAACAATTTACCCGCATGTTAACGCTTTGTTGAGATCAATTGCAACAACTATTTCGATTTCAAAACACAATGATGTGCCTTTTTATTACTAAAAAAACTTATCAAGCGAATGTGTGGAGAACAACCGCTGTAGCGGCATACATATAACTTTTTAAAAAATTCTTTGTAGTCATGACAAAAGCTAAATCAGAGAAAAGTAAAGGTACAAAAATTATGCGTAAAAAGGACAAAACACGATGATGACATACCATGGGGCGTAGAATTCTACGAGTACCACATCTTTTTCCTTTACGACGGAATCAAATGTTTTCGAAGTCAGAACCAGCACATCGTCCTCTTCTTTGGCCACTTCGGACTCACTAGTTTCTTCAGAAGAGGAATCTTGTTCTTTCGAGTCACTTTGCTCTCCAGTGTCGGCATCCTCAGTCCCCGTTCCTTCTGCTTCTGCAACAGTCTCTGTCGCTTCACTGTCATCTCCGTGTGAAACAGACGCTGAAAACGCGACCAAAAAGACTAAAAGACACCCAAACTTTTTTGTGTTCATCTTGCAGGTTTTTGGAGCGAGTGTGTTATGGAGATTCCCAGTCTATTTCAAAGAATATCAACAGCCAATCAAAGGCAGCCATGTTGGAATACTATTGGCCAATCAGATGGCGCTACGCGTCTTCCCGGGCCAATCTATTTTTACCAGCGAAATGTCACGTTATTTACGTGACAAGCAACTTATGTCCCTGACAATATTTGTAATTTATGACCTATTTTATCACTTACGACTCCAAAACGTTTTGAGAAGAAAAACCAACAGCCAGGAATTGTCCTTGTATGTAAAAGTGAAAAAAAAATACCCTTCCCCCCTTTTAATAAATTCTGTATGGGCTCCTGATTCTGAGTGATACTAAATGTTATAAGCATGGTTATAAAATTTAAAATATCTTAGATGCTTTCAACAATTAATTTCCAATGTTAGTTGCCATAGTGTACTGTAAACAGCGAACGATGACTCGTTCAACATTAAAATTTTCTAGATTTCGCGTCGCGCGTGGATGGGTTAGCGCGGCGGAATCTTTCATATAAAAAGGAACGGCTACCAAGCAAAAGTTAATTGATTACCGGTATTCTTTCAGGTTAGTTAATTTCCCGCGGGTCAAAATTGTGCATCAAAATCCTGAAAATGGCAGGGTACGATTGTATCAAGGTGAGTCTGTGTTTTGCAAAATTTGTGCGGCTAAATATTGTTCTCCTGAGATTTTTTGCATAGTTCAATTCTCTACTCATTCTGTAGTACGAGCCAAATCATGGCGAATGTGTGTCGAATTTCACACGTGCGGTATGGAAAGAAGCCCTACGTGACCTCCAGAAGCTTAACTTGTTTTCTTGAACAGATAGCTTCGGCTTTCATTAGCTCAGCTCTTTGTGCTCGTGAATGTAACCAACGTCCTTCCGCCAATGTTACTTAGTCAGATCTGTCAGTCACTGCTGACCGTCACTTAGATGTCCCGTGAATGGAGGTTAAAACCGGGTTTCAGGACCCAGGAAAGTGCCCCTTTCCCCTGAATAGAGGTGTCCTTTTAATAGAGGTAACAGATACAAAGATTATGTGAACATTTTTCTGGGACCGATTATTGTGCCCCGTGAATGGAGTTGCCCTGGAATAGAGGTGTTCCAAGGGAGAGGTGTCTGCTGTACTTAAATCAATCTATGAGGTTTCGCTCATGAAAAGTTCAGCATCTGAACCAGGTCCTTTATAGGTGTTTGCGAATAACAGTATGTAATCTTTTATTTTTTTGTTTGTTTTGTTAAAAAATGATGTGAACAGGATAAGATTTGAAATAAAGCAAATCTGAAGCAAACGTAAGTGTTATAGGTCTTTGCCCCATCAAGATCCAAATCAGCAACAAAATAACACTAATTCACTACTTTCACATTAACCATAATACACCTTGTTTAGCCCCCAAAATTTTGCATAAATATTGTTTTCAAGTTCTCTTGGGAAGATTGTAAAATATCCCAAGGGAAATTGGAAACAATGCTTATGCAAAACCTTTGAGGGGTAATCAAGGTGTATGATGGGAATGTGAAAGGAGCGAAACCAATAAGAAAATCAGCAGAAAATCACTACATGTGGCCAAATGACAAAGTGCCCTCTCTTAAATGCTCCTTTTCGTGGGCCATGCAGCAAAGTGCGGCTGTCAGTGGAATTTACATTTGCAGCCTGCAATATGATTTCATGTTAACAATCTTTCCCTATGAAATAGATTTGTACAATTTGGCCTTTTGCATTGATAATAATGATATAATCACATGACTTTTGTCAGGCATATAGTTTATTTGAGTCCCTTGTAGCATCATTTGCACCCTCACTCCGCTCGGGCACAAATGATACTACCAGGGCCACAAATTATAAACCATATGCCCTCCAAAATTAAAGTCATGTGATTGTCCTATTAACATTGTCACTGGAATAAGCAATGACACTGTTGGTAAGAGTGTAAGTAATTCTTTACCGACTGCTGCAACCCAGGAATCTCTGTCCACTTAAATTAACTTTTGCTGTTTGCAGGCAGAACCAATTAATTTACTATACGTTTGTGAGTATATTTTGTGTATTGTGAATGAATGAATAAATCTATTAATAAGTCACTGTATATTGTATATACATCTGAGTTATGATTCATTGCTTTTCAATTGAATAGTTAGTTACGGGTACTATTTATTAATTCACGTGTGTTTTCTAAGACGGAAGCTTTTTGCATAACAAATCACCATTGCATCTCTTGTATACGCGCATGTGTGTTATCTTCTAAGCCTCATTTGTGACAATCAATGTGATTTTTTTCCGAAAATGTTAGGTTTTCCCGTAATTAACAATTCAGTCTTGTAATAATGAATGGGTCTCGGCTTATAGCCGGGTGTTTTCGATTTATTTTTGGTTCTCGTTATGCTGAGTCGACACGTTCAAAGTTTGGGGTCTCGGCTTATAGCCGAGATCGGCTTATAGTCGAATAAATACGGTAATAGTTTGCTTCCGAGAGTACACTGCTGCACTTTTTCTGAGGAGATACTTTTTCAGGCAAAAACAGTTGACTGTCTATTATAGACTGCATGTAAGTTATTTTTTTGATAGAATTTTTATCTATATGTTTAATTTGCTCAGATTCCAGATAACTATGAAGGTTATTCTCTGGACATGTTCTGCATACCAAAACATTATGAAAATGATGTAGAATCCATTTTGATACCTAAGGGGTTGATAACTGACAGGTAAGCAGTCACCATGTGAGACATGGTGTGATTTTGAAGAGCGTACTCATGAGTTTCCTGAGGCCTGTTAATTTGATATGCAGCATTGAACACCATTGCACATGGTAAACTTAATTGTATCAAAAACCTGAAAAACTAGAAATGACTGTATTGACCAAGGTAGCAGGAAAACAGGGCTTAAAAAGTCTTATCTTGTTGTGCAGGACAATATCAAACTACCATAAACTGCTGCTTATATAATAATTTTTGTTATTTTTGGATCTTTGTAAGGGGTTTTAGGAGGGTAAAAAGTGGAGGGGCTTTTAATAAAGCCTCTAAATGTGATAATAAGAAGTTCTAGCTTTTATAATATATAAATTTACACGTAATAAATAAACTGGTTCAAGACTTCAGAAGTAGTGCATCATTTTATATAATTACTACAGCTCTGTTTCGAGTGGCCAAAAGATGACCACACTCATCAGGTAATATCAACGACTGACCATTAGATTACAACAACTGGCAAAAAAAGCGGAAATACGGTTGCTATGAGATATAAACACAGCATTATTTTATGATATAAATCATGTGATTGCTATTTATAATTTGGGGGAGTGTGTTACTTTTTTTTTTAATTTGTATTTATATTTTATAGTTTTGGTTCATTTACATAGTCTAAATTTTGAATAATGTGATTTTTCATCTTTGCTTTGATAAATTGATAGAATCGAAAGGTTGGCAAGGAATATATGCTGTGATGTTGGAAAAGGCCCTCTTGTAGGACTATGTGTATTAAAGGGTGGATATCAGTTTTTTGGAGATCTCATGGATCGTATCAGAACAATCAATGCTAGTGGAGGTGAAAAAAAGTTTTGATTATTTTTTTCTATGCACATGCTTCACTCAAATATTTCTTATACGAATTTTGTTCAATATTTTACTGTATCACTAGTGTACCCTTTTTATGACTTGAATAAGAACAGAAATATTTCTTCACACGAAACTCTTTCTTTTCTTAATTTATGACAGAGAATTCAGTCCAGATGTCTGTAGACTTCATCCGATTAAAAAGCTATGAGGTAATTATCTTAAATGATGTTTAAATAATGTTTCACTTTGGTAGGTATAATAGAAGTTAAGGCTAATGGTGGTGTTTGTGTGATGTTACAGGTCAAAATTATTATATTTAGGTTAAATCTTTAACCTACCAGTAGGTTCATTCTCAATTTCCTTTCTCTCCTAACCCTGATTATTCATGAGTTAGGCCTAGGAGACAAAGAGATTGAGAATCAACCTGGATTAAAGGAAATTTGACCTGAATTTAATTTTGACTTGTAACATATACACAGATGGACTTATTGTCATCACTGACTGTTTTTTTGTTCGGTTTTGTAGGATGATCATTCGTCAGGCGAAGTCAAGATTATAGGAAGTGATGATCTGTCATCATTAACTGGCAAGGTACTAAGTGAAAATCTCTTTGTAACTAGTTTATGTAAGTGGGGCATATCTGTCTATGTGGACTAGAACAAGTTGAAAGGATCTACAACCAGTTGCAAAAATGTTGAGACACTCCGATGAAAAAACGACCTTTGTTGCTTCAAATCGCCACTATAAAGTCACAAGTCTGTGAGGTATAATACTGACCAACCCCCGTCCCTTACATTCCAAGTTATTCCGCCAAGTTTTGAGCATGGTCTTGTATTGCTTGCAACTCTGGGTTGGGACATCGGATGTTAATGTGATCTTCCAGGTATAAACGCTTGCCGTGATGGGGGGTAGGGCAGAGCTGATGAGGTGGGACTAGATGGAGTATTTCTCAGTAGTCCAGGAGTCAAACTTGGCCAATTTTCTAAAAAAAAACAAATAAATCTCTGTTGGGTTTTAAACTAAATTTGTCTAAGTTAAAAATGTTTTTTGCATACCTATAAAACCTCTAAACAAGATAGGATAATTTATGCCGGGTTTATGTTACTTGATTTATTATTATTTGTGCTCACAACTTGAAAATCAGTTCTTCCCACTTCTCTATGCAATTCCTCACTCTCTTTGACTTGTTTAATCCCAGTCACATATTTATTTCTAAATCTCAATGATTGAACCCAAATTTTATGAGAAACAAGTCTTGATCCAGTGTCATGTTTCTCTAAATATTTTTACCATTTGACTTGAAGGTATACAGAACAGCAGGTATAAAAGTTACTTGCTTGATTACTAACTCATTTTTTGGTGTGTATGTGGTTGTTTTTGTTCTCCTTAGCATGTTCTAGTTGTTGAGGTAAGCTTTTAAAGTTTTGTTTTAAGATATCAACCTTTTCAAGGGAATGTACAGTGGCATTTAATGTTGTTAAATATGTATGTTGGAGATTACCACCTATTGATACAATATGACATAGTACCTTAAAGGAATCCAAGTATGTTATTTCCATCCTAAATGTATTAGTTAGTAAAAAAAATTTACATTCTTAGGATCTAAGTATCTAGCTTTCTTGCGACATCTAGCTCATGAACTAAGGGTTCATCGATTGATCGTTTTTATGAATACGCAAAAGTTTTGTCACAAATTTCTTGTGCCGTGTCTTTTTTGGCCTCTTAGCCGCTGCATGCATTGAGACATTGATTTTAATGAGCAGATTTCTAGCTATCGCAAAGCAATGAATGCCAAATTGAGTGATTTTTTAGTTTATTCCTTTATTTTCATTCTGGAATAATTATGGTCAATCAAATGTGCCCTAAGTAATCCAGTACTTTATTTTTAAACAGGACATTGTGGATACAGGAGCTACTATGAAAAAACTTCTAAACACATTGACCAAATTTAAACCTGCCTCTATTAAAGTAGCAAGGTATGGTTTTGTCTATATCATTGTTATATAATTATGTTTTTTACCTTCTCTAGATGGAAGAGATAGCATGGCCAATGTGGTTGGAGCTCTGGACTTGAAAACCAGAGGCCCCAAGTTCATATATTACCCCTGCCCTAATTGCCATCGGGATTTTTTTTACCAGCTTTTCTGGACACAGGCCGGCCCAGAGGGAATGTGCACGAATGGGACTCAGGTCCCGTGCGAGGTGCCATCCCTACCCAATCCCACAACCCGTAAATAGGGCGGCCACACCATCGGGGTCTACAACCCCTTTTCTTTTTTAATCTTTCTCGGTAGTCTCGAGGTCAGCTCCTCTGTCATACTTATAAATAACCAACTGTTTTGCCTTTGGCCAGTTTGGATTATGTCTATTTTCAAATGTTTGTTTCTGTCTTTATTTTGTAGGCTACAATAAAAACTACTGGGTTACCAGTAGTGTGTTACCCCTTTATCTTATGTATGGGTGTCATAAGTGACCACCCATCCAAATGTCAAAGTCAGTTCTCACCATCAAAGTATTTTAGTTGGAAACTCTTGTTATAAGCAACTACTGGGTACTAAAAAGGTTTCTTTGGGAAAAGGGGGGAGGAAAACTTGTTGGTTAATGTATCGAGGAGGAAGCTATCATTTATTGTCCTTGTTGGTCTTTTGCTAAATTGGATTTGCACTTGCCCTTGTTGCTGTCTTGGTTTCAACCTATCTTTGTGTTGTTTGTGGCCATTTTATCTGTCTTATGTTGCTCTCTTAAGGCAATGTAGCTTGTCAGAATTTACCCTAACAGTGCCTCAATTTTTTTAAAACAAAGGAAGGATATGAAGTAGATAAAAAAAATTGTGTCTCCAGTAATTAATCATCTTTTCATTAATGTTTGTTAGCTTGTTGGTGAAAAGAACACCTAGGAGTACTGGATATCGCCCAGACTGTAAGTCTAAGTAATTTTGTGAATTATTTGTTGTTTGATAATATTGTTTTTGTACCTTTTATGTTCTGATTCATAGTATTTGAAAGGATTGATGATGTCGCAGTGATAAGTTGCAGCCGCCATGTAAAAAACCTTCCAGAATGGGGAAATAACTGAGCGCTGCAGGGAAGAAACCTTTTTACTAGATTCACAGATTCAAAAAAAATAAAACCACCTTGTACAGGATACAGATTATTTAACAGCACTACAGGAAAGAACTACTTAGTATCTTTCACTAAAATGTTCAGACTTAAGAATCTTTGTACAGTAAACAAACAACCACAGAAAAGCACTGCTCAGTAGCTTGTATTTGATTGATTTACCATATGGCTTCCACCACCTTGTTGCTGCATTGTGAAAGAACATGTATTCCAGGAAAGTATAATGTACTGATCTGTAGCATTCATTTGAACACTTTGACACTTTGATCCTGCCTTTTTGATGTTGTTTGCGTGGTGAGAATTTTGTTTCCTTCAGATTTTTGGCTTTGACGGTGATGACATTAAGGAAGCTTATTTTGACTCTGCTTTCTTTCAGATATTGGTTTTGAGATACCTGATAAATTTGTTGTTGGTTATGCTTTGGTGAGTTTATCTACAATTATTTAATGATTAAGTAGAAATATATACAAGTTACAACCACACCATCGAAGCATCCACCTAAATTTGTTACTACAGCCAAATTATTTTGGCTATAACTTAAAGAGGGTCAATCATTTTCTTGTTATTAAAATCTTGTTAAAAAGACCAAATTTTAGCAGCTTAGCATGAACAAAGTTTTTTACAGGGAGACTCCGCCCTGAGGTCCAACCCCTTACCCTCTTATATACTATGTGTGACAGAAAAGGTGCCCCTTGCTCATCCTTTCCATACATTCTTGCATTGTAATTTAATTAAATTCCTAAAACAGAGAGCCTTTTTGTCATTTTCATGTAAAGTTAAATTAAGGCACTTCTTTTCGAAATATTTCAATAAAATGGCCTTTAAGAGTATTTAAATGCTAGATTTTTCTGCCTTTCCATATACTTCAACTCGTGAATCCCCCACAAACCTTTGGTATACAACTGTAGTTCCTGAAGTGTGAAAAAGGTATCCTGTTTGGGTGGAGCCTCCTCTTTGACTGTAACACAAAATAAGTTGGTAAAAGTGTTATTGACTTCATTCTATTTAATTTTTGTTCTGCAGGATTACAATGAGTATTTCAGAGATCTCAATGTAAGTAATAAAAAAAAAAATGAACGGTTATATCAATCAAGGAGACTGTGTTCAGCTGAATTCAATATATCCAGATATGTTTAGGACTGAAAAAAATGTTCCTCAAGGTTCTGTAGTTTTGTCAAATTTGAAGTAATATGCTTTGAGTGACAAAAAACACACTACAACAAAAAACAAAGCAAAACCTGCATATTTCACTCCTGGGCCTAAGTGAATATTAACTCATTTTGTGATCAGATTGCAAAAAAATGCCACATGGCAAAATGTCAGAAAGGCCATTTAGGGCAAAGTGTCTTCGGGAGAAATGCCGTTAATAAGTGACCCCAATAATTTATTATCAGTCAAAGTGATTTTGATTAATGGATTATCTTTTTTATCAACAGCATATATGCATCATCAGTGAAACTGGAAAAAAGAAGTATGCCGTATAGTGAAATCAAAAGATAGTTTAAAAAAACATAGTTACTGTGGATGATGTCTAAAACACTATTATTGACTGCTGAATGGTTGTGCTCGAAAGACTGTTTGACTATAATATAGGAGGTATCCTCCTCTGTTACATAATAGCACTTCACATTAAATTGCCCAGTGCAAGGTCTTTCAAACCCTGCATTAGTTGTAAACAGAGCTCATGGGTTGTCATAGTAACCAAGCCTTTTAGTTACTGTGAACTGGCTCCCCTTTGGGGGGAATTATGAAGGGGTGAAAATTGGGGAGAGACTGCATGAGAAAAAATGGAAAAGGGGGGGGGGGAATGGCGGAGACAGGGGTGTAGCTACCTGTAAGTACAAAACTCATGTGCATACCTAAAAAAGTTGAGGGTAAAAAATTAAAATTAAAAAAAATAATAAAAATGAGAATAATTAAAAATGGAAAGTGTAAAAATTAAAACAACAACAAAGGCAATATAAATTGCCTCATTTCTGTTTAACTCTCTTTGATTCTTTGGAGTATTTTTCGTGAAACAATGGACTGTTTTTTCCACACCTGAAAGTTGGATGATAATTACTTAAAATGTGTGCAGATAGCAAGCAGGATGGTATAAAACATGAGCATGCTATTTTTCACTCAGGCCTGTCTTTGCAGTAGACAAAGGAGCGCACGATTATGTCGATGTGAGTGCTTCTGAGGGTCAAATGTGGAGTTGGGGGGGGGGAAGATTTGAAAAATTGTGTGTACCTCTGGAAAAATCCTGGCTATGCCCCTGGGAGAGCTCCTCTGTCCTCTCCCCCCCCTACCACCCTCCCTAGCCAGTCTTCACCTGACTTGCTTCACTCACCAAGTTTTTCCTGTTTTCCACTCTAACAAGCCTGTCCCTGTAAAGCTAGGAATAAACCTACTTCTCTGTATCAGTCAACAGCTACTGTTTGAGTTATTGTCATGTTTTCTTTCAAATGTCTGATCTGCGGCTATACTTTATGAAGATGTAATAGAGATATTTTTGCCCACGTTTGTGAAGCATAACCTATACTGTATCACGAGGAAATTACTGTTGCTTCTAATAAAATAAAAATCTTTTGTACAAATATCTAAGTAAATGCACATTAATTTGACTGATTAAATTTACTGTTATGTGTTCTACCCTTCCACTCCCATGAAACCAGTAAGGTAGACTTTTTATACAGGAGCCTAGCTTGTTCACAGACCTTCTATTTTCTCTTTAGAGATTATCAAGTGCACTTATGAAAATAAAAGTGAGAGTTCACTTTGTACTCTCTGAAGTCCTCAAAAAAGAATGACAAAATGTCTGTGGACAGGCTAACAGCAGCTGAACAGATATTGGAAGGAAATAATAACGGATTGTCATAATAATGACAAAACTCCTTAACACATACACCAAAGAGACAGGCCCAATAAAATTATTACGCCAAGTCTCTTGTTTCTGCACTTGTTCTTGTGGTTGAATTGAACATTATTTGTAGACATAACAAAACCTGATTGCAAGGATATAATATATCTTATCTTACGGTAATTGATCCTAATATTATTAGGATCAATTTTTGCTTCCTATCTTCTTGGTCGTCTCTGTGATGGACCTTACTTTGGTCCATCACAGATGACGACCAAGAAGATAGCAAATGAGCTGAAAGTCCTTACCCTTGGAAATGAATATTTTAATCCATTTCAAAGGCAGCATAGCCTTACAGTAAAGAGAACCCATAGGGGGAACTCCTGGAAATTCTTGGTGGTGCCACGGGTTGGGAAACTGAGTGAATCAGGGTCCATTTAGGTCATTATACTTAGCAGACTGACCTGAAAGTTGATTCACTCAGTTTCCTAACCCTAATCAATGAAGTTCAGAGTCATTTGGTAGGGGGTCTCAAGGGTTTTAGGGGTCTTTGTTTCAAAGACACCCCCCGAAAAGGTGTAAAAACCATACCCTTCGGGGTGGCACATACCCATATGACTTATGTCAGGGAGTACTCCCCCGAGAAGAGAACCCACAAAAGAGAAAATGATCTGGATGGGTGCGTTAACTTCTTTCATCTTAGGTGCCATTAGCTTATGCATCAGTCAATTCCAGGGCTAATTTCTCCCCAGGCAATTGTGGGGCATTTACCTGCTGAATTAATTTATGTTTCTGGGCAACCGAGCCCGGCCTCTTATAACAGGACCCGTTTAGTAGACAGGGTAAGGGTACGACAATAATGAAACAGACCTGGTCCCAGGGTGGGGTATGTGCAAATTTTGCGAGGCCTAGGGATCAGGCATTTGCCAACCCTGCGGCCACTCCCACGCCTTTGGTATGCACGTGCCCTCCTATCCAAACAAAACTAACCATGGAGGATTTTAAGGAAACACTAGCACATTCCGAGATTAGCTCATCTGTCACCCCATGGATAATCCATGGTAACCCCACCAGACCCACTGCAACATTTCCCTTTTTAGTGTACCTTACATGACGGATTTGATGACGGATATACTTTCAAGAGGTCTGGGATCGAGTACTTTTCAAAATGGCGCAGGTAGGAATCCCTAACAGAGTTTTCGGCCGATTTGTTCGCCCATTACAAAGACTAGTTTTAAACTATTGCCAACGTGGTGGAAGCAGCAGAGGGATAAGGTAATTCGCATATTCTTGAAATAACCAATTTATTTACGGTAACGATTTTAACCCAAATCTCCGCATGTGTTTTTCCAGGGAATACATAGACAAGAATGTCGTGGAGTTCGCAAAGAACAACCCAGAAGTTACTATTTATGTCCGAGAAAGAAACGGAAAGCATCCTAGGATAGTCGCGAATTTTAGTAAGTGTACTTTTCGTTTGAATAGCTGGGAAATGTAATAAGTGTTGTTTCTTTATTCTCTGCTGTCTTTTGTTTTAGTAAATGGCAACAGTAAGATAGTCGAGGTAAAAAACAAAACGCCAGAAGAGATAAAGGAGTGGGTTGAAAGACTCAGGAATGAATCAGGAGTAAAACTACAGAAAATAAGACAATTTTGGCACACAGAAAATCCATCCATACAGGGAACTTGGACTCCCTTCTTAAACAAGCCACCATCACTTAGACGTTCAACTGTACATCACCTTGCAGCAGAAAAACAAGCAAGCAGTTGAGTCACGTGTTTGTGTCACGTATTGAAGGTGTTTTTGATCAAGAGGAACATGAAAAAAAAATACGTACACCATAATACACAAGGCTGTGTTCCAAGACATTGTAGGGGACCCAAAAGCCTTCAAATGCTTCATTCCAGGGGTCAGCGCTGCGGTTTTGGTTTCCTTGTTACTCAAAGGCTAAATCAATTTGTGAGGGCCATTGGCTCAGCTAGAGAAAAAACCTTGATAGACATGTCTTTATTAGAGACAGTTCTCTTCTCCAACAAGGACCAAACCAGACATCTGTGTGGTGCAGAAATTTTGGTTTGTCCCTTCGATGTCTAAAATTATAGAGGTCTGACTGTTGTACATGTATGTAAAGCTATTACTGAAAGGTTAACTAGTTTGAATTTATTAGTGATACACTCTTATTTTGATCTACTTGGTTCTCCAATTGCTGGTCACATACAGCAAATCTTGTGTATTTTAGGCACACCTCAGTCGTGTATGTGTTGACACAGTAAAATGATACTTGATGGACGTGTCAGCTGATATTCAAGCAATGTATTGGTAAACTGTCAGTCAATAAGTCGACCAAATCTTGGTTGATATATCAGTCAACATTAGATAGCATTGTGGCAGACGGTGGTTACAACAATTACATATCACCCCATGTGTGTGCTAATAGTTGGCTGATAGCCATGGCCAGTATTTTGACCAATAATAATTATTGGCCAACATATCAATCCATAGGCCACTGACATTTAGCGGATACTTAACTTACCGGTAACTAATACTTGTTCGACTCTTCATCTAAAGTTATAATTCCTGCCTACTCAAAAATTCTTTTATCTCCGTAACCCAAGCAGCAATTTTTAAGGGACTTTAGAGGCTGTTATCCACCTCAATCGATCTGGATAATTCTTCGCATCAAACTCAGCCTTATTCAAAAGTACTGTTAAATATATGTCAACATGTCATCTAATATGTCAGTTGTGTATCGGTCGATAGTTTAGACCTATACTTGGCCAAGGGGTGCCTAAGTACACAAGATCTGTCAGAGCTAAAGCAGATCAGGTTAATAAGAAGAAAGTGCTACTGAATTTGAACTGTCTATTTTTTTGGAAAAAAGCAAAATACAACAACACAATGGCGAGAAACGTTTTTTACTTTTATGAGTTTGGTTAGGATAATGCAATAATGCAATTGGATAATGCAATTCTAGAGCTCTGATTAGCTTAGCCATCATGGTATATGAGCCATCATACCATGCCCTCCAAATCTGGTTACTGTACGCATCTGCTCAAAATTAAAAACAAGCTGAAAATTGGTTGCTTTTACAAATTAAGTTGAGAAGATTTTTCGATATTTTGTGGGCAATTTTAATAAAACAATATTATTGTTCCACTCGCACTTGTTGGATATGAGATTATAACCAACTTGGAGCTATGCACCCTTGTTGGCTATCTACCATCTCATATCCAACGTGCACTCGTGGAATAAAATTTTTTTATTGTTAAATAGTTATTGTAGTAATAACAGTACTTTTAAGAACTCCAACCTTCTTTGTTTGCAGTTTTCGCTTGCGTGATTTCCTGGATCATGTAACAAACAATATTGAAGTATTGGGTGTAAAATATATGATCCTCCGAGACTACCACTGTTAATTGCTTTTGATGTTTCTTTTTTTATTATTTAAAAAAACTGTTGCCTTTCTTGGGTAATTCCCACATAACTTCAGAGACAAAATTCTGCAGAAATGCAAAGCAAACCTGATGGCAATTGGCTTTCAGATAAGAGTTTAGTTCTTCAACACTTTTCCAATCTTTTTGGTAACTGTTGATGACATTTCAGTATTTGTGTTAACTGACCGTTAGGCAAGCGTGTTTTCAGTTTTATTGCCCTTTTTGTTACTCTCTGAACAATAACGGGAGAACTGGCTCCGCGAAAAAATTTTTTTCTTGTGGCGCAAATTCCAAAGCCTTTTTAATGAATGGAGGCATCACGAATTTTTATATTGTTCTAAAACTTTTCAAAATGGCACTGAAAACAACATGAAATAGTTTTTCCTCGCTAATCAGGCATTTACAGTCTTGGAGATTGAGAAATGCGTAATTGTTTCTGTTTCAATAACAATGGCGCTTACTTTGTCGAAAGTGCCCGTACTGTCCTAAAGTTGAATCTCTAATTGCCTTATCCAAGTCATGAAAGAGAAAGAAAATTTCGTCGTTGCTTGTTTACGTCATGTATAAAACATGAAATGAGGCATTTTCACGTCGTAGTCGTGCAAAAACGGCAAAGAAATGTACAAAAAAGTGTGATGCACGTGCAAAGTTGTTGTTTTGCTTATTACCGGTAAACCTATTGCTTTTACGACGTTCTCGTTGCCGTCGCCGTCGTCTGATCTTAAGGTCCCTATTATTAGCATAAGGAAAGCCGATTTTAAATTTTGTTTCTTCTGTTCTATTCGCTTGCTTAAACGCGGTCTTTACTTTCCTGTCATAATTAATTGGAAAACCATTCGGATGCTGTGCTGCAGACTTTACCTAGAAGTAAAACTGGGACAGGGAAAGGAGATGTAACTATTCGTGTCCAGGGCCCTCGGAACGTGAGGACGTATAGTTCAGGACTCGGGGTCGTAACGGAAACATACCGCTTCGATGAAATATGAACAACATTTTCTCCTTTGTTCAACAATGGAGGGCAAGTGGCTGTGTCTCTAGGGAGACTCGTGTTTTGAGAAATTCAATGTTGTCGTGTTCGCATTACTGAGCTGATGGAATTTCATTTTGTCTGTATTACGTAACTCACCTAAAGAGGGAAGACTACATACTTGAACAACGTAATTAAATATCACGTTATCTTGGAGGATATAAAACACTGCTAAGTAACTGAGTCCCATTCGTGGAATCAAAATCAGGGCTTCTTTGACCGTTTAACTGTAGACGTTTAAAAAAATTTGACGGAACATGATTAAGATGAGCAAAGTGACGCAATCGAGCTTAGTAAACATTTACTTAAAGTCAAATCAATGAAGAAGTTAAGTTGGCGCAAAAGAAAAGAGGAGTTTAAGTTAACTGAGCTCGAGTAATTAATGGTAAATGACTGACGATTGGTCTTAACCGAGGAATAATCGGATTCTGTTCGAGTTTGTGGTTATTGTGGTTAGTGAGACCGGAAATTAGAAACAAAATATGTGAAACGAATATAGAATTTCCCTTGCGGCTGTTTTAGACGCTGAAAGTTTTAAGGAGCACCGTTAAGACCAAATGGAAAATCTCAATTAACACTACATAAAGTTAGTCTGAAATGTCTTCCATCTCTTCGCCCCAACCCAAACGGGCGGCAAGGCGAGAGAGACGTCTGAGTTCCCAGCGTTATAATGCCGTCCCGTGACGTCACAGAGTTTCGTGAAAATGGTAAGTCGACGCTGATTGTTGTAGAATACAAACCATTGTTACCTGCCTTTGTGACAGTAGACTACTGCTTGCTATTGGCTAAAACGACGGTTTCGATCACTAATACCGTTATAAACATCATTGTGTTGGCTGAAAAGCAGTGCGATGGTGAGGAAATTTTCGAACCAACTTTACAAAATAAGTACATGAATAATTATGAAGAAGGTAAAAAAATAGCATTTTTCTTTGTCTTACCTACAGAAATGAAATTGATCTACTTGTTATAGTACAATGAATATCAATTCACCAAACGTTGACTCGAAGTTTTCTTCGGAATTTCCTAATTTAAACTGGCTTACCAAATACTGGACGACTTTTATCATTGTAGTGCCGGTATAGTTGCATCATCATAATTCACGAGGTTTTCACGTGGGATAAAGACAGGGTCAAAGGGTTCTCTCAGGGGACAGACAAAAGGAGCTAACGGTTATCAATATTTCTTTTGAAAAATTAAAGGTCTTTATTATTTGTTTATGGAATGAATAAACTCGACCGAGATTGCTCTTAATGGCCATTATCATTATTTGTTTTCTCCCTAAAAGATCACCTGACGTCTCATTAATCTTGATACACGCATGGTTTACGGCCCAGACCCAACTCTTGCCATCACTAAAATGGAGGTTGTGGGTTGTCTGAATGCAATGATAAGACCCAAGGAGACAACGATCGATAATTTTTTTCCTTTTATTTCCTTCAGTTTGTACGAAAGTCACACGCACGCACGCATGGTCGTTCGATATTAAATAATATTCATATTGATACAGAATTTTGGTACAAGCTTTTACTTGCCACTCAGTATTAATAATATCATTATGAAAATGGAACATATACATACATTCAGAGGTAAGCTTATGTAAGAACGACTCAACAGAGGCCTCTGAACGGTCATCCTCGGTATCTTCGGGCACTCACTGAAATTAGGGCTCCCCCGGGTTCCTAGCCTGCGTGCAGACGATAACTAAACTCTGATTAGTACCGTCTGCGAAGCAGCGTAGAGATCCTTGTTCTGGACCCCCAACGGACTCAACGAATTACCGGAAGTGCGTTTCGAATTCCCCTTCAACCTGATTGGCGATCACGACAAACAAAACAAAGGCCTTTTTTAACTGGCCAATCGTGGCGCGTACTCAAATCTGGGTACACAGCTGGAAGTCCAGAACAAGGATTTCGGCGCTGTTTCGCAGACGGAGTTAACCAGAGTTTAATTTCGTCTGCGCGCAGGCTACCGGATTCCAAGCATTCGGATCAAAGTGGGGACTGGGCGAATAGAGAACGGAGCTAGAAAGAAAAAAATAAAGGCCTGATACACGCTTGGAGTTAAAATCTAATGACGCGCGTATTTCTATTAAGCGGTAAACACCATCTGCACAGCAAGGGAAGATGCAAAACAGTTTCCTTCGATCTGCGGGAGATAGTCGATGGGTGATCGATAGAGAAACTTCGTTGACTATACACCTTTTCCGATTGACGACCCTTGACAATGAAAGACAAACTATCTGGTTACACATTTTTCACTCCATATGTAAAAAGACGCAGTTCATCGGTGCGATGCTAGATGAAAGTAAAATTCCCAGGCTGCCCATGATAAGGACAGGATGATAAGAGTTAGTGACAAGAATATGGTGAAGTCCGATAAGTCAGATTATGGTGTTTTGCAATAAATATCAGCGCTGGTAAAACTCTTGGTAAGCAAGTCTCATGCATCACTCTCGTTCTCTGTAGAGGCAAAAAAAAATCATCTTCAGTACTCGGCTGCAGTAAAATACAAATGTTAGAGACTTCTTTTCACAGCCGAAAACACAATATGTGTTTTTAAAATTCTGAAAAACAAACATCACCTTAAACACGTATAGGGTAGCTTATTCCGTAAGGAAGCAGAACAAATGATGGTTGAGTTTTACACTTCTTCTTTTTATGTAGGCTGCTCATTTTGGCTTAGTTCAACTGGGATGTCATAATAGCCTTTATGCAGGTATACGTATGCATCACCAAGACTTACGTGTGAACAAACTTTCTTCGTATTTACAATTCTTGCACATCAGTTTTTTTTTACAACTGTCCTTCATTTGGAGCTCATATATCAAACACTAAGCAAACTTAATAATTTAAACGAGACTTGCTGGAGAAACATGCATAAGGGTTATTACATGTCGATAACGTACCACGTGATCTATCTCCTCTGAGGATACCAGCGATCCATGCCAGTTTGTACGAATCAGCATCTTTCTGTTTTGCGGCATACTTTTGATGAGCAGGTAATGATTCTGTGAGGAGATTTGTTATGCAGAGTTAATAACAATTATTGTGCTACTACAGGAGAAATTTCTATAATTTGATTGGCTTAGAGCAGTGGTATTTCACCTTAAGATGAAATACCTACATGTTAAAATTACAAACCTTTGGCGGGTAGTAGTATAAACAAATGATAGCAGGATTTGTACATGATATTTGGCATAAATACCACTCGTGATATTTCAAAATTTTCTCAAACTTCACTCGTCTAACGGCTCGTGAAATTACGTATAACAATTTTGAAATATCACTCGTGGTATTTATGCCAAATATCACTACAAATCATGCTATTACTTACCTATACTAATTATCTCTCATACATCTAAACTGAATGACTTAAGAGTGGGTAGCCTGACAAAAGAGCCGGCATTTCTTCGACGCCAACCGTGAAATAGGGACTTTATATAAGATCCAACGACGCGACGGCGACAAGAACGTCGCTTTAAAACTGAATTTGCGTTATTTCAGTCTTTATAGCGATTATTCCTACCCACTTACTTTGTCAATTGTAGGCGAACCTTCCTGAAACTGAATTTCAAGGGACCAAATTCAAGCTCAGAAAGAGAAATAAAATTTCGTCGTTGCTTGTTTACGTCCTCCATAAAACGCGAAATTAGACATTTTCACGTCGTAGTCGTGCAAAAACGGGAAATAAATGTACAAAAAAGTGTGATGCACGTGCGAAGTTGTTGGTTTGCTACTTAAACCAATTGTTTTTTTGACGTTCTCGTTGTCGTCCGCGTCGTTGGATCTTAAAGTCCCTAACGACGTATGAGGAACGAGCGCAGAAATTCCATACTGATGACGTGTCAATTTTCAGATCAGGATATTGACAAGTCGTCAGCATGGAATTCCCGGCTCCTTTTACAGGTGACCAACATCATCGCGACTTAACTGATCAATTATGTTAACAACTAGATGCAGGGATGGGTTTGTTTCTAAGGTTTTCTCTTTCCCTCATAACCAATATTTTGAATTCAAATTCAACCTAAAAAGTGTCTCCAGTTAGTTGGGGACAGTTTGTCAGAGGGCCACAGGTTTGTCAAGTCTTCGAACTGTCAAGTGTCACTGCCCTAATAACTTGAGTCTTTTTAGGTTAATACTCGTGATCATCAACTGTCGATGCATTAACCTCTTTGACTCAGATACATAAGTATGACTCCCACAGGTAGTTGAAAAGTCAGTTTCTGCCATAAACAATCTTATTTAGGGCTACACACATCAAGAAGATTATAATCAATCTTTTTTTTGAGAAGAAACTTCAACCTACAATATTACAGTTCCGATATCCTTAAGAATGTAAATTCTTTATAAGACTCTTAAAGCATAGACCAAACATCAGGAGACTTCTACTCACCATCTTCTTTTGAAACCACCCGTCCGCCCTCAAGCATTGATCTCCTTCTGTTAGACGCCAGCTTTCGAGCCTTTTCCCAAAACTGTTTTCTTCGAGAAGAAACGCTGGAATCGCCAGTGCTCGTCGAGGGCTCAATGTCTTGGTATAAACTTGAGCCTTCTGTCACTGTTTCAAACGTTTTGCCACCAGACTCTTTTTCAGCAGTTGAGAAGTCTGTGTCATGTTCAAAGAGTTGACTTGACAAAGAGAAATCATGTTTGGAATTCGAAGAACCTGCTCTCACTGCCCGTGTTTCAGCATCCCGAAGCGCGTTTGCGCCTGCGAGGTCGCTTAAGCGCTCGTCAGTTGATGGCCGCATTTGACGCTCAAACAACTGACTCGAAAAAGGAGATTCCTCTGAAAAGCTCCATACTGACTCATCTTTCACATCTTTTTTCTGATCTTCACAATCTCTCGCTCCTGACGGCCGTATTTCTCGCTCAAACAACTGACTCGAAAAAGGGAATTCCTCAGTTAAGTTCCACGCTGACTTGTCTTTCACATTTTTTTCCTGCTTTACAGAACCTCTCCCCTTAGACTCAAGATGTAGTTGAGAAGATGTTTTAGGTTCAAGAGAAATTTGATTTCCAAAATGGGACAGGTCTGCCTCACTTTTTGCGGAGAAACCTTGATTGACACTAGATTCTTCTTGATTCTGTAGGAAAAGAAGTAAAATGAAATGAAGTAAAAATTATCAGCCTTTTGAATCTAAAATTTTGTCATACATTATATGTCGCTGACCCTGCGGATGTGACCATTCAAATGAAAGCCACTGAGAAGTACTTTCCTGTAGTCTGCTATTCATATTAGGTTGTACAAAGTGGTAATAAATTTTGAGCCTGTAGATAAAATCCTGAAGTATCGCCCCATGTAAGGTAATCCAAGAGAGTCTTGGATTCCGGATTCCACGCTGTGGATTCCGGATTCCATGCCTGTGGATTCCGGATTCCACATCCGTGGATTCCGGATTCCATAAGTGGCTGGATTCCAGATTTCAAAATTCTATTTTCTGGTTTTTAACGTTTCCTTTGTACTTTGTTTTCACCAAAAAAGCTTGTTCTTTTTTTACCCGAAGTGTACATTGTCTCATATAAAATATAAGTATGAAATATAATTCTTGGCCTTACCCGAGAGGATTATGAATATAGGAGCGGTTTCTGAAGTCCACTGAGTCCACATCGTTGAAGAAATACTAACGAGGAAGGGCTATTCTTATAATAATAATAACAACGGCGTCAACAATAACAAAAGAGGTACACATTGCCAAAATCAGTGCTTTTCAGGTTCAAACATAATTCGTCTCCGAATTGTTTAATTGCCACACAGAAATGTAAAACTTCAGTTACAGCTTACCAACAAATAGCGTGAAGATAGTCCAATTACTATAATACAAGCTACGCAGGCAACGGAAACGTTTATCTTAGAATAAACCGTGTCGTTCTCCGTCCTGATAAACTAACTCCCGGCAGTCTTATCGGGAGGGATACTTCTCCCTCATCCTCTGCAGTTGGTGGTGCAGTTTCATTCTCATTGTCATCATCGTCACCGTAGTCCCCATTAGCAATTCGACAGAGCCTGTTATCCTCCTCTGTTGTTAAAATGATGTCTGATCCATCGGAAGAAAAGTCGAGTACTCGGGTTAGAATGCACTTGGGGGAATTCCCATTACAGACATCACCGAAGGTGTATGTTAGTGAATCACTTGTTTGGTTTAGCCATTTTAGGAATACTCTTTGCTGCACAAAATTTCCACCATTCACTTCTATTTGTACATCCTCCAGAAGAACTGCTAGCCAGAAGGGTGAGATCTCTCTTCTACGGTTGTGTCTTACTGCCAATATGTCGTCTTTCTGGTAAATGGTTTGCACCCGTACAGCCGTACTCCGCAATGCCACATTAGCATCCACAAATTGGCAGGCTGTTGTTACGTCTTCGCTTTCCTCTAATGAGGCTGTGATGGTAGTGGAACACATACTAAGGGCATAAGGAAGGGTGCCAGTTAGCTCTTTCGTTTTTGAGCGGACATTTTCCTGTCTTACGCCTCTTCCATACTCCTTAGCAAATTCTCGCATCACAGTTTCTCGCCTTGTGTCTTCTTCTTTGCTACCTGTTCCTTCAGTGATTGCTGACAGCTTGTTTGGTCGCGTCTTGATGTTTGGGGGTTCACCTTCGATAATTTTCTCCGGATAATATGAATTGGGCCCAGTGAAATACGAGAAATCCTTCTGGTAAATGCGCAGCATATCGTCTTCCACGCAGCGCGCTCTTCTGTAAGCGTAGTTAGCCACTGTAGGCATGTCGTGGTCTGCTCGCATTTCTTTGAAATAGCATTCCACGCCCAAAGTTGTCATACTTTCGAAACAGATCCTTTCCAGAAGGTGACTATGCCCAATCTCCGTTAGCGTGTTGGTAAGGCTGGTCAGCGATTCTAGCACTATGAGGAAGGACTGTCGGGTGCATCGAGGTATGGTCATGTCCGGACCGTTGGTATTTCGCTTGCCCGTCCTCTCCAGGGCTTCCTGTTCGTGGTTAGAGAGAAATGCAACCAACTCCTCGACAGATTTCACATGATCTTTAAATGTACGTGGTAGGTCTTCTTCTTTGGCTTTCTTGTCGAGTCGGAACACGTTTGCATATTGGGCCATCTTACTTTGCAGGGGGATCAGTCCCTTTGCTGACGTCAACATTCTTATTGCTACGTTACCGGTATCGCATACGAAAACAGTGTTTCGATATACGCATAAAGCAGTAGGCTTGTTCCATCGACTTTGGACACCATCACGATGGCCTGCAGTTTCTCCACACACTTTTGTTAGGGTTTCTTTACCCCCAAGCATCTCTTCTTCCTTCAAACTGAACAGTGCATGTTCTTTGCTGGAGGACAAGAACACGGTTCCACCATCTGTCACTGCAATACTGTTCTCAGTTTCAATCGTCCTCTCACTTGACAAAGATGACTACATGAACCATTCCCGTCTCCAACTAACAAGTATTGCTCGTCACGTGTTAAGGCTAATGAAGTTAATAAACTAGATCGATCAACTCCCTGGGATTCTGTCACGTCATTATAATGTGACCATTGTTTCAAATTGATACCCGATATGTCACAATGACAAGGGATGTTCCTGCGAGTGAAACACGCGTGAACATGCCTGTTGCGCGTCCTTGCGACATGAGATTTTCACGCAACAGTCACTAAAGGAAAAGAAGAGGCCCTGGAACCATCACAACAGAGTGGATTCCAGCAACCTGGATTCTGGATTACAATGCTTGGATTCCGGATTCCAAAGCCGTGGATTCCGGATTCCGGATTACCTTACATGGGGCGATGAAGTACGTCTGAAGTATTTCTATTGAAATGAAAGTTGTTGGGTAGTACTTACCTGTGATGCTGTTTATTTAGCTTTATTTAGCCATTACTGATCGAGACTGCGTATGATCTGAAGAAATATGTAGAGCGAGTGTTATCCACCTCGGCCGATAACACCCTCCCAGTCTGCATAATTCTTCAGATCATACAAAATTGAATTCAAAAATTATTTTATTTTTTATTCATAATAGAGAGCCTCAGATTTGAGGACGAGGGCTCAAATCCCACTCCAAATTTTTCATTATCAGCTAGCGACGACAAAATTTGAAACACGTTTACCATGTCCGGAAAATGACGGCAGCAGTCCAGGGTAAACGCCGGAAAAAGGGTCGGCAACCGAGAAGCCTTGGGGACGAAGTTGCGTTGTTTTGATTGGGCCGTAGGAAATGGCGGAACATTTCACACGTGTCGCTAAATATAAGAAGAAACAGACCTCTCAAGATAACGTGAGACTCACGATTTTGAGAGCAATCTCACGGTCTCACGTTGAGGTATCAAAATCTCACGGTAAACAGATTCACAAGCCGATGGAATACACTTTCCTTGATTATTTTCATTTTTGTCTTGTAAAATTGATTTTCTATCGCCAGTTCTGTAGAAATCCACAGTTCTAGGGCATATTTGTCATATTTAATCGACTGGTTGACAAGACAGGGACCTCACAACCATATAAGGTTATCGTTACCAGTTTGTAACTGGTAAGTGCTTTAATTTACAGTAAGATAACAAAGATCCGCCCTTCAGGCCTCAGTTTGATCTAAAAATAAGGGGGGGGGGGCCCTCCCCTGGATCCGCAACTGGTTATTATAATGGTTACGTAAAGATGATGAAGAAAACAATGATTAACTAAATACATAGTAGTTTTACATGTATGTCGGTAGCATTTACTTCCACTGCATCTCCGTAACTTTGAGAGGCCATATGTGCCCCTTCAGAGACTTGGTTATTTTCTTACCGCTTCATCTAATGTAAGCCTTTTCTAAATTTACAATATTCGTGTAGCATTTAAAACATTTTAAAATTGAAATTAATTCAAATGTAATTTAACTATTAAATTACCAAATTAAAAAGAAACATAAACAAGCCTTTCTAAAGCCTTGAGTGAAATGACTCGACTAAGATTGTTTGGTGGTTTGAGTGGTAAATTTGCATTAATTGTCCTGACAAACTGCTTCATAGAGAAAACAACAGTACTTTTATATATCTATCAATCAATCAATCAATCAATCAATTTATCAATCACACTGTTTAATTTCTTTAGCCTATTTACCGAAAATTGTAACTAAGACAACAGGTAAGTGAAAGAAAAAGGTCAAATAATATATTTGGCAATTTTTTGTTCAAATACCTGCGGAGGCTAATCGAGTTGATTGGCCAGACTATTCCATTTAATTGTAATAAAAAAGTATGACTTCTTACAGTTTAAATACTGTTCAAATTACTGCACTTGAATCAGAGAGAAAAATATTAAAGAAAAATGGAGTCAATACATGTAATGTGTGGTTCGAGAAAATATCCATATCCCCCCCCCCCCCACAAAAGGGATCGGATTTTCCAGGGGGAAGGGGGCGCCAATTTGCCTAATTTTCCAGTGGGAAGCGGGGGGGGTCACCATAGGGAAATATTTCCGGAGGGTTCTCGTGACGCGTGAGAGAGTAACAAAGAAAAAACACAAAAATTTACCACAACAATTTATTTGCGAAGATATAAAACACGATGAAAGTTAAAGAGCTACTAAACCTATGGATTAATGGACATAACTAACATATTTTGTCAGTCTCTTGGCGTGACCTCTCTCGCGAAACGTTACTTACGGTTTGCCGTTTTCGTACGGATTTGGGGTCATCAGATGTTTGCAAAGTATTCAAAAAACTTGACTAGTACTAGTAAAAATATTTTAACAAAAAACTTTAACAGTGAAAGTCAAAGAAACAGATTTATTAAATTACATAATGTATACTAATAAATGGAGAAATGGGCAAAAAATGAGATGACTTTTTAGCGAGAAAAATGCATTTATTAGTATTTTAATAACATATACCAATAAATGAAAAAACGGGCAAAAAAGAAATGACTTTTCAGCGAGAAAATGCATTTATTAGCATTTAAATAATATATACTAATAAACGGAGAAATGGGCAAAAAAGAAATGACTTTTTAGCGAGAAAGTGCATTTATTAGCATTTAAATAATACATTAACGGCTCGGGGTATCTGTCCCAAAAAAATTGTCATCCGTTCGAACCGACTTGGGCTATCCGTTTGAAAAAAGTTGTCAGAATGACATCCGTTCGAACGGCTTGGGATATCCGTTTGAAAAAAGTTGTCATCCGTTCGAACGTCTTGGGCTATCCGTTTGAAAAAAGTTGTCATCCGTTCGAACGGCTTGGGATATCCGTTTGAAAAAATTGTTATCCGTTCGAACGGCATGGGCTATCCGTTCGAAAAAGGATTTGTCGACCGTTCCAGCAACTGAAGCTATCTGTTCAAAGATAAATTTTAGCCTTGTTTCCATCCCAAAACCATTTCGTCGCTAGCCACTCGCGTCGAACGATCTGTAACCTGAGATCAGGCTCTATTTTCGTTTCGCTTTGAAAATTACATTCCGGCGGGCATGGCGGTAGCCGTTAGCGAGAATATATGAGAACCGCTAAAATTGGGCCTGATCTCAGGTTAAACGATCTGTTATTCTCCAGGTCACGTACGTTACGAATTTTGTTTACAAACGTAACATATATGAATAGTTACGCATCTCTGCTCCTTTGTAATCGACAGTATCGACATACGTTTTAGTCAATACTTGAGTTTTTTTTTCAACAAGTGTCCCGAAAATAATATTTTTTATCTTTTACGCTTTTGTAGCTTATGAGCCAGCAGAACGAAACTTCATTTTCCTTGCATGTCGAGAACACAAAACACGAAAAATAATTTTTTTTTTATTGGTAGCATTTCTTCTTCTCTTAACTGTTTCTCTATCACAAAGAAGTTACACGAGTCTTTTCCACCAGGTTCAACTTTGCGTGACAATTTTCTTATCAATGAAATCGGGGACGCACTATTTTACCGCAGACTCAAATATGCAAATTTGGTAAAACGAGATTCGATACTCACACCGTCCTATCGCCCGACGAGGTCCTAATCCCCTTAATTGCCCCCGCAGGGATTTCTGGGCAAAATCCCGTGGAGGCACTCTAGTAACTCGCGCGTATATTAAGGAAAGTACTTACAGTTGAAATATACAGTCATACAGGCAATTAGAAAAAATCTCGATTTGCTTGAACAGGGGCCGCGAGGAATCGGTAGGTAATGATGACGTTTCTATTGTTTGCGCCCGCAAGTACGAAATGGTTAGGATGACGTAAAACACAAAAAATCCCGAAGGAACCGCTTACAATAGGTAGATTTTGTGACATTAATTGTGCAGTCATACTTCGATAGTTTTCTGCTTTACGAGTTATCAGTGATCTTCTGTGGAGCAGTTGTTACGAAAGTTATGGACCAAAAGACACTCGTTAAGCGCAGATGAAGTTATAAGGTGCGTATAACAGTGTATATTTTAACATCAAGTGAGTTATGCCAGACACGAGTTCACAAATCTTTGATTGGAAACCTTGCCAGACACTCTTTCTCTTTCTTTGACCGGAATAAGACTCGGCCCCAAAGTGAATGATTCAACGGCTAGCTTATCACTAGCAGAACGATGGACGATTACAGAAATTCGCCGATCATCAAATTCTGTGCTGACTTATTCCCCGCGCACAGATGTCCCTACGCTATAAAGTTTAAAAGACTAGAATGCGCGAGCGTGATTTGATCAAACGTCCTTTTAATTTTTAAGGCTTACTTTCCGGCAAATAAAATGAACTAAATGCAAAAGGTGAAACAGAAATAGCGAAAAATTAAACTTCTAATGAAATCTCTTCTTGTGGTTTAGAATAAACTATTCTCGAAACTGAGAATGTTTTGATCAAAGCTGTGTAAATCGAATCGAAACTGTGCATGGAACCTTGCGTTTCCTGAATTTATCTCACCTATTGTATGGAATATGTGAGAACATCTTCATTATATATGAAATCGGTATATTTAAGAGCTACACAACGAGCAAGAATACTATTGCCCGACAACATACAGAGCGGGGGCAGCTGTAGTGCCAAGTATTACTAGTTATACTTCTTCAAGTGTTGGTTTCTTCTTGACGCAGTGCGAGAAAAGTACAGTTATGTTTGCTACGCGACCTTGCATTTCATTTGCAGTATTGCAGAATTACATGAAACGCACAAAATTTGTCTGTGACTTGAGCGCATAAGGAATTCGCTTATCTGTTATTCAATTCCACAGAAAATACATGAAACTCACAAAATTTGGCATCCTGGTGAACAAAACTACTTCTTTGTTGACTTCAATTAGAGAAAGCAACATTTCCCGGGGGTGTGCGAAAATTTTGGAAATTCCGGAGGGGAGGGGGGTAAATTTTGGGGGCCGATTTTGGAAAATCCACAGGGGAGGGGGTTTCATACGACAAATCCCTTCCGTGGGGCATGGATATTTTCTAAAACCACACAATAAAATAAAAAACCCATTAATTACCTCCTCGCACTTTGCAGCTGTGCCACTAATTTTATTGCTTCTTAATAACATTGCTGTTTGCTACATGTGCCATTTCACCATAACTTTTAAGAAGAGTAAGAAACTGCTCGCAATCCATTATCTACTTACTAAATCACTATGAATTGAAATATTGCAAATTCATTCTTCTTAGTAGTACGAAATATTTAAAAGTTATCACTCTTAACCCAAAAAAATATCAGCAAATAGGTTATACTCGGCACTGCTCCACATACATTTCCTACGGTACTGAAGAGAAGATTTTCTTAACAACCATGACCGTTTTTGTTTATTTATTTGACTTTATATTTGATTAACCAGTGATTTTGTAAGGAGAAACTAGATTGTAATCACTGGTTTTGAGGGTTAATAACAACCTTATAGCTTGCTCTTTATTTCTTGCATGGGACGGGTGCCGTTAAAAGTTCACAAAAAGGCAATGTCACCGTGACTGAATTTGCCCAGTGTTTGGACTATTGAGCACGTTCCCGCCAAACGGTGGAATACCCATCTCTCTTCACACGCTGAATACAATGAAAACAAGTAGACTTGATGTTTTCTCGGTAGTAGATGACGAGAATTATCGCTATCAGCCCAATTACCCCAGCTGCTACACTAACTCCAATCATTAAACTGCTATCCTCATGGTTCAGTGGCACCAGTCATAGTGGAGGGAACAAGGTGGCCAATTGGAGGATCCAAGGCAAATGTGCGACCAAATAGAATGGCTGAGAACAAAGGACGATCTAATTCATCAGCGACTAGTTTATTTCCAAAGTACTTTGTTTCGTTTCCTGCAGTCAACAGCATATTACTCAGCAAGACCTCAGGGAACACGTATGTTTTCGTGGAGAAATTACCCGCGATACTCAACTTCTTGAAAAGCGTTGATGATCTTGTGTTTAACACAGTACCACAGGATTGTTTCTCCATATTGTCACATTTAATCAGAATACAAGCTTGGATGTAGTATCCTGTTTTTTTCTTGTGATGGCCGCTGAAAGCCCCGAACGCAAACATCTCTGTTTCAAAAGCCTTTTCGCTAACCGTAGAGTAGTTTGCTTGACAGCAAAGATCATTGGAACAGACGCAGACGTTGCCGTTAGCACCGGATAGCTTGCTAAAAGTGTAGCTATCACGTCTAACTGTTGAGGTAAATGTCTCCTGTATTTGGCAGTCATAGAGCGTAGCTTCTTTAGGCTGTTCCTGATTAAATTCAAGCTGCGAATCTTTGTCTTGCAATCGAGTTACTAGGAGATGTTTCTTAGAAGACGTCTCGTCGTAGACGTATTGAAGCGGGCCACCTTTTGAATATATTCCACTTCCTGTCATTGCTTTCGAGGGATTATGTTGATTAGATGCAAGAAGATTAACGGACGTAGCTCTGGACCAAGCTTGCTGGAACCCTATCGAAGTCAGGGTGGGGAGGCCATCTACCCAAGCAGTCGTGAACACAATGTTCCGAATACCCAGTTTCTCCACAAGCGCCATAGCAGGATCATAAAAGATCATATCGAAACATGTAAATACACCAAAAGTCACTCCGAAAGAAGTATTAAAAGTAACTCTTTCCGCCTTCAGTGGGCTGTTGAACTGTGGTTCATATTTAGAGAAGAGATGTTGCTTATGATACCTTGCTAGGAGCGTACCATCGGTGTCAAACGCAACGTCTGTGTTGTATTGATACCTTCCATCGTGAGGGCAATGCGGATCTGATTTCTTGCAGAACTTCACATCTCCCATGTTTGCAACCAACGCAATAGACGAGTTGCGAGCGATGCAACTGAGCTGCTTTAACACTTCCGTGTTGGGGAAACGATCTGGTTCAGTGCACGGATTCCATTTCTTCTTTAGACTAGACGGGTCTGGGATGTCTTCCAAGTAATTAAGAATTTCGTCACGGTTTTCGAAGCGCCATCCATAAATGCCGTCTTCAGGAAAAACTATTATATCTGCTCCCTTCTCTTTCGCCAGGCGAGACACGTTTTGGAAGACTTCAAGGTTTTTCTGCATAACTCGAAGAGCTTGGCTTCTTGTATGATAACCGACCTCATAAAACGTTTTGTGTTCGTAAACAGCAGCGGTGTATTCTACAGCCAGGGTTAACAGTTTTGAAGTTGAAAATAGCATTAACAGGGCCAAAAAAGGGCAGAGCAACCGTACGCGTTTCATGATGGCGTCCCTTTCGAAATGTGTTTGGAGCCGTCAAAAGGACTGCAACCACCTCATGTGACACGTCATAAGGTTCATTTCTTGGTTACAATGGACGGGCTAAAAAAACTTTTCCGTAAAATAGGAATCGATCATGATTGACACGCTCACTGAAAGGTTATGGTAAGTACGCGGAAGCAAGAAAAAGACAGGTTTATATCAGAATTTTGCGGATCATCCCATCAAAACTGATCCTATAGACCAGCGGGGTTAAAAATATGTGTGAAATTCAAACCTGCAGTCTTGCAAAAGCGGAGAGGGTAAGAGGAGGAATGAGTTTGCGAAATGGCATGTGACATAGCCTGCGGAATGACATAATTATGCGGAATGTAATATATGCAGAATGACTTAAAGAAATAAATTAAACTGAAAATTGCTCCCTTTTTTGGCGCAAATCAATTCTCAAGCAGCTGCTTTTTTAATGTTGCGTGCTTGACTACGATGACAATCAAAAAGCAAGGAAAGACTCCCTGATTTTCCACGGTCGATTAGCTTTTTTTTTCAGCCACAAAGATTCTACTTGGATTTAGTAGTCGGGCTGCTGGCAGCACCGATACTACATCACGAAAGTCGGCTATTAAAGAAAAGATGTTTTGGAAGGTCACACTCTCTTCTGTTTTAGTTTTTTTGTGCAAAAGATATTTGCACGATTCACGTCACTTTTTTTTATATTTTAATTGCATTTTTAACCGTGTGAGAAATGTTTTTTCAGACGGTGGGTCGCATGATTGTTCCTGACATAACATTTAGAGATCGAACGTGTTTTGTATTTTGTTTCCTTGGCTGCGTGGTGAAGTTTCAGGCACGAGAAGCTAACAGCTGGCCGAGAAGCGCGAGCTCGAATCCCGGCAATCGAGTTTGTGTGCTTTTTGTCTTTCTTCCTTTTCTTTTTCTTTTCCTTCCTACTTTTAGCAGTTTACTCCTTTTCCTTTACCTTTATTAAGTTAGCAAAGCCGGTTCGGCATCACGCCAGCTGTTTAAAAAAAAAAAAACATATTAATAACTTGGCTAGTTCAAACAAACAAGTGAGGTGCGAAGAGACGCGAAAAAGCCTAAAGGAGACCGAGAGAAGTTCGCCGCTTCACTCGATTTGTGGTATACGCATTAATGTTTGACTCGAGGCGTTCATTTAGTCTCGAATATGATCTGATTCGTTCACCGGCGTATTTAAAATCCCTAGAATTGTTGCTAGCCGGACTTCACGTTCAGCGAGCGTTTTTAACCCCCTAGCGTTGCCATAAAGAGTGACCCTTGATTTTAGTTTAGCTAAGTAGCACAGATTATATACCCCATGAAAACCCAGACAGATTTGTAACACAGTACGTCTGCACGTATTTGCAAGGCTTATTTCTTTATTTCATTTGGGACTATCGAGTCTGCCACTTCCAACAGCCTCGATCCCAGGGTCCTCTCTCTTCCTTTCTATTTTACCTCGTCGGCCGTTACGATGTTTTTCTATGTAATGAGGGGAGTTAAAACTCACTAGGAGACTGTTTAAACTTGAAATGTTTTCGTACTTTCAATGCGCTTCAGTGGAAAAGAGACGTGAGAAAAGAACCGTTTCAGTTTATTTTGGAAACGAGTTATGGATGACTTATCAAGTATTCATGTATCAGCTGTGTTTCAATTTTAGCCTTGCTTTAATAACAGTAATAAATGGACCAGCAAATCGACTGCTTGCTCAAATTGGCGCCAAAGAAGGTGCGGCAGAGACGAGCGCATGCTTTCCTGATGAAACAAGACGCTACGGAGCGTATACTTCGGCGTCGTGGTAGTGGAACTGATTAAGTAATGGTCCAGCTAAGAAGCAGGCAGAAAAACAATAGCCCGCGGCAATAGCGTCAGTTATTTTTCAGGCGCTAATTTCTCTAATCAAATTAAATCTGAATGCTCTGATTGGTCAATACAGCGAAAAGCGCGAAATTTGAATTTTAAAGTTGAATTAAGATAGCTCAAGACTCATTCGAACAACTTTTTATTTCGTCTATTGCTTTGTTATGTTGAAAAATATAACATATCTAAAATTTAAAAGATTTCTATGCGCCAAACCCGAGGAAGTTAAACTGATATGAAATTACACGAAGATGAGCACAGTGTTACATCAATCAGCGACGTTGGGAACAACATTTACGTCGGCTCTCACAAAAGAAATGTCAAAACCATGATCGTAAACAGCAGCAATTCACTCTCACGTGGCGAATCTGGCGAACGCGCCAATGTCGCGCGTTCATATTCGGCCACCATACAGAACAACAACAAGTACACAAAATCAAATCTAAATGTTATCTAAATGTTCTGCTTTTGGAAAAAAAGATGATGTTGCCCAGATAAAAAAAATTCCTGCATGTTCGGATAATTGGGTTTCAGAAAAAGCTCTCCTACAGTTTATACTACTGTATTCATACATACTACTGTTTTCAAGGTTTTGATATTACTCTATAAAAATCCTTCTTACAATCTCTCTCGTCCTTGGAAAAAATAAAGGCAAGCTACAGTCATGCTCGCTAGATCTTCCGTACCAAGACAAACTCAAACACCAGTGACAGCTATTTATGATACCTAAGCGGCTTCCGTCTCGGTATTCTCCGTCTCAGAACTCAAAGGTACAAAATGCAAACGTGTCACAAATTTCAATACGCTCATTTTAACTTAAGGTCCACGGCGAACTTCCATTTCGCTTGATGAAGCAGTCTAGAGAGAAAAAAAATCGAATGAGAGATGGGTAAAGATACACGGAATATGGAAGTTTCGAAAAGGGCAAACACATGAATAACACATAATGCGCGCGGAGGTGCGAAAATCTATTGAATTCAGCTTACCTCAAGCTCAAGTGTTCTACATCTCTTGGAGAAATAAATTGATCCTTGTAAAAACAACAAATCTTTCGCTTTCTCCTTTTATGCCCAGCTGTACTCCAATTTCTAGTGCCACAATTATTCAGATCTCCTCCTGATCCGGCCTGACCACGAAAACAACTACGCCACATGGCGACTCGGCATGTCGAGGAAGGCAGCAAACCATGTTTAAGAGCATTTTGACGATCACTCCGATGATAAAATACAGTAAATTTGAGATAAATATTCAATAAAGAAAAAATGCAGATTTTTCATGAAGAAATTGACGAGATTTCTTCGGGTAAAAGACAAATTTCCTAACATCTCAAGTGTCACACTAAGATGGGGTCACAACAAGGTCGCGCGTGTGTTGCACGTTTTCCGCTCTAACTTTTGATTGGCGCATAGAACAATGCTGAAACTTGGCCGTGAGGTATAAGACAGGGGAATGGGGAAAATAAGGCTTAAAAAAGGTGTTTTTGTCACGTTTCTGACTGTTTTTTTGGCGATTTTTGGATTTCGGCCAATCAGAAGGCTTGATTTAATTGAAATTAATGATTAAAAGTTAGCACCTTTTAATCACTTTTGCCGTTCGCCTGCCTACCTCTTACACGGACCATGACTTAATTGTAAATGCGGAGGAATAGTAAGAAATGAAATATGGTAAGAGTAAGGTGTTAATTTGTGAAGTTATGGGATTCGTCAGGATATTCTGAAAAGAGCAACATCCAAGAGGCCTACTTGCCAAAAATTAGCATTTCGGGACAAATATTCTCTGAGATCTTAGCCCAGTTATGCTCTGATGACTCCATACAAATCCTTCTAAATTTGACTTGGGTCTAAACGTTTAGACCTAAGTCAAATATGAGGTTCCTGGCGGTGAATAACAAGTCTAACAAAAAAAAAATAAGGCTTCAAAAACAGCATAGCAGTCTCATGTGCTGATTAAAGATATGCAAGGTATGGGTAAGGAGTCAATTACGATGAGTATGGAATTGGCTGTTACGAGTTCGAATGTTTTGAGGATAATTATTCACTGACTATCAGCACGCAGGAATGTCGGATTAACACAAGGAAGTTTAATACCAATAGCCTGCGTAGCAGGCGTCGAAAGGGGTAGGGGGTAGGGGATAGGGAGGAAGGGAAAAAGGGAAGGGGGATTGGGGAGAGGGGGAGGGGACACCTGCTCTAAGAACCCCCTTTTGTTCATATCTGCGGACGCTGGCGTCCGCAAATCCTGATTGGCTGAGCCGTAATGAGTAACATATTGAAATGTGCGTTTCACAAATCAACAAACAGTCGAGATGGCAGCGGTAGACGTGGATGTCGTAGAGAGTGCTTTGAGAGATGTGAATTTATCTAGTGGTAGACATATAGAGAGACTGTTTTAAACCAGAGCAAGAATCAGCAGTAAGGGCTCTTTAGCCGACAGAGATGTTCTGGCGGTTTTGCGGACCGGATACGGCAAGAGTTTAATTTACCAAATGTTTGTACCCGCGAAGAACTACGAGCTAAATGGTAATGCGGCGATTCTCTTCATTTCGCCACTGAAAAGTATTATCGAAGACCAGTTGCAGGAGATGGAATTGTTGAGCTACCCAGCGAAAGATTTAGCCATTTTATCGAACGATGACATTCGCCGATGTAACTTAGCAATAAAAGAGGGTGGTTTTACCTCATGCCAAAATGCTGCTTATTCCAATAAAGTTGTTTTTATCTGCTGGGTAGATTATGCTCTGGAAGGTTCTGCATTTATATTTTAGCCGCTTGTTTCACACTGAGAGGTCATGACATACATATCGATTGACTGTAGTTATTGTTTTCTGGTCGGCAGGATTTGCCCTCTGATGCAAGCGCAATTTCTTTGACCTCTTTTGAAGCGTAAAGCTTTTTTTATTACGGCTGAATAAGGGTTTCAATTTTCTCCAAAGTGCCTTCTGGATCTGAATATTTAAGCGAACTTCTTTAGTCCGTGAGTGTAATGCTTTTCTGCAATGGCGAGTGTAGCGACAATTGATTGACAGTAAGCGTAATCGGATTACTAGAAAATTGGTAGGCGTTATGCAAAAACATAGGCTCTTAGAGCAGGTGCTCCCTTCCCTTTTCCCTTTCTCCCTCCCCCCTCCCCCTCCCCTTTTTGCGCCTGCCACGCAGGCTAAATACCAAAGGAACATAGCCTTTTCAGAGCTTTAAAACACAGCATCCGCCAACACAAACTTGACTTGAACTCAAGTACAACTAAACAGCCTCTACCAATAATAACAAACTCTCACTTGAACTTCAGATATCTTACGGCTTCCGCCAACTTGTAAACACAGAACTTGAAAATCGACCTTCGTTACACTTGACTAAACACAGCAGTCCAGCTCGTGGGAAAAAAACTTAGGTCATCAAAAGACCTCGCTTGGAACTGGTATACCGTTTGACATAAGGTTCTACAAAATACTAAACGGGCGAATAGTAGTAGCCTTTCGACATATTTTATGACTTCAGTAACTGATGCAAATCTGCTGACTCATGCTGAAATGTAAACATGCCCTAATTATTATTCATGAATAATCCAAAAAAGTAGAGAACGTTCGAGAAAGTCACTCAACGTATGAAAGCAATTTTACTACGTAACACTCAAAAAAGACAAAATGTCTTCGTACAGCATTTTGTAACTTTAAAGTCATCATAAAGCAGTTCGAAACGAGGGCTCACTGGTGGAATGTTTTTCAACACTCGAAGAGAAATTTCGTGTCTCTGCGCGGCCACGTAATATCCTCTATTTATTCCTCGAGTAAATTAAACACTAAACTCAAAGTGATCTCAAGATATCACAAAGTAGTCCGGTTTCATTTCGTGAAATAGCCGAAACAAGCCGAAAAGTCGCGAACTTGCACGCCCAATCTTGTCCCGAAACTAGTGCATAATTTCATAACTATTTTTCATATCCCGAACAACCTTGGGTCGCAGTAGCGCAATAGGCTAATCCCTCAACTTAGAGTCTCTTCTGACCTGACGGCTCACACAGGTGAGGCGGTTCAAACCCCGGGGAAGCCAAAACAATAATTCTTTCTTCCTCGAAAAAGTTAAAGAAAAAATCAAAGAAATCGAAGTTATCTCGAGATATCTCGAACTAATTCGGCTCTCACTTCGTCAAATAGCCGAATAAAACCGAAAACCTACAGACTTTGCATGCCCAATCTTGTCAAAAAATTGTAACTTTGATACATTCCTGAGCGTCGCGAATCCTTTACTTCGCGCTCCGCCGAAGTAATTAGAAGTAATGGAAATAGAGTAATGGAAACGGCTTGTTTTGACGCAAATATGCAATAGGCACGCAATACGTGCTAACGTAAGCAAGACAAGTAAACAAGCGAGGCGAGGCGAACGTCTTGTACAAGGTAAGAGACATGTGGGAAAGAAAGCTCTGCTAGCACACTGCACTTTATCGCACTTTTACGATCTCAAAAGTTAATCTGAATCTTCAGTATTTTTGCCTCATCGAAATTTAGAAGTCTGAAGTCCAGGGATGAAATCTATCAAAAATACTTTGAATATTAACGTCGGGTTTTGGTCACAATAAGATCACAAGCAACGAACCTTGAAACACAGAAACTCACAAAACTGATCGAAAGCCACCAATCACAAATCACAACACAAACAAAGACCTTCTGAACCCGTTGAAGTAAACTTTTGTTTCCTAAGAGGTCCGCTAAGATGATTGGCGTCTGACATGTTTTTGACGAGAGGATCGAAATGCACCAATCGTAGAAAGACAGTTTTAATTGCATGTTTCCTAAGAGGTCACCTGAATTTGCTGTTTTCTTTATTTTATGTCCATTTTCTTTTCCTTATTTTATGATTGGTCGATTTTGTTAGGTCAAGTGGATAATCCAATGAGGGACGATTTGGATATCGTTTGATCCGAAATTTTTCGAAGCAGCAGTAAGAAGCAGTTTGGATAACATTTGGCCGCGGCGTTTCGAGGAACGTGTTAATATATTGTTCAATTATGTTATCCTGGGTTAAACTTACAAATGCACACACTGTTTGCGGTAGGCCCACACTAGAAAACACTAGAAAACACTGAGTGTTTTCGGAATGAGCTGGTCAGCGAACTCAAAGTAAAACAAAGGAAATTATCAAGACATTCAATGACATTAAAGACTCATGGACCCCATAGACGCAATGACAAATCGGAATATCAGGAGTGTACGTGTAAAATAAATAAGAGTTAAAACAGAGGAACGTTTAACAAGTTTGAGAGTCGCAAGATTTGTGTAGCTGGTTATCAGTGTGACAATGGTGATTTTGATTTTTGCATTGCGGAACACAACGAGTTGCCTGTGATAAAAATCTCTTTCGATGAAGGAAGAGACGATTGTCAGCAATTGAAACCAAAAGGGACTGAGGATTCTTTTGGAACTACTGTGATAACTGCAACAATTCTTTTTATTATTTCAATTTTGTTTAGCAGGGTGACGGTTAATGTACTTGTTTTTGTATTGCGTGTTGTGTTTTTTCATCTAATTGTGTATGTTGTGACGCGGTACATGTACGATGCTGTGCGTCGGGAGTTTGCATTATCAGCAAGTTTTGTGTTAGAGTGTTTTGATGGCAGCGAGGTGACGATAAGAGAAGGTGATGAGCTAGTTGTACAGAAGGAAAATTGTGTTGTGGAGGAAATAAAAGAAGTTGAATTGAGATCTCGTCGTGGGAAATCTATTTATAACAGAACTTACAATTCCATTGGTTTAAATCAGGTTAGTCATTTTTCTCAACGCAGTCATGCACTTAGCAGACTTCGGATGAACAAATTAAAATCTTTGTTAAGGAAAATACTGAAAGTGACACTTTTTGCATGGAAGAGTATTCGGAAAAACACACCATTGTCGTCTGAAATTCACTGTTACGTTAAAAATAGGATATGTTTACACTTAAACAGGTACAGAAGTAACCGTAACAGTGTGAGGTTTTTACTTAAAGGGCAACTACAAAACTAGTTCGTAAACGAGGGAGGTGTATCTGTCGTCTAAGCATCAAAGCACAGGCGATTTAGGTGGAATGAGATATCCAAATAGGCTTTTAAGTAAGAATTTGCCCCTCACAACAGTTTGAATCACCGGGTTAATTTTGGCCAATTTAAGCGTTGTACTGATATCGAGAAGCACCCAGGACCTTCAGTTTATGTAGATGCTACAAAAACAATTCATGCTCTATACTGTCAAGGAAATGTTACAGTATTTGGGGAAAATGCTGGACAACAATGTGTCGGAATGAGTCTGTGCGCTTTAATTTACAGTAAGATAACAAAGATTACTTCAGTTGATGATATGACTCAAATAATGACTGGTGGTATTCAGTTATATTCTAGTCTGTCACTGCTTGCAAGACAATCTATGTTAATGTTAACAGAATTGCCAGGAATGGTTACAGTGTTTGAGCAATTTTTCCACCTTGAATACAGTGACAGTTATACTTGTAACACCCATGGTGATCCCAGAATTGAGGGGTATCACTACTGTATGTGCCACTCACAGGGTACAGCATTTGAAACACTCTTGGCACTGAACTACAACTCATTTATTTTAACGGTGGCAATTATTGGTGTTGGTATCTACAGCATTGAGGCTGGGGGATATAATGTAATCGATTCTCATTCTAGAGATATGTATAGTGAAGGGACATCTGTATTGTTGGAAATACCGTCCATGCATAAAATAGTACAATATTCTCAGACTCTACATAGGAATGAGCATATATATGAACTTAGAGGTGTACATATTGCCACCTTTGAACCTCATCTTTTCTCAAGCAATGTTGAACATTGTAGTATATCAAATGTTAATAGTTACCAATGTTCCTGTAAACATTGCTGCCCTATAGCAGTTTATGCAATATGTTACTCTCTTTTTAATCCTTGTAGATACTGGACTTAAGGAACTTTATTTGCCCTTGTCAGGAATACACTGTACAGTGTGATGGGTGTGAAAACAGATCTGTCAGTCATTCTTCCTCAAATTGTCAGTATCAGTGGAGCTGAGATAAACCTTACTCTCCGGGCTGTAACCACTTATGTCATATGTTGCAATTTGGCTCCAAGCATGTCTGCATTGAAGATGTGCATATTTTCAAACATTGTCATGAAATGACACAATTTTTGTTGCCGATTGGGACATACTGTATAAGCCGTGTAGTTCAGCAAACAAGTTGAGTAAAGGATTTATCTTCTCTGGTAAGATATGATGACAGTTGTTTAGCTGCAATAAGGCATGTTCAAAGTATCATACCCGTAGTATGACCACGCCCAAATATACGCTCCCACAGAGTCTTGTTTTTCATATTCATATATGCTCATCTCGCACGTGCGAAAAGAAGTGTCACATTCTGATTCGTTGTTCGTTTGTAAACTTAAGACTAACCCACGAACCTTGCTTGGGTATAACTATAGTTAGTCTGTATTAACTATAGTTAGAGCGAACAGAGAAGCGGTCACATTACCGAAATAGTTAACTATAGTTAGTAGCCCAGATGTGACCGCAGCCAATGGCGATGATGACTACAGTATGTTGATAGGAGTCATCATCCAGCCCCTTAGATAAGAGGGGGTGCGGTCTTCAAAAAAATTTTTTTGCGCCGTTCGGGCACCAGTATGATCTGAAAATAAGGGGGGGAGCCCTCCCCTGGATCGGCCATGGGTTATTATAATGGTTACGTAAAGATGATGAAGAAAACAATGATTAACTTAATGGCAGTTTTACATGTATGTCAGTAGCATTTACTTCCACTACATCTCCGTAACTCTGAGAGGTCATATGTGCCCCTTCAGAGACTTGGTTATTTTCTTACCGCTTCATCTAATGTAAGCCTTTTCTAATTCTACAATATTCGTGTAGCATTTAAAACATTTTAAAATTGAAATTAATTCAAATGTAATTTAACTATTAAATTACCAAATTAAAAAGAAACATAAACAAGCCTTTCTAAAGCCTTGAGTGAAATGACTTGACTAAGATTGTTTGGCGGTTTGAGTGGTAAATTTGCATTGTCCTGACAGTTAACTTTTATATATCTATCAATCAATCAATCAATCAATTTATCAATCACTGTTTAATTTCTTTAGCCTATTTACCGAAAATTGTAACTAAGACAAAAGGTAAGTGAAACAAAAAGGTCAAATAATATATTTGGCAATTTTTTTGTTCAAATACCTGCGGAGGCTAATCGAGTTGATTGGCCAGACTATTCCATTTAATTGTAATAAAAACGTATGACTTCCTACAGTTTAAAGTTAATTAAATACTGTTCAAATTGCTGCACTTAAATCAGAGAGAAAAACATTAAAGAAAAATGGAGACAATACATGTAACATTAATAAAATAAAAACCCATTAATTACCTCCTTGCACTTTGCAGCTGTGCCACTAATTTTATTGCTTCTTAATAACATTGCTGTGTGCTACATGTGCCATTTCACCATAACTTTTAAGAAGAATAAGAAACTGCTCGCAATCCATTATCTACTTAAGCACTAAATCACTTTGAATTGAAATATTGCAAATTCATTCTTCTTAGTAGTACGAAATATTTAAAAGTTATCACTCTTAACCTAAAAAAAAATTCAGCAAATAGGTTATAATCGGCAATGCTCTACATACATTTCCTATGGTACCGTTTTTGTTTATTTCTTGACTTTATGTTTGATTAACCAGTGATTTTTCAAGGAGAAACTAGATTGTAATCACTGGCTTTGAGGGTTAATAACAACGTTATAGCTTGCTCTTTATTTCTTGCATGAAACGGGTGCCGTTAAAAGTTCACAAAAAGGCAATGTCACCGTGACTGCATGAATTTGCCCAGTGTTTGGACTATTGAACACGTTCCTGCTAAACGGTGGAATACCCATCTCTCTTCACACGCTGAATAGAATGAAAACAAGTAGACTTGATCTTTTCTCGGTAGTAGATGACGAGAATTATCGCTATCAGCCCAATTACCCCAGCTGCTACACTAACTCCAATTATTAAACTGTTGTCCTCATGGTTGGCACTAGTCATAGTGGAGGCTACACGGTGGCCAATTGGTGGATCCAAGGCAAATGTGCGACCAAATAGAATGGCTGAGAACAAAGGACGATCTAATTCATCAGCGACTAGTTTATTTCCAAAGTACTTTGTTTCGTTTCCTGTAGTCAACAGCATATTACTCAGCAAGACCTCAGGGAACACGTATGTTTTCGAGGAGAAATTACCCGCGATACTCAACTTCTTGAAAAGCGTTGACGATGTTGTGTTTAACACAGTACCACAGGATTGTTTCTCCATATTGTCACATTTAATCAGAATACAAGCTTGGATGTAGTATCCTGTTTTTTTCTTGTGATGGCCGCTGAAAGCCCCGAGGGCAAACATCTCTGTTTCAAAAGCCTTTTCGCTAACCGTAGAGTAGTTTGCTTGACAGCAAAGATCATTGGAACAGACGCAGACGTTGCCGTTAGCACCGGATAGCTTGCTAAAAGTGTACCTATCACGTCTAACTGTTGAGGTAAATGTCTCCTGTATTTGGCAGTCATAGAGCGTAGCTTCTTTAGGCTGTTCCTGATTAATTTCAAGCTGCGAATCTTTGTCTTGCACTCGAGTTACTAGGAGATGTTTCTTAGAAGACGTCTCGTCGTAGACGTATTGAAGCGGGTCACCTTTTGAATATATTCCACTTCCTGTCATTGCTTTCGAGGGATTATGTTGATTAGATGCAAGAAGATTAACGGACGTAGCTCTGGACCAAGCTTGCTGGAACCCTATCGAAGACAGGGTAGGGAGGCCACCTACCCAAGCAGTTGTGAACACAACGTTCCGAATACCCAGTTTCTCCACAAGCGCCATAGCAGGATCATAAAAGATAATATCGAAACATGTAAACACACCAAAAGTCACTCCGAACGAAGTATTAAAAGTAACTCTTTCCGCCTTCAGTGGGCTGTTGAACTGTGGTTCATATTTAGAGAAGAGATGTTGCTTATGATACCTTGCTAGGAGCGTGCCATCGGTGTCAAACGCAATGTCTGTGTTGTATTGATACCTTCCATCGTGAGGGCAATGCGGATCTGATTTCTTGCAGAACTTCACATCTCCCATGTTTGCAACCAACGCGATAGACGAGTTGCGAGCGATGCAACTGAGCTGCTTTAACACTTCCGTGTTGGGGAAACGATCTGGTTCAGTACACGGATTCCATTTCTTCTTTATACTAGACGGGTCTGGGATGTCTTCCAAGTAATTAAAAATTTCATCACGATTTTCGAAGAGAAATCCATAAATGCCGTCTTCAGGAAAAACTATTACATCTGCTCCCTTCTCTTTCGCCAGGCGAGACACGTTTTGGAAGACTTCAAGGTTTTTCTGCATAACTCGAAGAGCTTGGCTTCTTGTATGATAACCGGCCTCAAAAAACGTTTTGTGTTCGTAAACAGCAGCGGTGTATTCTCCAGCCAGGGTTAACAGTTTTGAAGTTGAAAATAGCATTAACAGGGCCAAAAAAGGGCAGAGCAACCGTTTGCGTTTCATGATGGCGTCCCTTTCGACATATGTTAGGAGCCGTTAAAGGAACTGCAACCTCATGTGACACGTCATAAGGTTCATTTCTTAGTTACTCGTTTGCGCGCAGGCTAAGTTACAGTGGACGGGCTTAAAAAAACTTCCGTAAAATAGGAATCGATCATGATTGACACGATTCACTGACAGGTTATGCTAAGTACGTCGAAGCTAGAAAAAGACTGGTTTATATCAGAATTTTGCGGATCATCCCATCAAAACTGATCCTATAGTCCAGCGGGGTTAAAAATATGTGTGAAATTCAAACTTGCAGTCTTGCAAAAGCTATTTTCTCAGACAGCAGATTTATCGGTAGGTTTTGAAGTTGTAATGTAAACATTTGCGTTGCGTGTTAGTTGCGTTGATTGGTCCTTGACCCAAGATTAGAGTCGTAAGTTTTCCGAGAAAATGCTCACTAGTTTATCTCATTTCGGGTAGAGGAGCAGCACCTGATAAGGGGACGTGTCGGTTGACAGATACTGTTTTTTTTTCCTCTTTGTCCTGAACAGAACATCTGCAAGGACTGATCAAACAACATGAATAGGCTGTAGTTACTATAATTCGACCGGCAAATACCATTTTTTATCAGGTTTATCAGGAAAGATCACGAATGTACAGAAATGGGGAATGAAAACAATGAACAGAAGTGACGTGTGGTTTAGTGTGGCTACTTTAATAGAAAACGTAATTTAAGATATAAATAAACAGAAAAACAAATAAAGATATGGTGCTAAATGAGATACTGTAAATTCATGATTTGTTTTCTAATAAACCTGGTATTTACTAGTCGAAACACTGTAAGCTCAGTTCATTCACGTTGCTTGATCGTTCCTTATAGTTAATTTACACTAATCTCCTTTAAAGTGAATGCGATCTCTTTGGAACCAACGTTGAGCGAGCGAACTGATCGTACACGTTTTTGTACTGGTTTTAAACCTAAACGTTACATTAGTCCTGAACAGGGTATACAGTTTCTACAAAAACTTGCTGTATACAGGGTCTTATTAGACTGCAAAACAGTCCGAATTTTTGCGTCAATTCAACTGCACGCGAGCAGTTAAACGAAGGGTCTGGAACGAGGCTGAAAACGGAAAGCGAGACTGCGGAGGGACGCTAAAAGTACGATTCTTATTCCTGATCTAAAGTGTCTGCAAGCGTGACTGGTTGGCAAAAGTTGTTTTCCTCATACAAATCCTTCTAATTTTCGGCGGTCTTTGCAATCGCTACTTTTGAGATATACGGCTGAAAATTTACAGGTTACCTAATCTTAACATGCTCTTTCAGCTCGTGCTAGCAAAATTTTTCAAAAGCGAACTGTTTTCGTGTTCAGCGAAAGTTGATCACGTGATCAACTAATGCAAAAGGCCTATTTCCGCGGGCTGTTCTTGATGTATATATTTGTTAAGTATGACCCATATTTAAGCATTTTTAACAAATTAGCTGAAGATCGTTAGCAGCAAGCAGTGTTTGTTAGTGTTGAGCCTGCTTATCAAGGATGAATTCATTTGTAGCGAATTCTCCAGTGTTTTTGAGCCTAAACTCGCAAGCTGCAAATGAATCCACTCCAAGATTGTCGACAAACAAAGGGACAAACCCATGCCAATCAGCCGGTCACAACACTATCCATCTCATTAGACCTTTTTACCGATACGGCGGCCATATTGAATTCATTAGATTTAAGGAGTATTATGGGATGCCCAGGTGGCACTCGCTCAGTATTTACGCGCGCTTTTCGGGCAAAAAGAGAACTTCTCTGTATATTTTTCGGGGAAAAAGGCGATAATTGTTACATCCAAACACGGCACAACGATCTATTTTTCTAATTACAACGTTTTTATAGGAAAGCTTAAGGAAAAATTGTCCCGAAAAACGCGCGTAAATACTGAGCGAGTATATGGGATCGTGCTCGTGCCCCCTGGGCATCCCATAATACTCCTTAAGTCGAATTAATTCAATATGGCCGCCGTATCGGTAAAAAGGTCTATTATTGGCTCCTGCTCTCGTCTCTTTTTGTGCTGCCTTTCTTTCATTCAGAGACTGGATACGTTGTATGGAGTATAAATTTACTGGAAACAACTTCGATACACTTGGTCTTTTACCTCTAAAGAATGTACCTCTCCCCAGGCAACCGCCTCATCTTGAAGCGAAGGTGGGCACCAGGCCTCTGGACCCACTGACTGTACTCGCAAGGGTTTTAAGGGCTCTGGTTCAACTTTTCTTAGGCGAAATTTTGTAAGATCACTTGAACGTGAGATAAGCGACATCTGTGACGACCGCTTCTTTGGTTTTTGAGGAGGTATCTTGGATAATTCAGCCCTAAAGGGTAGGAAAAATAACTATTACTTTTCAAAATGTCAGAACGTGCATTTTGATTAAAAAAAAGACACAAGGAAATAAAGGCGCCTTTGACATGATTGGTTAAACACTATTATTATGATTTCATAGAGCACGTGCTCTTACTTAAAGCCAGTGTTTTATTAAGATTTAAAAAGCACGCATTGTTTACTTGTACTCGAGATTTTTTTAGAAGACTTGAGATGGTCTCTAACACTTCTCTCATTTTGTTAAATTCCAACTTGCTTGTAAAATTCAATTACGTACTAAGAGCGTCCCAAGACGCGTTAGATGGGGTTAGTAAGTTGAAATGATATCGCAGTCAAGGTCGGAGGCCCTCTCCGGGAAGCAACGGAAGCTTCCGCAAGGAAAGCAGTGCGTCCACATTAGCGTTTTCGCCTACTTTTCATCGTCTGTCCATACGAAGTCATCTTAAACACACCATATTACGCACATCGGCTCGTACCTTCTCAATACCGTCCTTTCCCGCCATCTTTAAAGCTTGCAAACATAAGTAGCTGCAAGGGTGCATTTTCAAAAACCTTCATGGTTACCCGTCCGTATTAAAACGTTGTCCTTCAGTTTCAAAAAGTTCCAGTTCGAAACCGTTTACGAAACGCTCTCTGATTTTTTTAGTGTGACCGTAAGGCCAAACCGTCTTCAAACGAATACGCATCACTGTGGACGGTGTGGACCAGGTCAAAGCCTTCCAAGAGTGTTAAGCGTATGGTTTCATGTAGGCATGGCATAGCATGTAGGCACAGGGTCCAGAGGAGTTTCGTGTGAATAAATGGATTACTTATTTAAAGTGTCACTTTGTAAAATGTCTTAGCACGATTTATTAACCCAATGAGATCTTAACGAATCTACTGGAAACGATTTCTTCGCTTCTTATCTGACCCAGATCGACTTTGTTGTTCGCCATTTTAAAAATCAATAACCGCAAGCCATATCCTCGCTGGCGCACGGAACGTCGCCCGAAGGGCGACCGAGGCACGAAGTGCCTAACCTGAGATCAGGCGTAATTTTTTTTTTTTTGGCTTCTTTGGCTCGAGAAGGAAAAAAATTACGCCTGATACATTTATTTAACAAGCCATCAACCGCCCCCTAATTTACATAATCTAACGTCTGCTTGACCTGTCACGTTATCAGCCAATCAGCGTTTAACAGAAGGGAATCAAATTTTGGCGGGAATAATGTCTCTTTCGAAATAACTTTTAGGGAAAAGAAAACGTTTAAGTACGTTCAGATGGCGCTTCCTAGGAAAAATTTTAAAATCTTTTTTTGTGATGAAATACTGCTAGTTGGAGCTGCCGTACCTTGATTTAACAGCTACAAATAATAAAGAATTTTCAGGTAAAAGCTCGTTGACTTCGTTATGTGCCGAAAGCTCGGAAAAAAAATTAGGCTGAAGCACCATATTTCACGAGCTGAAAAGTGTTGTAAAAGCGAAGATCGCTCAGAATAATTCCCAGGTTCCTGAAGGAGGAATGACAGGAATTACAGTCAAACCAGGTCAAGATTCCATTCATGAATTAATTATTTGAAAAGTGAACCCGTTTGTCGCTTCTGTAACTTGTAGCCGGTATCAAATTGAATTCAAATGATCGGGAAATTTTGACTGCAAGTTTTAGTATACGACGAAATGGAAAATATTTCAATGGATGAAATTTCTATTTAGACATTTTTCAAACTGGCAAGAAAACTGAGCAGGCAGAAATTTCATAACGAACTCGCGTGTGCACTGCTCATTACGCAAGCAAAAATGCAGACTGAAATCAACAACAACTAACGGATGGCGGCGTTTTGGCCAATCGGAACAGCGCAAATCATCCGTATTGTTTCCTATCCAATCAGAAAAAAGTCCAGATTCTGGCTTTTTTGCATGTGATCTGTGAAAGAAATGTATCATGCCCTCCTCCCGAAGGCAGATTACAGAGATAAAGGGAAAGGGCATGATCGCAGGCTACGAAGTGCCGAGTAAGCCGATGTTGCGAGCCCTCAGTCTCTTGGTTTGCGGTCAATAGAATGTGTAACGAAACTGTAACGCGATCAAAATAACCCATTTTTTCAGAGGTTTTCGACGGGCTTTGATGTTCTAACGAAAAACACATCTCCTCTGGACCCTGTGATGTAGGTAGAATGTTCAGCACGCACATTTCTGAAAAATTATGCCAGCGGACTGTATACCAACCCCGTTACCAACTAGCCTCTAGTTTTATTTAGGGGTACGAAATACCTTGATGATTCTTGAAGGGATCGAATTGAGGGGGCTGAGAGACGTGTCTCCTCTGATTGCTCCGTTCCTAGCACCGTTGCTGAAGTTCCTTGTTCACCGGAAGGACCCGGTTCAATGTCTTGTGCTGCAGCGGAGTACGGGTTCTAACATTTAAGAGAAAATATGGTTAGACTTACAGAGGACTGGGGAAACATGGAATGGAATTATGTTTCGTAGTTTGAAGTTTCGCATTGGTACACTATTATGTTGGCGGTTGGTTAAGTCGTAGACAAATCTGCGTTTCAGATCATGCAAGCACATTGAAAACATTCACTTGTGTAAATGCTTTTTTTTTGTAGGGGAGGAGGGCGGGATGAAAAAGTGTGAATCAATAAGTCAGTTACGATCAGGTAAGATCAACCGCATGCTATTAAAATGTAAATGTCTTGCAGTTACTACAAGCTCTTTAAAAGCTTGACGATTTACCTGATATTAAGAGGATAGCTATAAGTGAAGCGGTGTTGAAGCCGATCAACTTTGCACAGGAATGGGTTTTCCAGGTATTTATTCCAAAGAATTGCTCGGCTTCACTTGAGGCTCTGCTGTCCACGATCACGATTTGCTCGTGTTTGGCAAGTTGGACTCGTTTGGTTTATGATTTAACATTTGATTCCCCCAAAGTCCTTCGCGAGGTCCTGCGATTTACGTATTTCTAGTTTAAACAAAGTTTTGTCATTTTTTACCAACTTATGCGATCATAGAACTTGTATGCGATCAACACAAACATCAGCCCTAACCTCGCAAAAAAGAACCAAGTGTGGTTTGGTAACAGCTTCACAATTTTCCAGGTGTCCTTCTTGGTTATGTGAGATCTGTGTGCGAGATAACGTTTTGCCCGGGGTGGGTTACTCGACCAACATTTGCGTTTACCGCGGTGAGCCGCTGAGGGTTTGAAGCCCTGACCTTGTTTAGGACATCACCCTCACCCTAAATTTTATTACCCTGTTTAAGACAAAGGACAAAATGCAAGCCGCCTTGTTTTGAAGCCTATTTACATGTTGCAGTAGAGCAAATTCACGTTATAGTCATTGCATACTTAAAGTACAAACAACCTTCATCAAGCAAATCACCTCAATCGTACACGCAATGCCCTGTTTATAATAATCGTACGACAGACTCACACGAAATTATATATACCCTGTTAAGGACAGAGAGGACAAAAACCATACCCTGTCAAGCGGAACATCCCCGTATAGTCCATATAAGGAAGTACACCCCGCCCGGAACTTTGAGGCTGATTGAAAAGCCTTATGTCATTTTTTCAAGCAATGAAAGCGGAACATAGAACCAATTAAAAAGCATGGCATGCTTTCGTGGTAGTCTCAAAAATATTTAAAAAACACGCAAGGTTCGTGCTCACCGTCTCTATTAGGATTCCGTATCTCCATTTCATCCAGTACCTTCTGAAAGATTCACGGAACTCCACACTCAGATAAACACAAAATATACAAACCATTATGCCCTGAAAAAAGAAAGTTAAATTTGAAGTTAAATTATTAAAACAAAGAATCCATTCAGGATAAGAAAAGCTAGATATAGCTGCCATTCAGTTGGGCTTGTCTGTCTTGCGGGCTGTCTTTGACAAATTGGAGAAGGGCGTACCACTTCAGTCTTTCAGGTATTAATCCAATTCACTTTCGATGGAAACAGAAGCACATATATACAGAGCATTACGATCTAGCCGGAAAGTCAAACCGTGGGAGTCTCCCTGGGTAAGGAATCCGGAAAATGTTTGCTGATAGAATCCGGAATCCGGGAATATTTTGCTCGTGGAACCCACTAACGATCCGGAATCCGACTAACGATTGTAATCCAGAATCCAAGTTTCAGTGACAAGGACTGGAATACAGTACTTGGAATCCAGAATGCAAGACTATCTTGGGTTCCCTTACATGAGGCGAGTGGGAGTCTCAAGTTTTGACCGCGTCGACAACGATCTCGTGAACACTAGATCGTCGGACATTTGAAGGTGAAGCGGAAGACCTAAACAAATCACGTCAGTGCTTGTGATTCCGACCAATGTAGTTTTCATTAATTCGTAAGCAACGAAGTTAGAAGCAAAACCGACTCTATTACTTGTAAAAAGAAACCCAAAACTTTAGTCTTCAGACGTCACAACAAAGGCATCCTTGCCTGTGTGTTAAACTAGTTCTTTTTTCACTTTGTTTTAATATTACAACAGTACATTACGGCAACAAAACGAACTTCATTGATTACAATTGATGCATATTTACCTGGAGCGGATAAGCGACAGCGATAAAATAATTTTCAGCGCCGCTTTTTGATGGCAGATAGAAAATTAGGAGATAGATTAATCCTAGGAGAGAGACTAGAATCACCACGGCTTTGGCGCTTTTTCTGTTGGTTGAAAAAGAAGAGACAATGCAATCAGGAGATGAGGAATATTCTTAAAGCAAACATGTCCCTCGAGGTCTAAATCAGTATATAATAAAGAAATGTTCTGTTGCAGCAGAGCGGTTCAAGGTTCCCAGAGTGGCACCAAACGGAAAAAAATAATCAGGCATTTATGTAACAACGAGGGAGGGAACCTGAGGAAAAAAGAGGGCAGGTCTTCTTGTTCTGTTTGTTTACGTTGCAGGGCGTGACAGGGGAAAGGCGGGATAATATCCGTTTGCCCGTTGCATTTTCGTCTCGCTCCATTTCATTCCCTTTCCGTTTTTCACGCCTGCCACAGATATGTCCGGGATCCGGAAGGCTTATGAGCCGCATGATCTTTATAATAGCCATCCCAGAGTGTCCTCATGCACCAAAGGTTACCGAAATACTTATAATTCGGTCAATATGAAGCACTATGAAAATGACAAACAACCTGGTCAAACTGTATTTCTTTTAATACCTCCGTCCAGTCCTGGACATAAGGGGCCTGCGACACGAGCTATCTTTTACTTTGGCTGGTGCTGCGCACTCAAAAAAGCATGGCACTGGTGCAAAGCGCAGGCGGACAACTTTTATCTGCGACGATGAAGAACATGAAATCGGTCCAAAGTGCGGGAAAGCATACGGACTTTGTACTGTTATTAAAAAAAGGCCAAGAAAGTTACAGGTTGATGTAATCAAAAGCGGAAGTTAATGGCACAGCGCAGGGTGGAAACTGAGTAGGTAAGCAAAAGAATACATCTACACTTACTTTACTAAGTTCATGTGCGACGAGTGGGAGTGTTTGAGTTTTTTCGTGAGCATCTGCACCACATATGCCGCAATTCCAAAATTAATCTACGAAAATAAGAAACACAAAATTACACACTGAATACAAAAAGTGAGCGTTTGCTTCACAGGCATGATAATTACATACTGTAGTTGTTTATGCATGCATGCATTCAGGTGCATAAAATGATCTTACCACTAACATAATGGTCAGCGGAATATACAACACTAACATGTGAGAGCTATGACTAAGAGTCACCCAGCATCTGAAAAAAGAAATAAACTTTATTTTACATATTTGGGTGAATTACAAGTAACTTAAATTGTTATAAGAACAAAACGACAAACAATACGCCAGGGCCGAGTTGTTCATAGCTGGGTTAAGATAACCCAGGGTTAGTTCGAAGTTTGAATTCAGATATGAAAGCTTAAAAAAGCAAATTCAGTTTAATTCTTTTTGTTAACAGTTTGATGATTGGCTACTCTAAAAAGAATAGAGAAAATTGTCCGAGAAAATGCTTTTGATAAAAAAAAAAAGAGACCCGGGTTAAAATTTAACCCTGGGTTAGCGCTTAATCGGCCTTCGAACAACTGGGCCACGGTTGCTAAATTGAAAAATTAATTAAGGTGGGTAAACTAGTCTTCCACGTCTGGCCAACTTTCAAGATGCTTGCATTTCCGAGGTTTTTTTTTTCATTATTTATTTATTTGCTCTCGAGCATTTTTAGCGTAAAGTAAGGAAAGACAGCGATTCCATACTTGAATAAATCAGTAAATCAGTAAGAGAAATGCCAACCAGGGGGACCTCCTGGTGTTAGCCATACCCATAAGATGTTATTTTAATACTTGCATTGCAAACTCTGAGACTGAAATGTTAAAAAATCCCTCTTTCAAGCAGTACACACAAATATTCAGTGAAGGAGTCGTTTCAGAGGTCATATTATTCACGGCAAAACTGAACAAATAAGGCTTACCCTAAAATTAAACGAGTTTAATTAGTGAGTAGGTCATCTAACCTTTCGCTATTTCTTGCAACTGTGAACTGAAAATAGGGAAGGTAGACACAGAACAACAACACGCCGGAAAAACCTGCCAAAGATTAAAAAAAATACGAAGGACTCTTAGACAGTTAAGAAATATATAATGGTTAGCTGACCGTTTTTCTTTGAGTAAATGATGATGTTTTGCAAATTTTTATTTTTTCACTTGCGAGAATATTAACGAAAACGCAAACTCTTCAATCACAATTTTAACTTCATAGAGTTATTTTGAGGTTTTCACTAACGCAACGTTTTCATGATGGAAACATTTTTAGCGCCATATATGTGAATCACTGGGGGCCAGAAATAAAGAACAAAAGGTCCGTCTTGAGGAAGGAGCTGGTGAAAAAGGAAGTAAAATAATACGCAATAACCTGCGAGCAGGCTCTCCATTTCGAGTACGTGAGCCGTGCGCGAGAACACGCAAGCGAATGACGAAGCTCTGGAATCTCTTCTTTCTTCCCCTTCACACGTGACCTCTCACGATATCCCCCAAATGAAAGCTTGTCGCAGGCTAGTCGCTAAACGGAAGTGATTAAGCCCTGGTCATAGGAGGACTCTGTTGTTCTTGACCGCAAGGCTTGTATGCATAGATCCGAGTGCGTACGGCATTTACTCCAAAAAAAAACATCGCGGCGCTTATTAAATTTTTTGACTCGTAGGTGCAAGCTCATTTGAGAGTTATGTCCCGGGACCAGGCTCCTTAGTGGGGAAAAAGAAAAATAACGGTTAAATTATTATTTATTCCAAATATTTCTCCGGTTCTGATTGGCTAAAAGAACACGCATAATTCACCATAACCAGCTACTGATGACCAAATTTGGAAGAATTTTGCGATTAATGAACCGATGACGTCAAAAGTGCAGCCTTCAAGCAGGTTAATGCACAGTTAACCGAGAAGACCTGGGGACGAGGTTGAGTTGTTTTGGTTGTGAAAAAAAAATGGCGGACATTTCACTCGTTTCAAGAGTAAGAACTAGGCGAAACAATAGCTAAAAACATGGCAAGAACAGCAAAAAGACAACTCGAAGGGCGACATTTGCTATTTGGAGAATATTTGCGGAGCTGAACAACCCTAAACGTGCGCTATCGAAGATGAACTTAACATCGATGGAGGTAAGCTTGTTTTAGCTATTTTTTTAAACTTGGAATTATTTTGAATCAATAATAAAACAGTTATTGAATTCGGCTTTCGTATCATATGAAGAATTATGGAGATCTCGGAGGGTGTTATCTGCCTCGACAGATAACACCCTCCTCGATCTCAATAATTCTTCATAAGATACTCAGCCTCATTCATTAATAGTTAATTAATAAATTAAAAAGAGTAAAGCGACCCATTTAGGGGGGATCTAGAAAACCTGGTCCCACGTAGTCTCCGTCGAAGCCGTCACACAACGCAACGCTTGTCCTCATATGAGGAGGAGCGTTGCGTGACAAAACAGAAAAAGGCTGCGTCCGAGACTATAGGTCCCAGGCTATTGTGTAATTCGCTTATTATTGTTGTTATTACTACTCGGTTCATAACACCTGCATGAGAATGTTTTAAAAGTCAGTTTTAAAGGTCTTAGTTCCCTTCCAATCAGTCATATCAGCATTCACAATTTCAAAAGAACAACAAAGATCAATAAGCGCTGCATTGTTGACGATGGGGTGCCACATTTGTAGGCTTTGTACATTATGCTTTTGCTTCCCCACTAAAATGCTCCACCTTAATGCTCCATTTTCCCACTAAATAGTCTCCCCAAAAGTCACTAAAATTTACCAACGGTTTTTTAATTATTTTGCTTTACAGGGGTTTGAGCCAGGCCCGCGTCATTGCGCCAAAAATGCTCTTAAAAAAACGGCCAAGGGGACAATATGTCCCCTTCAAAATGAAAAACTCCATTTTTTCCCACAAAAAATCCTCAGTCGTAGAAAGTATATTTTATCGCACCTTTAAAGTTCCCCAAAAAGTCACTAAAATGCTCGAATAATGCCCATTATACCAACGGAAATTTTTCTTATCAAAAATTATTTATTTGAAAAAGTTTACTTGCCGTAAACTTGCAAATTTACGTCACTGAAAAAAAACGATTATGTTGCGAAAAACTGGGCAAGCTTTGCCATTGGCTGGAGCGTATTGTTGTTGAAAACAACGTTAGAAAAACGTTACAGGGCAAGTTCATAAAAAATACAGACTTGAAAATAAAAAAACCCACCGATTGTTTGTATCGGCCGATTTTTCCTCGAATTTGTCCCTAAAAAGAAATTTTTTTGTGAATTTTGAGTTTTAGTCTTCATTTTCTTTAAAATGTCAAAGGCTTACAAAAAGCTCGTTGGGACATGGACTCCTGTTCATAAATACAGCCAAAAAAACCAGCTGTATTAGGTTTTTGTGAATTTTGAGTTTTTCTTCACTTTATTTTCTCGGAAAAATTAATTTTCCGGGGAAAATGCCTCTAAAATGCTCGAATAATGCTCAATGCTTTTGCGTCACTAAATTGCACGAAAAAATGCTACCATAATGTACAAAAGCCTACACATTTGTCGATATCTTTCCTCATATGTGCAGGGTTAGTGCGGCGTTTAGTCTCTTTCAAGTAACTACGTACTCTCTCACGCGCATGCACACCTACTCGCACGCTACAATCTGGTTATGGAGAAAAGAAAAGGATCACTAAAAATCATTGATGGTTAACCTACCCCATCCGAAGACAAAGTAGTACAAGAAATAAGACTCGTTGTCGAAGGGATACACAAGCATGCGCAATAGAAAAATTCCTTCATTTAGGATCCACGTGATTTCTGAAGCTGCAAAGTAGCGGTTCAATACCCAGAATACGTTGCAGACCGTCTGAAATAAAACAAACAAAAAACAGAGTGGAAAAACAATCATCGACTTAAAATGATCGCCTCGGCCTGTGATAGAAAGATAGGGTTGGTGTGTTTTCAAATCAAAGTTATCACTCTAGCCAACGACAACGCAAGAGAACCAGGACAATGAAAAAATCAGCAAGTTATCATAGCTTTTGCTATTGAAAAAGTTTAGACCTAGGCGAACTAGGCTCCATTTCCGATTTTACGAACGTTGCACAGGAACCTGGTTAAAAATTCGTTCCCAAATTAGTTCCACAACGAAATTCGACACAATCCCACGTCAAATTGGCCAACTGTATTCCAAGAAAACATTACCTTATTGTAGCTCTTGTCTCCCATGTTTCCATAGTAATGAATAAATAATGTGATGGTGCGTAGAATAAAAGCGAGGATTAAATTCTTGTGTAAAGTGAACCGGGCATTCTTTCTCCTATTCAAAAAAGACAAACAGAAAGTATTTCTTGTCATGCAGTTTTCCCATGCGTAAAACAGCTTACTGCATACTAAACAAGTGAAAGAAATCGCATCCACAACACGAAAATTAAGTGAGTTTCTGACAAACTTTTCTCCTTGGGATTCTCTTTGATAGGCAGAGAAGGCAGCTGGCCAGTTACAAACTTATCACTAATGATCTCTGATAAATCCAGCCATAAATTAGACTTCTTATGAAATCTAAACTAAAAGATACGTATTCTGATAATGCACCACTGAGTGACCAAGATTTCCCTGTTGCGGAGAAATGTCTGTAAGAACAGCAAGACTTGTTATCACCTGCATAGTGTCTGTTTAGGACATTAGACGCTTTGTACCAGACTAACAGCACGAGGTTTGCAGGAATCACGCCAGCATGTCACTTTTAACCCTTGTATATGGCGTGGCTCGCTTAACGGTCTCTCTTTGGCTCTCAGTAACAGGATCGTCTTTCCCGAGTTCTCAGAAGCTAAGGTCATTGTTTGGAATCTCATTGAGAACTCAGATTTATTTCGTGTTTCCCCACTAACTTGTGACTCAAAATAGACAATACATTTTTATTAACCTTACAAAGGTCTTATATCCCTCTGTAATAGGCCCTTTGCAGCTAGCCATACACGTGGAACAAAACCGCCGTGCTGGAGAACAAAATCGCACTGGGACAAGACAAACAAAAGGCATACATTATTTTAAATGGTAATTTCCTATGTTGTTCTTATCTTGTTCTTGTCCCAGTGCGACGTTTGCTCTGATAATGGTCACGATAATGATAATGATGATGATGATAATGATGATGATGATGATGATGATGATGATGATGATGATGATGATGATGATGATGATAATAACAATAATAATAATAATAATAAATAAGGATAATAACTCCTAAATCAAAAATATCAAATGCAAAAGTGGCTGCTTGATTAATATTCTTTTGTTTAAATTAAAGTTAGCCTGATTATCCTCGTTCGTCAGCACAAAATTCAAAGAATACGTTATTTCAAGCGAGGCTAGTCAGGCTAATATTAATTTAAACAAAAGATTAATAATCAAGCAGCCACTTTTACATTGGGTCCATATTAAGCAGAAGACAGAGGTAGAAACTTACATTACAATGCATATAATTACGAAAGTAGGAAGAAGAACAAAAAATGCCATCCAGCTGATAGCGACGAAAACTTTCTTTACACGATCCTCATGAGAATCATCCTGAAAAATAATTAACCAATATTGCTTTGAAACTTAGACATGCCGTGCCAGATTTAAACATTTATTTCTTTTTTATATTTTCTTTGAGAATTTTGTCTCATATTCCTTTTTTTGTTAGCGCACTTGATACGATACATTGTGTGTTCGGTTCTTTTGTAGGGTACGGTCGTCAGGACAACGATTTAATTTACGATGATCCATCCATTTAAAATGGTCTAAACCTGTTATTAAATATGCACAGTGACACAGCAAGCAACATACAACATAGCACTTCCAATAAACACCTGAGCATGCAAGGTAAAAAAAAGTGCGCTATATCTCTGATGCCTTATGCAAGACGTGCAACATGCTATTTTTCTGATGCAACATAATGGCCGTATTCACACTAGAGACAGATTATCTGTTTGATAATTCGCGTCAGACAGATAATACTTCTTCATCTGAAAATGGAACGGTCTTAATTTTGGATGGATAATCCACCTGACTTTATCCATGAATCTGTTTTTCCGTCAATTTTGACTGATTTTGAAGATGAATTATACGTCTCTGGTGTGCAAACGGCCAATGTTCATGGTGCAATATGTGGCTTGTAACTACACGCAACAAACACTATATCTCTGATGTTACATACCGCTATATGCTGACTATGCTGTATGGGGGATGCAATAAACAATAGGCCAGTTGCACTAAGAGGTCACGTGACCAATGCTTCCTTTCAAAAATAAGTTGAAATCTTGCTGATGCCAAAAATTGTCAGAGCACATAAAAATTATCTTACGCCCGAAATTTGAGAGGAAAGGCATTTAAGGGAGATGTTTTATGGCACTTTGATTTTTCAACAAAATGGTTCGATTTGTATTGGCCGCCATGTTGGAGGGCATACTTTTGCCCTCTAGCAAGGCAGCCACAACTACTTTCTGCTTATATCTTGTTAAACGTTTGATAGTTTCGCTCACTGCTGTAAACGTTACCACATCATCTTTTCAACATTTTCCTCGACGTTTAACTGCAATGTTTGTGTTCAGAAAGAGGTAATTCATAAATTTAAAAATCACATTTTGGTCACGTGACCAGCCACGAACTTACTCATTTTAATATGGTGGGGGTTTGAAAAACAAAACCACTGTTATTTTCTTTGAGATATGATCCACTAATCATTTTTCGAAGGCAAAATCATAAAACTGTCATTTTTATAAAAATAATGTCACATGACCTCTTAGTGCAAATGGCCTATTAATGCACTACAGATTATATCTGATGCCATTTACAAAGTGTACCGTGCAACGTAGACCATTCAATTTTCCTGATAAAAAATGCGATCTGCAACGTATCCTAAGAAAAAGCTCTCCCATTTGGGCGAGCGAAGCGAGACGCGCGAGAACGTGCGAGCGAGAGTGGCTGAGGAGAGGAACCATTTGTGGTGAACACAATAAGCTGCGGCACGTTTGCGGTGACAGTTTTTACGCTTTGCGGAATCCCGAGGTTCCCGGGTGGAATTGAAAATTTATGAGTGATCGTTGCAAGCTCTCCTTTCTCTCCCAGGCCCCTGCCTTCGCGTCTGCTCTCGCGCGTCTATTTTTCACGATATCCCGAAATGGAGAGCTTGCTTACAGGCTAAGTGCAACGTGCAGACACATGCAATATAGTGATGCTCTACATACAACAAAAGTCACTAAAGACTTCCTTTACCTTTTTATCTGTTATGGTTATGTTAGACTGAATCCTTTTCCCTGTATCAACAGCCTCTTTTGGTTTCAATCTGTGACAGTTCGTGATGTTAATTTTTTGCCATTTTCCTTGCTCATCGCATCGCCGGGAAACGTTGTCTGAAAAGAATAGAAACGCTTCGTTTTTTTTATATAAAACAGAAAAAGGCCTTGGCAAAAAGTAGAGGTATATTTGAGAATATGCCACTGCCATTATGGTTGGATCCTCTCAGCCATTTTAAGCTTCGGTAAAACAGGCCACAAAGCGTGCAACTTGTTTTGCAACTTTGCTGCAAAAAGAGTTCAATAGCGATGTTGATACCCGGCTTGCATTTCAAGTTGCGTGAATACTGACTTCTGATTGGATAAAATTACGCGGGAGTCACGCCATGCACGGAAATCACGTCAATTGCTGCAAAACAGTTTGCAATATGAACAGCTTTTATTGCAAATGGTAGCACTACCCTCTACTTTCTGCAAAATAAATTTTCGCAGCCGGCAACAGGCTAGTAAACTGACACACAACATCGTTATTCAACTAGTCTGCGTAGCAAGCGGTTTCCTGTGGTTTCGGGGCAAAGAATAGGGACTTCAAGATGCCACGACGGCGACGACACGAGAACGTCAAAAAAGCAAAAGGTTGAACAGGCAAAACAACAACTCTGCTCGTGCATCACGCTGTTTTGTACATTTCTTTGCCGTCACTGCACCACTACGACGGGAAAATGCCCAATTTCACGTTTCATGGAGGACGTAAACAAGCCACGGCTAAGTTTTCTTTCTTTTTCTGACCTTGAATATGGTTCTTATGAATTTGGCTCAAAAAGAGTTCGCTTGCATCTGACAAAGTAAATGAGTTGGAGTTATCGCGTTAGAGATTGAAAGAACGCAAATTCACTTTTTAAGCGACGTTTTCGTGGCCGTCACCGTCGTGGTATCTTAAGGGACCTTACAATCCGACAACGGCGACTTCCATGAAAACGTCGTTGAAAAATAGACTTCGCATCCTTTTAAGGTATTTGCACAGGCAAATTTTCAACATTTTATTTTGCACTCAAAATCTTTCTACAGTAAGTTCAGATGATGTAATATGCATGTCTGGTGTTCTTTTTTGAATATACCTTCGCATTAAAGAGAAAATCTACTCAAAAGTTGACTGATTTACCGGAAGTTAAAGAAAAATTGTCATTTCCGTTACCAAGAAAATGGACGGCAGGAGCGCAATTTGACTCCTCTTTCCAGCACCAAGTTCTATTGATGCGCTGAACAAAATCTATTCACTGCTTGGATTCATTGACAAACTACAGCCGCTGTATGTCCAACTTGATTTTTCTTCCTTCTGTTAAAGCTGTGATGACTAATATTACTTGCTTCTTGTCAAAATTCGTTATGTTCTTGAAATATACTCCATTTTCCAGGGCTTAATATTGTTTTAAATTTACATTACATCGGTGTGTCTTCCCACCTGATATATTCTGACAATTTTGCCGGGAGAGTAAAACGTTTTCTTGGCCTCTAATCCTCTGGTCTGTTTTTCTGCCAATTTCTTTCACTTTACAGAAGCAATTCTTTTCAATTTTGAATAAAACTCTTCTTCAATCTTCATACTTCGGCGCGCTTCACTGCATTAAAGCTGACACTGAGTAACGAATCTTCCGGAAATACGTCACACCTAGCAACTGGTCACGTATCAAAATCCAAGGGGGCTATAGAGAGGTCATTTGGCATTTTCTTAGGCTTCCATGAGCATTTTACACAGCGGTGATTCAAAATGGCGGGCAAGAAGGTCTGTGATGGTAGTATCGAGGAAAAACAGTTGATTTTGAGAAGAAAATAAGCTTTTTCACACTGGAAAAACGTTAATTACCGCGTGACCGATTTACCTTGACTTACGGGAACCAGTTTTTTGGAGGAATGGATCATTATTTCTTCGTGAAATTTGGCAAATACACAAAGAGCATGTTAATGAACAGATCTGTGTTTGACTAAAGGTTAGAATTGCCGTACAGCTGAGTTATTGATGTCAAAATATGGGTCAAATTACAAAATAGCAAATTGTGCCCTAGAGGCTGGATTAATTGGAGCTGTGTCGTGGTCAAACACAGAATTATTCTATCTTACGTCCTTATTTGTGTTACATTTCTTTTTTAACAATAACTCTAAGGATTCTTCTGAAATTTTGATTTTTCTCTTTCCGTGTCACCCTAGGGGGTAATTAAATTAACACCTTTTGGGTGACATAACATAGTTTATTTTGATATATTCTAGTTCCTCAAGAACTGAGGAATACTGTCAATGTAGTGACATATAGATATTATCCATAAAACAACCACTAAAAATGATGCAAAAATGTGCAAATTTGCCTGTGCAGATACCTTAACCTTTTCGCGATTATCCCAATTCGCCCAGTTACTTAATAGAGGGAAATTTTAGTTGGAGCCGAAGAGAGGGAACCGCGCCCGAGTTTAGACAGAGATGCTAGAATTTATCGCCTTGCCGTTCCAGTTCTCAAGTAAACTTAAAATTTGGTCATTTCAGGTCGTAGTTGTGCAGTGACTGCAAAGAAATGTACAAAAACGCGTGATGCACGTGCAGCGTTGTTGTTTTGCTCATTAAACCTATTGCTTTTTTGACGTTCTCCTTGCCGTCGCCGTCGTAGTTTCGCAAGGTCCCTTTAAACTCCCTAATGACCGAGGAACGACGAGTAATGGGAATCTTGATTTTGGCCGCGCGAAAAATAGAACAAGGGCCACAAATATGACTCTCGCTCCTCGTTCTTTGCCCCGAAACCTCACTGAAACGCTTGCGGCAGACTACTATTCAACTCGTTTTGCAGCAATGTTGTAAAACAAGTTGAACGTTTCTGTTTCCCGTTTTACAGTATTTTAATTTAGGTGAGTATTATTGAGTGTTACCTGCTTACCTTTTGTCGAATAAAAGAGGAAAGGGCAAGGTTGTATAAAAGTTTCACCTGCCCGTGTTTCTTTCCAGCAAGTGATGTCAAAAGTTAACTTACACTTGACCTTGACATCTAAAAAAAACAGCATAAATGAGAGAAAGCAACACTTTATTTTCGTTGGAAAAAACGTCCCTTGGAAAGACTTTTTGTTGTATTTGTCGCAGTCGATTTTTTATCTCAGGTAATTTTTGCTTTCCTTTTGTTTATGGGTATGGTAATGTATGCTAATAAAGTTGAAACAAAGGAAAAATAAAAATTACCTGAGATAAAAAATTAACTACCACATAGGAGAAGTCCCGTGACTATTTATATTTGGCAAGTACTACATCAGAAACAAGAAATATTTTTTTTACGAAACAGGGAGCAAATGCAGTTTTTAATGCTATTTGCATTCTTGTTATCCAATACTTGTACCGACAATGAATTAATATTTTCCGGGTCTTGCAGAGAATTTCAGTAGTCCCAAGAGAAACAATGGTTATGCAAACGTTATGCAATGGAGAACACAATGGTTATGCAAACGTTTGGGGGGTATACAGGGTGCATTATGGTCTTGGCGAAGATGGTGAATTCGCCATTTGCACATCTCCCATAATACACCTTGTTTTCCCCCCAAACTTTGCATAACCTAAAGTATATGCTATTGATTTCCCCTGGGTATGACAGTGGTCTTAAGAGAAATAAAAGACAAGGCTTATGTAAAATTTCGGGGGACAAACAAGGTGCATTATGGGAGATGTGCAAATGGCGAATTTGCCATTTTACAGTTGTGGGCTTGGTGTTCTAGCCTTTGAGTGAACGTGAGGCTGAGGTTGACCTTGTTTTGATGCAAACCACCTTCCTTTTCTAATGTAAATTTTGCTTAAAAATACTAGTTAGCATAAGAACAACATGATTTACATTGTGAAGCAAGGAGGACTGTATCGAAACAAGGTCAACTCCAGCCTCATTTTCAAGTGAAACTGAAAAATGGGTTATTGTATTTGACAGTTGGCTCTAGTCTACTTATCCACAGGCCTTCTCCTCCACTCATGACTCCCTGTGACCGTTTCCCTGCAGCTTGGTTAAACGTCTGTCACTGTGATGTCACGAGTAAGGGCTGACGAACTCTGGGGTCAGGAATGGGTATCAATCAACCGGCTGCTGGGTAATTCATGCTGTCCAATGACGACGAACACATACCTGAGTCGTTAATTTTGTTATCTGGGTTTTCTAGACACATTTTCTTCAGGTGACTCAAAATCGACTTCAGGTCTAGATCTTCCTCGCTTGTAGCACTGCAAACCAACAACTGAAACGAACGTTTTAGAAACATCACTATGTTAAAAAATAAAAAAAGGGACTTAAAGGACAATGATAAAACAACAAATTCTCCCGAAAATCCACAATCCCTACACTCAAACTTAAGCTAAGTTCGTAAGATAACGGCAAAAGAATCATACCACACGAGCCCCTGATTCTACTGAATGGATTTCACATGAAATATGGAACTGAATTCGTGATTTAATTACGATCTAAAGGCTCAGGATTTGTTTACAGATTTTAGATTCCAAGGCTTGTTGACCGGGATTTTGATTGCTTCATATTGGCTGACAAAAACTTTTTACTACTCATAAAAAGTGACGACTTACACATAATATTAAGGTAGTAATGACGTCAGAAGACCTCATGAGGTAAGCAAGTATTTCAGAAAGATCGCCGGAATCAACTGCTTCTCTGAAGACGTTGGTCGTAAACAGGAGGAACTATATAAGAGAAGAAAAGACATCATACACTTTTAAATACTAAACACTACAGCCAAGATTAAAATCCAAAACGATTTAATCTTTATAAATTTCACATACAACTTCGTTATCGCGTAAAATCATTGCACAGGCACATCACCTAATGCGCATAACATTGTGACTTCAAAGGTGACGTTGATTTTAGCCGGTCGCTTAAAAAGAGGTATTTGTGGCCCTTTTTGTAGTCCAAATGCTTTTAATAGCGATTTTGATAATTCTACCTGGCTAAAAAGGTTTTTGTCTTGAAATTCGCCTCATTCCTCTCGCGCAAAATGATCATCTGAAGCCGAAACTATCCCTTTGTTGTCCCAGTTTTGCTATGAAACGACAACGGTGACCCTGTTTTTTGCTCGTTATGGCCACGCAAAAAATATATATTAGGGAGAAAAAAGTCTGGATAGTAAAAGTTGCATTTTTTTAGATATGAATGACGCGAATTTCCGCATTTAGAGCAAAACTGTCCATTTCTCTAGTTTTTTCAAGATCTAGTAAATTTGAGGTCTCTTAACTGAAAAAATACAGCCCAGACAAACAATTGTGCCTCAGGTTTTAGTAAGATTCATAGTTTTTGCTATAAAATAAGACTTTTTGACGGTTGTTTAGGTTTCGAACACTTCGCGCGCAATTAGGAAAAACACACACAGAATTACAGGCACACAGGGCGAAGGGAACAAGCACAGTGACCCCATCTTTTTACATGTATTGCAGTTTTTAAATGTCCTATGTATGGCTGACATTTGTGCCAAGTTTGAAAAACATCTTAACTTAAGGGGATTCTGGCAGTACAAGGGTCAAAGACGGTAAGAAAGACGGGCTTCCAACAATTCACGCTATTTTACTGCGTTTTTATTAGTGATATAATCGTATTAACTCATTGAAATCTGTCATTATTTTAAATAAGCACATGACTGTGACAAGGAAAATAAAGTGCGCAGGAGTAACCAGTGCCCGCAGAGCGGGGTTGACGATATATGGAAGTTTGTGTTTCGGAACACAGAAAAGTGTTTGTTATCCGTATAAAGCTGGTTAATTTTAGAGACAATATATCAGCTTTCCGTCGGGACAAACGAAATTGCACGTTATATACGGGTGTCCGTATTAAGTGGGTGTCCATAGAGAGGACGGGGGGCAGGGGGACTCCACAGTACTTACAGGGTGAAACAGCGATTCCAAACTACAAATAACTCTTTTGATCAGGGGAATGGCTGTGAGCATACGGTAAAAGTCAGCCGAAGTTTGTCAAGGCTGGGTTTCAACTAAAGGAGATTGATCCGGACACCTGACGAATCCGGAAAGTATTGGCTCCGGATTAGTTCTGCCGTTTACACGAAGATGCGTGGAAACCGAACGAAAACGTCCCGATATGGTCGCGGCGCGCAGGAAATTTATAAGCTGGAATCTAATTATACTTTAAACCTGATAGAAGGATTTTGGGTCAACTGATGTGGGCAAACGCCTGCGAATACCCTAAATGCAATAAATCTGGAACATCTATGAATCCGGAAAAGTCTAGTGCAAGCCTAGCCCTACAAGGCCTGTTCATGTCCACAGACGACGTTCCATTCTACACACAGCAGGTTATCATACGGTGCTTCAAAAGGGTGCATTCCGTACGGGTATAGCCGTCGCATTTACCAAGTATGAAGAACAGTTTTTCTGTAACAGCGTTTACCGTATATCACACATAATATTCGCCGTGCGACACGTTTTTAAATAGCGAGGGTATGCCAGTTCGGCGATTTCACGTCAGAAATCTTTATTGTTTCGAATCTGTGCCAAGCTTGATGCCATTTATGGCACATTTTTAGCACAAGATTTACCAAAATATTGTCAGGGTGAGTGTTTCCATCGCATGCGCCCTACGATAACCGCTGTTTTAAAGATTAGAAAATCGCATTAAGTTTCGCACGTAAAATCGTCCCCTGGATATGTGTAAAGGGCTCGTAAGAGAGACATTTATATAATTCAGCTGTACAGTGTTTTTGACCGCCTTCACCCCGCCCCCCCAAACAAGACAATAATATTTTGGTACGTCAAAACCCCGTTTAGTAAGCTGTTTACGCATCTTTTTTGTAATATCATAGCGTAAAATTAGTTTGACGGCGTTTATTTATTCAAATTATACGGCTAAATATCGGAAATAGCGAAAATGCTTACATCGTGCGCAAGCCTTTTGTAGCCTCCGGGTATTAATTTTACTGACCATGAGGAAGTGTTTGTTCAGATTTCTTCTCGTTTTATACCAAAATTGCTTTTAACTACTTATTGTGGTCCAGAATAAGGACCTCATTGCAATGATTTGAGCAGTTTTAACCCTGCTTTGAAACAAACTGCACAAACGGGCAGATGGCTGATGTACTAAATGCAAACCAGTCGGGCGATCACAGGACACGATTCCAAAGAAAGGCGCGACTTCACGTCATCAAAAATAGTTTCTTCTTGATCAAACAAGGAAGAAACAGCTGAAGAAAGAAAGAACTTCCAGGATTTCGTGAAATAAAAGGGTATGCTACAAACCTCTACATCTCAAAGTACTTTGAGCTCTTTGCTTAGAGACGACGAGTTTAATTCTTTTAAGAATTAAACTCATTAAAATCAAACAAGAATTCACTGCCGTTTAAGACAAGTATTTAAGCAAACGGGGTGTGCATATATTGCATTTGATCAGTGCAATAGGGCGCAGCGGTCGAACGCGAATAACTATAAGAAACATGTTCAAGTCAGCGGGAGTCTGACTGAAGTTTAGGAAAGACACCCTAAAACTAATAGAGTATTAAAATAAAACCTGCCTGTTTTGAAGGCAAAGTTTTGGTCAGCAAATACCGAGACCGTTAATCACCAAGTCAGGGTAAACGTTGAAGAGTACTTTTGCTGAATAAAAACTAGCAATGATAATAATAATAAACACGTGAAGGAGCGTTTGGATTCTTTATGGTTTCAATTTCACTGTTTTCATGTTGATACTCTTATTGCAGCTGACAGTGAACCTTATTTCTGAAAAATAGAACCACTTTTTCCGCCTTTTAAAAACTTTTGTCACACTTGTTCGCCTAGTGTCGCTTTCTCTGCGGCCATCAGCCAACATTCTTCTTTATCTTTCTTCACAGTTTTGTTTTGTAAGTTGAACTCTGCTTTCAAGTTATCTGCAGGAAACAATACCTTACTATATTTCTTTTACCGTTGTATAATCATACGTAAGGAAAACTCATATCTGCAATAACAGATTTTCAGAGTTTGGTGACCGACTCTTCTTCTTTGTTACGCTGTGTTGTTCAGCGTTTTATATAGCAACTGTTAACTGCTCACGCGTAAACCGTCGTGGACTGAAGATTGTAAATTCGTCCTGCTTAGTTTAAAAACGAACCAAAACCTCTAGAAACGAAAAAGACCAGATATAAGAGTACTCTATAAAGACATGTTGGAGATATTCATCAAGTCTGATTTTCATTCGCGTGTATTCTTGTACTCCGATACGATCAAAGATCTAAGATTTTGAGACAGATGTAATATTGTGCACCTGATTCATGCAAACACAGTTTTTTACTACAATAGCTTTGTTTGCCTCGCATTTAAAATTCAGGAACCCTGAGTGATTTTTCCGCTACATCAGAAACTAGTGAAGATGCCAGGGTTTTTTTAAAAGTACCAACCTACCTTTGCCGTAGCTAACTCTAAGCGTGTAATTCACCTGCCTCACTGCGGTTAGACCAGGGAAACTTAGTTCTTTTAAATTCCAGTAAATCCATTGATAACACTTTGCGAACCTTTTCAATCTCTGTTTATACGTATTTTACCGCACTGACCGAAATGCAATCAAACAGTTTATGATACGGAATGAGAAACGACTCTGGCTACAACTTCCGGTTGTCCTTTCATGCGTGACTTTCGTTGCGGGAAGTGTTGCACGTAACAAGGCGCACGCTTGGTTGATTGGTCACGAAAAACGAGCCCCACTGTCTTAGCGGTGTTTACCCCACGTGGGCGACTTGTTCGGCTGTTTAGCCTCCCACGCAGGCGTGGGCGACTTTTGTTCAGTCAGGGTGGGGAGGCGAAATTTCACCCAGGTTCCCTCTCGTGTCCCTGCATTCGTTTACATAATGCCAACAGAACATACTATACAGGAAAGAGTCAGTTGGCGAGTTCACTGTGGTTGCTCTACTGGGGGAGAATTTAATTCCGCGTAACATGTCTTAAACCAAGAACAATCACTCTTTTCCGTACGATAGTGGTCTTCCAGTGGACTGGAACCGGTAGCGCATGCGTAATTTTTGTCAATCCAAGATGGCGTTGTCTCGTTGTATGTTGGGGAGCTTAAGCAACAACGACGGCGCCAGCGAGCGAGAACGGCAAAACAACAACTTTGCACGTGCATCACGCTATTATGTACATTTCTTTGCCGTCACTGCAAGACTACGACGTGACGACGTTAACGCAAGACAACGATTTTAAGATACGGTCCTTGTGAATTCAACTCCTGAAAAAAGCGCCAACATTTGATAAAATAAGTTTTGGAATAAGAGCGATGAAGTTTGAACCTGTGCGAATTCACTCTTTGGGTGACGTTTTTGTTGCCGTTGCCGTCGTCGTTGCTAAGCTCCCCACTGAAGGAGAGTAAACGTGGTACATAATCAAGCAGTAATCACTGTATAGAACTCCCTCGTGCAAGTTTCCTTACGTAAACTACCTAATAGGGCTTCTTCAAACACGCTAACAGGAGGTAGCGTGGACGAGTCTTTAGAGCTCTGGAATAGCAATCAGGAAGTCCCGAATTTATGTCCCGCCCCTGGCCACTCGCTGGATTTGTTCTCGATAGTCCGGTGTTCAAATCCTTGGCCGTGCTTGTAAATAGCCAAATGGTTCGCCTTCTGCCAGTTGGGATTCTTAATCATGTTGTTCAATTTGAACTACTTGTTTATTTATTTGGAATTATTAACCGCTAAGAGAAGTGTTAAAGACCAATTTTAACAGATCATAAATCATCC